AACTCGCTTGAATATTTCGCTCTTTGTTCACCTGAAGTTACAATAAGTATTGATCCGATGATATTAAGTGCCAAATCATCAATTAAAAGCCCCTAACTTGTTCTGGAATTATGTACGTTAGAATTGCGGGTCTTCTTACACAAGCTTTTTTTCAACATTCCATTTTCTCGGCATAAATTCATAAATCAAAGTCAGTGGTTACTGTCGGTTTCAGCAGAGTAGGAAAATGTGTTGTGGTATAAGTGAGACAAATAAGTGTGTGTTCTTGGAAATAAATCTCTTGAACCTAAAATCAAGACAGCAGAATTTGCTGTGTTAAAATTACCCTTCATAGCAACATTAAACTAGTATACATCTCAAATAGTAACGTTCGGTGGATAGTTTTATTACGAGTTGTGTATGGCTAGGCACAGAAGTGCTGAGCAGGAAGTCCGAAAGAAATGCCTGGCTATGAGAATAAAAGATGAATGCAAATAAAATGTGCTCTGAGCAAGCACGTTGGCACGACCTGGTGCATAAGAAGAACACACATCATAGAATTGCATGCACCACACACTTTCATTTAATATCTCTTCGAATAAAAATTTCGATTTATTTTTGTCTATTTCAAATATCCGTTTGAAAAGTATTGATACGAATCGTACAGTCCTGTGGTCATGCTCTTGAGTGACCAATCCACCAGACCTACTACGTATTCTTCCAGCTCTCGTGTGTTCAATTCGCTCTTCATTCTGCTCTTAAAGCATTCCACGGCACCTACATCCATAAATTTATACTTTGGATTGTTCATACATATCTCTAAAATTTGTACAAGTTTCTTGCTGTGCTTTCGTATTGCCATAAAACCCTCAACAAACAACTTTTTAAACTCATCCATTCTGTTTCCAAGTAGGTGAATATATTCACTCGACATTTTGAAAGGCGCTGTTTCTACGCAATAAAATCCAGGATGAAGACCTAGTACAAAGCCAAAGTCAACGTGCACCACGTGTCCCTCGTTGTCTATCAAAATATTTCCATTGTGCCGGTCTTTCAATGCAAGAAAATATGTAACCAGTGAGTACCCTACTAAAGACTCAAGGAAGTTGTTGATGGCCTTGTCCACATTAGTACCGTAAGTTTCATAGTAGAACTTCCTGAGGAAGGACTTACCACCGACCAACGAGTCATTCATCTTTTTGATTTCGTGTATGCTACTTGCGCTTGATATTACCTCAATAAAGCCGGCGTTGTGGAACACCGTGTATATTCGATATGGCTTGAGCCATATTCGTATACCTTCTTCGTTCAAAATTGCCTTCATCTCCCTAAGAAGTTCAAGCGCTATTAGTTCCGGGCCTAGCTCATTGCCCGTCTTTATTATTACACATTTTACTTCCGGCTTTAGCTCCTTAAATTCACTTTTCGCCAACATATCCTTGGTGATGTCCGTCCAATTCTTTCTTTTTCCCAGAAACGGCTGTATGTCTTTCTCAGTACATTGTTTCTTATTTCCCATCGATTTACCGCACTGACTAGCAGCATTCTCCTCAGCGTCAGTTACGGAGCTCCCGTTATTCTCCATATTACTGAAGCTTTCATGCATCAATTGCTCGACAATCTTATCTTTGATCGCTTGATTTTCAGCTCCTGTTTTTTCAAGCGCGTAAAGCTGTCTGAGAAGGTAAATATCATTGTAGAAGTTTTTTTTCGTCCTTTTAATTTTCCTGGCGCACTCATATGTAAGAATGAACGGGCAGTTTTCCGCCGATGACAGCGTTGTAGAATGCTCGATTCCTAGACTCAAGATTTTTTTTCCACCGGAAAAAGGTATGCTCAGGTCAGCCGGTAAATAAAGGTTGAGGTATTCTAATTCAATTTCCAGTGCTCGTTGCCGTATATTCTTGGGTAGTGTTTTCAAACGAAAGGAAATCATGACCAAATCGTCCAAAAAGTTTATGCATCCCTTAAGAGTCGGGCCAACCCTCTTTGGAAAGATTGTAGTGAACGATTTGCTGGTGTAAAACATTCTTTCGTACGAAATTAGACTTGATAGAATCTTCTCTGAGAAGAAAAAAGCACTGGCAGAGCAAAAGAATAGAAATATGCTTGATAAGTCACCTGATCCCCGATTAATATCTATTATGGGCCGTGTTCTGAGAATGTAGCGTTTTTTACGTATTTCTTTCGCACACTCTTCGTTCTCTCCACATTTCTTATGACATGTGCTACCTTTTACCTGCACATCATCCCGCTCATTCTCTCTCAGATACATTTCCTCAACGTTATCTTCTATTCGTGCTCCGGTCCCTATACTCTCCTTATTACCTTGCGATTGCTCTGTTCTGACTAGTGTGCGATTTGTGCTCTGTATCTCAGTTTCGTTTTTTACAGGTTGTCCATCATACCTTACCACACTGCTGTCTCTCCAGGCCGCATCACTATGAGTAACATCCCCAATACCTCTCATTTCAGCGCAATCCCTCAAACTTTTTACCGTTGGTTCATCATCCGCCCTATTTATTGACCCATCCCCTTTTTCTCTGCTCTCTTCCTCGTTCACCAACCCACATTTCGTGTCATTCCGCAACTTTTCCATCTTATCCTCCAGCAGTTTGTATTTCATCTTACTCAGATCAATCGCTTCTTCCTCTCTTATCGTCCTCTTCCTAATTTCCACAACCGGTGTTCGTCTCAACCTGTCCCGCCTATACCGATCACACTCCATAATTCTTTGTATAATCAATCTGTAGAACCCGATCTGGTTCTTACTCAAATATCTTCTGTAGCTCTTCAGCGTAAAAAACAGTTTCAAACTGACAGTTCGGCTGTACTTACACTTCTTCACCAAAATGTCCATAATAGGATATGAAATGGGCTCTTCACAGTGATAAAACATGATGTGCACGAGGTATAAGACGTGTCTATTCCTGAAGCGCAATATTCTGGTCAGGTAGTGTTGTATTCCCGTTTGGGGATACGAGTATAAATAGCTTATGTTTTTCCATGTATCGAAGTACGAGGTGTTGAAAAGTTTGTACAACCAGGATAACGACTCAGGCTTCTTCATGTCGTGAGGGGTATTTTTATTTTATTCAACAATTGTACGATTTAATTTAATTTGATGTAATTTGTGGGCAAATAATCCGTGTAGCAAGACAAAGGAGAATTTTCCTATTTTAAGACATGGACAGAAATACAAGGTTGTTATATGAATTGTGTTTTTTGCCCTTCTGAGTCGATGAAAAATGGAATGATGAACAAAATAAATTAAGCATGCTTTTGATTAAAAAACGGAGTAGATAACGGGTAAAGAGTAAATGCATTTGACTGGAGTACCCTTTACATCATACGAGAAATAGAAAAAGGAGTTATTACAACCGTTAGGATGTAGTATACGTTAAATTCATCTATTGCGATGCGCTAATGCGTAAGTGACAAGCGAATTTATTATTTGGTTGAATTCATCTTTTGGACATGTGCAGCTTTATTAATTGGAATCATTAGCAGAAGGATGTACCTGTGCCGTAGAAGAGCATTCAAAGAGAAATGTTTGTGCTGCGAATGGATGGCTCGAAGACGTGAATTTGTACAAAAAGCTGAACATCTATAAATATTTAATCGTCTAAAACGATTATTAATACGTGATTACGACTGATAAATTGGTATAAACATAATATTACGGTAGTTAAAACACATGATTGAGGCGATTTGCTGTTTGTATCGATAATAAGTAAAAAGGTAAAATATAATGATTCATCGCGGAGGCCATTTTAGAGCATAGAGTTAAAAGCGCTGAATTTAGTAAAAGAAGAGTGAGCTGTAAATAAATACGCAGTATTCATAACCAGCGATGAAAAGATGGTTCGGTACTTTCATCAGTGTAGTTAGGGGAACACTACTCAATTTTTTGAGAAACTCGTAATAAATTGTTGTAAATTACTAAAATATATGTGAATCAGTTAATTAATCGCATATATTTTTGATTCGTGGTACATCCGACATGCCGCTCAAACGGCAGAGAATTGAGATACATTGTACAGATAGTTCTCCTTTATCGAACAAAACCACACGATTAAACAAAGTATTGGATAAGTGAATGCTAAAATTATTTTCTCTTCATACTACGTCAGATAAACTATCCTTCCTAAATAACAACAAATACGCTTCAGAAGAAAATTCAAATAGTTACCGGAAAAAAAGCGCTATTTGTGTTCTATTGAGGTGCTACACAAGCATTTTCGCCTATGGCTCAACTATTTATGTTGCAAAGGCAGCCAACCGTAAAAATTAGATGCACGGCACTTTCAATGCTTCTTTTAACCATCAAAACCCAACTCGTCATCTTAAGCGCTCAAATTGCAACATAGCACATCTAAGCATATTTTTAGTACATATGCATCGAAATATCGTGGTTTAGCATCGTTTGACACTCTATCGATAGCTTTACACCTCAAAAATATGTTATTGGTGTTGTTCATTACGATCTGTATATCACGATCCTGCCATTCCCACGATCTCAAATGAAAAAAAACTACAAAACAATAAATTTAATCGTTTCTGTCCCTCTTCATTAGATCATCCAAATCACTCTCAAGAGACAGCACATATTCATCTCCTTGTACATTCTCTCTCCTCAACAATTCGTACTCCTTCAAAACTTCTTTATCCTGCTTCTTAACAGTCCTCACGTCCTTAAGAAATTCCTTGTCATAGCAGCAATTGCCCAGTGCATTTCCAAACTGCCTAAGTGCCCTCTTCAAGGCATCTGTAACAGCCTCTTTCTTCGCTTTCTCTATTGCTTGTGACTTAACCCTCTGGTTATCAGCACTCCCGAATCCAACATCCTCACGCGTCGTGCCATCACTCAATGACACTCTAACAACAGCGCTTATGCCTATACTGTACCGTTGGTTACATTCATCAATATAATCAATTTTGATTTGTCGTAGTTTGGACGACCATCCGTTATATCCAAAAATTCTATTTGCTATATTTATCGCCGTCCATCCTTCTATGTACGCGACGTGTGTGTTGTTGAATGCCTGGCGGTATGAAATGTATTCTGGGCCCAGTCTTTTGTTGAGTTCCTTGGAAATGTGTGCGAATGTTTTTTGGGATGGCGGATTCGGTTTTTGGGCCATTAGAAATTTGTTGGGTGTGTTTTTGTGTAACAATTTAGTACGGGTAAGGGGTCGAGCTGCGTAGAAATACGAAACAAAAGGTTTTGCACACTCGTGGCGATGAATTAGATTAGTTTGCCTGGTGAATGCCGTTGCGGTGCATCTTCTTGCTGAGAGAATAACCAGCAAATTATGAGGAGCACTTTTTGGCATGTCATGAACAGGCCACAGCTATAAAGGATCACGTGCACAGGTAATAAACAATATATGAAGTGCTGTGAGTGAATGCACTAGCATTCCTTACCATTAATAGGTCTTATACAGCAGTACATCGCTATCTTTGTCTTATTCAGCATTTTCTCCGTATTACAGCGTAGTACTAAAGGCACAAATAGTGATACGGCATATGCACGCTCCCCTATAAAAAATATAGCCTGTTTACGCAACATGAGCAGTGCCCGATTCGTTCATCAAAGGTAAACTTTTAAAGGAACTCGATACGCATGAATGGTAAACTGTTTGTACGTACGCAGCTAACAGAGCACCACTCACCGATACTTCATCAATGCCCTTTCATTTCGCTGTTCTAGTCCGGTACCTCCCCCCAATCAATCCCTTCATTGCGCTGTTCTAGTCCGGTACCTCTCCCCAATCAATCCCTTCATTGCGCTGTTCTAGTCCGGTACCTCTCCCCAATCAATCCCTTCATTGCGCTGTTCTAGTCCGGTACCTCTCCCCAATCAGTCCCTTCATTGCGATGTTCTAGTCCGGTACCTCTCCCCAATCAATCCCTTCATTGCGATGTTCTAGTCCGGTACCTCTCCCAAAATCAACATACCCTGCCTGTCCCTGTGTCCCTTCCATAATAAAAAATAATTTTGTGATTCTCACAAAAAAATTGCCCTTATAAAAGAAACGAACGATGGAATTGCACCGCCAAACCATTTACCTATTCATCGATCCTGGCGTAAAAAGAGCATACGGCTACACAGAATGCACAATAGAAGGAGTGTGTGAGCTAACATTCAAGGTGGGAATGCTGAAAATAGAGAGCGTGCACATAAACGATGAGCCTGCACAGTACAAGATCAACACAGACACGCACATAATTGATGAAAATGAGCGAGTGATAAACAAGGCACTGTACAGCAAGGTGATTGACCACAAGCATACGCTTACCATGTGCACGGCTCATGGTATGAGCACGGTACGAATGCACTTCGTGCCCAATGTACGTTTTTATGAGCGCTTGCCTGGTGATCATAAGCATGAGGAGGTGTTGGGAATGAACGGTGAGACTGTTCTTTTTCCGTATCTCGATGGCATGGCGGAGTACACGATGGTGTACGTGGTACCACCCGACTTCACGGTGGTCAGTCCGGGACAGCTCGTTGGAGTGATCGAGCACTGCGAATGCATCGTGCACACGTACACGGTACGTGCGTTTGCTGAGAATGTGTGCTTTGCGGTGGGATCGTACGAGGCGTACGAGATCAGCGCTGTTAAGACGCTGTACGTGCCGCGGTACACGGAATATGCCGATCTGAAGAGCGACCTGAACGCAGTGCACAAATTCGTAAACAATTTTGTGGGAGGCGACCATACGCTGCCGCTTAGCATCGTGTTCACGATGATGCCGTGCACCGCCGTTGCGCTACACGTGGCGGTGCTTCCGATGAGCACGTTCCCCACGGCGGACGACATCGAGCACAACTTTGCGTTCAAGGAGCGTGTGGCACGGCTCATAGGCACGCAGCTGTTCATGAACACGTACTTCGAGCGTGAGGATCTGTGGCTCAAGATGGGTCTGATCGGGTACGTTGCCGACCACATTCTCAAGCACATGCTCGGCACCAATGAGTTTCTGTTCAGGCTCAGAAATGCGATTGATGCAATCGTAAGGGACGATCACTTGCACCTGCCCTTGTACGCACCGGCACGCACCGTGCACTCGTACCGCTCCGCATTCGTGTGCGCAAAGGCAGCGGTGTTCATGCACATCCTCGAGAACAACACATCTCTTGCGTTTATGCAAAAAATTGTGAAGATTTGTTTGAACAGAGAACGCATAAACACACACGCGTTCATTGGCGTGGTGCGCGACGTGACGGGCAAAGACCTGCGCAACGAGCGCATGATATACCGGAACAACAGCGGCACGTACACCGGGGAGGTGAGCATCGATCTGAAGAAGAACCAAGTGAAGATTGTTTTTAATGGGCCGGTGAACACCGTGGTGCAGTCGCACGAGGTGGAAGGGGTGTATGAGCACAATGTTAAGAAGGAGCTCACGTACACGTACCATAACAGGCGTAAGAAGGACGAAGAGAGCGTGCTGTTCATACGGGTGGACCCGTACATCACGCAGCTGAACACGTACAAGCTCGTGCTCAAGGGCACGATGTACGGCAACTTAACGCGCGACAAGAACGTGCTCAGCCAGATGGAGGGCATCAAGCACGTTGATGAGTGCGAGCTTGAGCGTCTTGTGTATGACGTGCACGTGAACTACCGTATAAAGCTGATGGCCATGCACTACCTGGGCATAAACAGCATTCTCTCGTTCTTTGTAAAGAAGTTCTGCGTGCAAGGCAGCACGATCATCAAGCCGAACATGTTTACCGTGCTGAACCACCAGGTGCTCGTTGGTACGATGCGCATTCTCTCGATGTTTGATCCGCACGTGAAAAGGGTTGTGAATGAGAAGGTTGTGAGCGTAGGAGCGATACTTAAGGCATTTTTCTACAACGTGCTGCGGTACAACGATAATTCAAGCAATGCTTACGATGATTCGGTGTTTGTAGGGCAGTTGATACGTGGTCTGTCGTTTATGCTGACCGTGCACGGTGGTACCGGTGAGGATATCGGTGATAACATTGGAGAGGGTGTTTATGAGGGTGTTGATGGTGGTAGGGACAGCGAGGATGATGAAATAGGTGGGAATGGGGATGATGGCAGCACCGATCGTATTGATAACACTGATCGCACTGCTAATGCAGATCGTACTATGAGTGCAAATCATATTAGCGGTGCCCTTGACGGTGCAATTAACAAAACGGTGAGTACTCCCCATGATACCACCCCTAGCACCGTAAAAAATAATTTATGGGACCGTAATGATGCGGAGCACCGTGAAATAATGAATAAGGAAAGAGAAGGGGTGATTGATACGGACCGTGGTCGCACGGGTACGAACCACCTTAACACAACGGCTGAGTGCGATGATATTTATCTTGAGATCATAGAACGGTACAGAATGAAGGACATAATCTTTCCTAGCAACTGCAACAGAGTTACATGTGCTGTTCTGTACTTCTACGGTCGGTTGGACCTGTACGGCATGGTAAACATGAACATAAACTATCTGCTGCTCTTGATACGGCCCGCTAATTTCATAGAGGTACGCTGTGCTGCTGCCGAAATACTCACTTTCAAAATCATTCTTGACGACGAGGAGATCATCCTGTCGCAGATTACCGAGCACTCGCACGCCGCAAAACAGGCACGCCACCACACAATAACATACGAAATGCTAGACACGATGCTACGCATGGACAGTGCCATACAAATCACCGTGTACAAAACGATAAACAATCTGATCACGTGCACCGCTTACAACTCGTTTGTGAAGGGCAAGCTGGACAAATCGTACTTTTACGACAGGCTAAGGAGTACGGAGGAGGCATCGGTGAGAGAACACATTCTGGAAGTGATCTACTTCTTGGAAGGGTTGGATGTGGAGATAAGAACGGATGAGTACTTGGAGCATGAGCTGAGTAGCACTGTGGAGGATGATGGTGGTGTGCGTATTAAGGTGGCACCTTTGGTTGATTTGAAGGTGCGGTTGAGGGTGCATGGTGTGTGCGATGGTATTGTTGTTAGGAGAATAGTGCCTGTGAAGGAGATGGACGGTGTGGTTAAGCTTAAGGTTGGTGCACGGGTCGGGGTAGGTGTGCCTGGTAAGAGAATGAAGGTTGGTAAGGTTAGTAGGGTGGGTAGGACGGGGAACAATAAGACCGGTAGTGTTGACAAGATTGGTGTAGGTAGCAAGACTGGCAGTGGCAACAGCATTGGTGGTAATGACCCTATCACTGCCGCTAACGATACTGCAAGCACCAAAAATATTGTGAAAAATAGCAATGGAACGGTAAAAAATGGGAAGACCGGTCATAAAACGGCAAGAACTACAGATTTAGCACGGGCTACCGAACAAACAGAATGGTGCTTTACAGATAATGCGATGATATCACGTATTATTGATGAATTTAATGATAAAATGGCATTTTCACCGGGTATAACCACGGAAAAAGACCTGAGAGCGTTTCTTACGCACGTATTTGTAAGCGAAGATGTTAACACGAAGAGTTACGCTCTTGCACGCACGGTTTACAACGAGTTAGAACGCGCCAAACTGGAAATACCGCTCGTGCACAGAATGTACACTCCCCTTACAGACGATCAAAAACATAAAATAAAGAAATTGCTCAACACGCTCACCATTCCACAGTTCTCCCGTCCAAAGAACTACAAAGACATCACCAGAAAGCCTAAAACTGTGTACTCCTTGAAAAGAAAATTGGATGGAATCGTTGTGCTTGAGTTCTTCAAGCTAGAAGTAATCGATTTCATAGAAAAGTGTGCGTTGTTCACACCAAAACGTAATTTTAATGAGAAGAGCCTTCTTTCGTATCTGTACAGCATACCGGAGAGCAAACATGTGAGTGTGTATGAGCTGCTGGAGCAGTGCTTTGAGCTTATTAAGACGAAGAAGGTGTGTGCGGAGTTTATCGATGAGGTGAAGGTGGATGGATATGACACGGTGGTGTGCAAGCCTATGTACCTCAATTTGATAGTGCGCAAGCTTAAGGATATGCGTTACGGGTGCGTGCTTGATGTATACAAGGATGTTGAGCTCATTGCAGCGAATGCTGCGCTCTTCAATGGTGAGAATAGCGTGTACGCTGCTGATTCCAAGCACATTGTGAAGTGGTTTAAGCGTATTGTTGGTGGCATGTTAGGTGATCTTTACAATGATGTTGATTAAGGGCACGTACTGTAATGTGATTTGATACGCATAGTACCGTGTAACGTGATTTGATACGCATAGTACCGTGTAACGTGATTTGATACGCGTAGTACCGTGTAATAGTACCAAATACTGTTACATATCGTAGTACCAAATATTACTGCATGGCAAGACATCATTACGATCGTACAATACTGATGATGATCATACCCTGCTTGTTACTCAAAAAATGTCCCCTTTACTTCACCATTAACGTAGTATAGTACACTTTAACAACCTCTTCTACACCTGTCAGTCAGCATCTCTCAGGGTTTGTTGCCCTCATTTTCTACCATCACGAACTTACTGCTCATACAGGGGCTGTTCATTTTCCTTAAATTTATAAAATAGACTGAATTAAATTAAAGAAGACTTCTCATTTTAGTCAAATTAAAATTGTGATAGGTACGTATCGAGGGTATCATTGCAAATCAGATACATCTTTAGAAATTGATGTATACATATTTCTTATAATCATGTATTGCTATTTTTGCTTATATTGCCAGTCACGTGCTATCGCTTGTACTATGTATTGACTGCAATACCATGATAAATTGTGGTAAAAGATGGAAACGGCTTAAAAGGTGCATACAATGAAATTATGGCGTAGTAAAACATATTTACCTTTTATTGTGATATACCTGAAATAAGCTGCATTATACATCACAGGTAATCGTAGTTTGATAGTATTTATACGTGTATCTGCCTGTAGGTTAAAGATTACGTTGATTTAATGTGGTAATTAGAGCCGTTCTGATTAAGGGTTGTGTGAATTGTTCTGAAATAGGAATATTTGATTATGAAATGAGGAAGAGGTGGGCATGGCGTGTTTGTACTTTTATATGAAGAGCTGCACTATTTTAATTGCATTTTTACAATTTTTTGTGGATTTATGTCTCTTTTTGCTATTTTAACTAAAAATGGTAATTATTGAATGTAATGATGTAAAAGGTATTATATTACGATTTAGAAGGGGTAGATATGAAATTATAGGTTGATTTGATACTTAATATATGAGAGGAACACCGTGTTGTATTGAATGGATGTGTATATACGGGTAGTGTGGTATGTAAGATAATGACTTTGTGATTTGGTATATTTTGTTAACCATGATGTGCATTGAGAATATTATCATTTATAGCACGTATCAGTGAATAATACTTAAACAGATGAATAATACGATATGATGGCGAATTTTTTATATTTAAATTATTATAACTTATAATATAGCATGGTGTAATTGTTTTCTACTAAAGGCCCGTTTGTTTATTTCCTATGCAATACAACACACGAGTCGAGAATGTGCTCACGCTATTTATAGCATGCTAAAACGATAGAATTGCTCCTGTACACCAACTGGTGTACCACTGCTACATTTTTGCCACCGTTTTTAATTTACTCATTCTCATATTCGTACGTTTTACCTGTCATTACATGTTCTGCTGTGCTGTTCTATCTTGGAGAGAAACTCATGCTCGTATTTACCAAAATATTTTCTAACAATTCCCTTGAGCACGTTTTCCTTAGTCATTGTGCTTCCTTCTGCCAGCATATTAAAAATGTACAACCATCCATAGACATTGAACGGTGTACTAAACATGTACGAATAATCTTTGTATTCTAACATACCATCTCTGAAAGACTCGTTATCAAGCAGATAAAGGACCTTTTGTGCCACATGCTGTACATCACCCGCATCTATAATATATCCTGTCCTATTGTCTAAAACTTGCAATCGGAGACCACCAACATTAAAAACCACCACGGGCACGCTTTTCATGATACAATCGGTAATTTTGTTCTCAAATCCCTCGCTTCTGCTCAGTTGGAGTGCCACACGTGCATCTCTAATCAAAATATTAAGTATTTGATCGATCGGTGGTATTTTCACGACTATAACACGGTCTTTAATTGTGCTATTGTGTTCTTCACCGAGATATTGCTGCAGTTCATTAAAAATTGTGGTTGTTTCAGGATCATCCATGCTGCCATACCCAACTATAAGAAGGTATAAACCGTAAAGAACGTCATTCTTGTCATTTATACGCGAACTTATCATGTTGAATAGAATGTGGAACGCATCTATACACTCCTTTTGCCCTTTCGTTCGATCAAAAGACGATACCTGGATGATGTAAGGCAAACTGAAAGAAAAATGCTTGTGGGTGCATTCGTGGCAGTGCTCACGGAATATTTGTTCGTAGTATGCACGATCATTTTCTGCGATGGTTTTGTTCAGACCGTCTAACGGATCGATACTTGACGGCAAATAAACGATCGGAGGTGTTTTGAAGTGTGCCATCAGATCGTTTGTGGGCTGTGCTACAAACAAATCTATGTCCGTCAAATTATGTGCGACATAATTCCATACATTTGTGAAGGCTGCATTCTGTCCGTATAGCTTGCCATGTATGTAAGTGTGTGATCGGAAAATTATTTTGGCTTCAGGGTTTATCTCTCTGAGGTACCTCACAAATCCTGCCATTTGAAGATCATCAAATACTACAATGTCTGCGGTTTGAAACACGTTACTTCGCCATAATCGATCAACATTCATTTTTGTCCAATTTTCAAAGTCGATGATCTCATGTTTATGTAGTTTGGCGCTTTTAGGCGCAACATTTTGCGTAATATTGTGCAATTTATACTTTGTGATTTTTGACACTGAGTTTACAGGTATCGTCACGTACCAGGAAGCATCTATGCCTATCAGCTTGTAGAAACGCATGTGAGCCTGTCGCATGAGTGCGATGTCACCACCTCGCGATGTGGACGAAATGAATGCTATTTTCCTGGTTCTCAGGTTACATGTTAGTGACCGTATATCATCAAAAATCGTGCTGTAAAACGGTCCATAGAACGATTTATAATCTTCGATTGACACAAGTGAGCTTTTAAACAGATCTACATCCATTTTGTTGTATTTTCCCATGTTCAGCCGTACTATACCGTTGTACCCGATAAGCAGCGTAGACTTTCTTGCAAACGAATCAGCTCTGCTGTCTGGGTCTCTAAGCGATGAAGAAAAGTAGCAGGGAAAGGTGTCTATCTTGGACCAAAATACCCGATTATTGGTGCGAAAATATTCTGGATAGAGCCACGATGAGATACAAAAGCCGGCTGCAATCACTTTCATGTTGTTCTTCTCGATATAGCACTCGATAAATTTGAAGACACTCCGGTTCATATCCAACAGAACGCATGTTACCATGCCAAAATTAAGGCTGGTTTCTCCAAATATCTCTTTAAGTATGTTGTATGGAATAAACTCGCTACTTTTCTTCTTCAACTCGTCATCATCCACCAATAATCTCACGCGGTCACATCTTGAACACACAAATATTCGCTGTTCATCGGTATAACAGCCTTTTTCGTCCCAAATTTGTTTTATTCCCCGCACAATTTCGTCAACATTATTGCTGTAGAACGGCGGTCTGATCCGCACCCATCTGTGTGCACAGTGCAATGGTTGTGGAATTACAAACACGCCACTCATGTTCAAATTAAAACACCCGATATTGTCTAAACACGTCCTTGAATACACTTCTATGTTGTTGTACATGTGGTTGTTATCGATCTTACATTCGATGCGGAAGTTGAGCGTTATAGAATCGATGCAAAAGCAGCCATCATTTACAGAAATAACAGCTCTACAAGACTGTTCGTTCTCGTGTATGAAAAGGTCGATGCCAAGAAAAACACCATTTCGAAGAGACATAGTGTGCTCCATCTATCCGTTTAAATAGAAGATGGTCACACGTGCCAATACATCACCTTGCATTCCCGCCAATGGGAAAACTTTCAACTTCTGTGTCACTCGTTTCTGCCCTAGTATCTGTATTTAATAGGTTACCGGTTTTAAATACGTATGTTGGTAACGCGTACTTAAACCGATAGTTTTTACCATCAATACATTCCTTAATTTGTTTTTATACCTTTTGAATCTTGTCTCTGCCTTATTTCCTGTTTTTCGCTTTCTGCACAGCAAAAACATTGTGACCAGGTTTCAAACTTCTCAAATCAAAATAAAACGTTATTCCAACGATAAATAAATCGATCACACTAAATACTGCTGTTATGTACAAATTATAACTCTTGTTAATACGTGTTATCGTATAACATGTGAGAGGACTATTACGGACCAATCTTAGTTCTTCAGATGATCTTTGATATAGCTGGTGACGGAAGAATAGGAAGAGTTAAACGAGCATTTTGCAATTCAAAACAATCCGACACAAGAATTCAAAGATGATATTTTCAACTGCTCCTGTATTAAATATGCACAAAACGATTATATTTGCAAATGAACTCACTTTAATAAGCTATATGATTATGTTGCGGTACTCGTGTGGTTTAGAATACAACTAATGTTCAACTCGTGCAGCACCTGTCAACTCCCACTTTGGCTTATAGTTCAACACATGAACAAATGCGAATGTCGTTCAATTGATGATTTAGGTCCTGTCCAATTGCGTAGTTTTTGATCATTGATCCACCATCAACACTTTGTAACAAAATATAAACATCTTCATTTAAATTAATCCTTGTGTAAGAAATGGCGGAAAAAATGGAAAAAAGCTCAAACGAGAAGAAAAGTGGCATGATGCTTAAACCGCGTAAAAAAGAAAAGAAAGAGAAAAACAAGAGAGAAGTAGTAGACAAGAAGGTTGAGATTGTGGAACAGAATTGTCCGGAGGCCAACAAAAAGGAGAACGTGGAAAATAATGAAACTGTGAAGGAAGTAACCAAAAAAAAGGAAGCTGTCGGGACGCAGTCTGCTGCTGGATCGAAACGCAGACCAAACATCGCGTTTTTGAAGCAGCAGGCTGAGATGATGAGAAAGCAGGAAGAGGAGATGAAAATGAAGAAAGAGGCACTAAGACAAAAAGAAATGGAGGAAACACGAAAGCAGAAGGAGAAGGAAGAGAAATTAAAGGAAGAACAGAGAATGAAAGCCGCGGAAAAGAAAGAAGCAGATGCTAAACCGGAAGGTGTGAAAAATGACAAGAAAACGGTGGAAGAGCTGCTAAAAAATCTGAATTTAGGAAACTTGAGAATAAGAAAAATTGAGCGAACGGTCTCAGGGGACAAGAACGAGGTCGCAAAGCCGGCTAAAAAAGAGTACAAGAAGGACTTCTTCTATAAAGCACCGATCGTCTGTATTCTTGGACATGTTGATACGGGTAAGACGAAAATTCTGGATAAATTGAGAGAAAGCAATGTGCAAGGAGGTGAAGCAGGTGGAATCACGCAACAGATCGGAGCTACATTCTTTCCGTATTCAGAGCTGGTGAACAAAACAAACACTAAGTTTGATTTTGATAATGATGTACCAGGTTTACTTGTAATCGATACACCGGGTCACGAAACCTTCTCAAATCTTAGGAGTAGAGGCTCATCCATGTGTGACTTTGCAATTTTGGTTGTTGACGTGCTGCATGCACTCGAGAAACAAACACTGGAGAGTATCGAACTGCTGAAATTGCGAAAGACACCTTTTCTGATAGCACTCAACAAAATTGACAGGGTATATCAGTGGAAGAGTGAGGCAGACGGGTTCCATCATTTTGACCTGCAAAGACAATCAGCTGTCACCAAGACCGAGTTTACCGATAAACTGAACCATATAATACTTAAGTTCGCAGAGATGGGACTAAACACTCGGTTGTTCTACGAAAACCCTGATGAACGTAAGTTTATAAATATCATACCTACGAGTGCGATTACAGGAGAAGGCCTGAGCGACCTGGTCAAGAAGATCATAGAGCTGTCTTCCAAATACATGAAGAATAAGATCACGTTTAAAGATAAGATGGAAGCAACCGTTCTCGAAGTGAAAAACGTGGAAGGTATCGGAATAACGGTGGATGCAATTGTTTCAAACGGCTCGTTGAGTGAAAATGACCGCATTGTGTTGTGCGGTCTGGATGGCCCTATCGTGACAAATGTGCGTTCGCTTCTTGTGCCCGAGCCACTCAAAGAGCTGCGAATAAAAAGCGTCTATAAGAACATAAAATGCGTCAAGGCGTCACTTGGTATAAAAATTGTGGCCAACGATTTGGAGCGGACAATTGCTGGAAGCAGGATTTTGAGAGTTAGGGATTACGGGGACGAGGAAGATGCCAAGCAGCAGGTAATGGAGGACATTAAGGAGCTTGCAAATTTGGAGAAGATAGGCATTCATCTGCAGGCATCAAGTTTAGGTAGTCTTGAGGCGCTTATAGCCCTGGTAAAAAATGAAAATATCCCCGTAGCAAGTGTTGGCATTGGAAAGAACCTGAGTCGAAAGGATATCCTTAAAATGAAGGCGATCAAGGAGAAAGACGTCAATGTGGGTATAATGCTGTGTTTTGATACAAAAATAGACAAAGAAATGATGGATTTGGCCGAGTCGCAGCACATAAAAATTTTTGAGGCACAAATAATCTACAACCTGATCGACAAGTACAAGGAATACACCGAAAAGTTGATCTCTATGAACAAGAAGAAGAACATGGCTGAGCTGGTATATCCCTGCAAATTGCAAATAATACCTGAATATATTTTTACCAAGAGGAGTCCTCTTATTCTTGGCATAGAGATAATTGAGGGTAAGCTCAAGATCAACATGCCGCTGTTCGTAAAGCATGAGGACGAGATCATTCAGGTCGGAAAGGTCACGTCAATGATCATGGAAAAAAAAAGCGTAGAGGTGGCAGACAAGGGCGGTAAGCTAAGTATCAAAATAGAAACAACGGATGCGCCCAAGTTAATAGGACGAGATATCAAAGTCACTGATCTAATGTACTCTACGTTGACACGCCGGTCAATAGACGTTTTGAAAGAATTTTACAAAGACGAGATAACAGACGATGCGTGGCGACTAGTGATGGAGATCAAACAATTTCTCGGTATTATTTGATATAGAAGACAATGTTTTCATTAAATATCCTCTGTTTTAGTTTTACATTACTCTTTTTGAGTATCAAATTTTTTACACAGTTTTTTATCGGTTTAGACGGCAAAACCATGGTTAATTTTTTAAATAAATTTCCTACTACACGAGCATTGTAAGTCATTTTTATGAATAAAGGAAACACACACATGGTGAGGTTATCCGTTTTGTGTTACCTGAACCGTTTATCCGTAATACTACCACAAAATTCTTGTTAAAATATCAAAGCTGTATTTACAAGTGGTCTTGCACATTTGTTTGTGCTAGAGATGACATGAAAGTGTACTATGATGTGTTTAATCGTGAACACTCATTTATTTAAGTGAAAAAGGTGGTATTCACGTACATTTGAGTTATGAGCAAAATTATAAAAATAGTAATTTTCATTAGAATTCGATATAGTGTAAACCAAAAACAAGGGCCCGAGAAATAGATTTTGCATGAAAATGGTAGAAAATAAACACAAGTTCTACAAGAGACGTGTATTAATAGCTGGTAAGTGCGACTATCTAATTAGGTGTTGGTTCTACGGGATCAGAAGTAGTAAAAATGCTGCTGCAATACGGGTGTGAACTCACTGTCCTGGATAATGACACGGTTGCTGTTACAGATTTGAATAGACAGTTCTATTATAGAAAAAATGATATTGGTCGACCCAAGGTAAAGGTACTGGAGGAATATTTGAGGCGACATCATGGGGTTATAATAGAGGTTATCAACAAAGACGTGTTCGATGTAACAGAATTTAGTTACGATCTTATGTTTTGCTGCTTTGATAATATCGAGTCACGTATGCAACTCAATTATGTTGCTTATACCAATAATGTGCCAATGATCGATCTTGGGATCGAAGGCTTACAGATGCACGTAAAAAAGGTTGATTTTGCGACGGATCGTGCATGTCTGTATTGCATGAAGGATTTATACAAAAACAAAACTGTCTTTAATTACTGTTCTCTAAAGAACATGAATACGCGCAACAGAGAAGCATGCATTTACAGTATGAGTTTAAAATATGAATCGATCAATGAGGTGATTGAACGTTTTAACGCAGTAAATGAATTAAAAACGGATGAGTTTGAGGTCAGAGGAGTAACGGAGAATATTCTACCAAATGCATGCTATATTGCATCTTTGTGTGCATCCATGGCATGCAAAATGATTAATGAACAAGAATATGATTTCCTCTACTACAATGGATACGAAGCAATTCATTTTAGCACCACAAAGATGGATATTGATCCAACCTGCATTTTATGTAATTTCAAGACACAGGAGCACAAAAATAATTAGCTCAATAGACCTGCCATTCTTTAATATTAAATGTTGCGTTGTACTTGAAATGTTTTAAATGATAGCATTGTCGTCAAAATCTTGGTGACTTCTTGATACAGATAGAAAGTCTGTTCGATATCGATTCAATCGAGAAGTATATACGGTTCGATTGTTATATACCGATGAAACAGAATGTTATGCGCCGCTTATTAGCTTAGTGGAGGTGTTTTTTCTTGGAAAATAGGTAAATTCAAAAAACGAAAATATTGAAGCACCCTATGGGAACGAGCAGCAAGGATAAGAGGGATATTTATTACAGATTGGCCAAGGAAAACGATTATAGGGCACGGAGTGCGTATAAAATAAAGCAGATAGACGAGCACTACAAAATATTGCATGGAAATACCACGGTTGTTGATCTCTGTGCTGCACCTGGTGGCTGGACACAAGTTGTTGCTGAAAAATGTGCAAAAGTGGTTGCTGTCGATATTCAAGACATTTTGACCATGGATGATGTTATTTTTATCAAGGAAGATATCACCAGCAATAGCTGTACAGAGTTAGTATTAAAAAGTGTACACTTTCTGAATAATAATGAAAATGCGAAGGCTGATCTGGTCTTGTGCGATGGCGCATCAAACATCTCGGGAATGCCGGATGTGGATGTACACGTGCAACATTCTATCCTATGTTCCGCTCTCAAACTAGCAGGAAAAATATCAAGGGCCGGTTCAACATTTGTGGGGAAATTATACAGGGATGGGGATGTGAGCACGGTGTTAAAACGCTTCCTGGAAGTGTATGAGCATGTGGAACTTGCTAAACCGAAGTGCAGCAGATCTTTGAGCATCGAATGTTTCGTAGTTGCAATGTCAAAAAGATTGAAGCCTGTAAAAATATGTGAGAATCATGTTCCGGTGTTCGAGTGTTTATCAGTCGGGAACGGACCGGATCCAGATGTTAATACAGATAATGCGACGCTTTTGGTCAGGAAGCATAAATTCCCTCCATTATCGCCGCCGTACAAAAAAGCGGTGGAGAAAAGGAAGATGAATTGAGAAGACCTGTAATTACATGTCTTGGCACTATGCAGCATAAGAATTTTGGCCAGTAATGCAATGAACTATGCTAAGATAAAATTATCCAAAAGAGTAACTTAGTATATTATGCTCAAGTTAATGGATATATAAATTACATGGTGCTTTCTACATCACTTAGGCATTGGTTATCGAACAAAGGGTCTTTGTCTGTTCGTTTCCATGGTTAAATGAAGCTTCTTTCAGGATGTATGTGATTTTTATTCGTGAGTTAATGCCGTTTTCGATCACAATATATGCAATCAATAATATAATTATTGGAGTTAGCCAAAAAATATGAACTATTTTGTGCAGGATATAACTGTTATGGTAAATAAATTCAACTAAAATCAATTAGGACGTGCTATTATGTTTTTATTGATTAAACCACCACGTTACGTTAATTTAATCAATAATAATACTGAATTATTGCCGGTTGTATTTGAACCAAGATATTTAGTTGTATCCTCAACAGTGCAAATAAAACCCGTTGAAACAAAACCGAATTTATTGACACAACCAACGTATTTACACCGTTTGGTATCATCAAAGAGCTCTTGTTACTCATCGTACCTAGTATACGAGAACTAAAGTGCTTCTCGGCTAAATTTTATATATTGACTAAAATTCACCGACCCATAGGCGAGGGATGTTGATAACAACAGAAAACACGAACAAATCAGATGATGAAAAAATGTTTGATGAATTCAAAGCTATGCAAGGCGAGTATCACAAGCTATATTCGTCCTATTTTTCAGGAAGAAAAAGACATGATGATGTGAATGAGAAGAACATCTATCAATCATCTATATTTATGATTGATACGGTTTTGCAATGCTGTTTGAACTTTAAAAAGTGTACTTCATCGTATTCCAGCATACTCAAAAAAGCCAAGGCATTTCTGGTTGCATATACATGCGAGTTGGAAAAGTCATTTGACCGAAAAAAAAAGGAAGATGAGGGTGAAACTCAAAACAACAAGTGCATCGTGTATAATAAACAGCCAGAGGTCAAGAGGAAAATAAATATCACCCACAATGGTAAGAGAATAGAGATGGAAAATATTTTCAACAAGTTCCATCAGCGCAATGAGCAAAAGGTTGAAGAAAAAGTTGTAGCGGATAAAAGTCCGCTAAATAGTCAAAATACGATGAATTCATCGGTCACAGATTTGGATGCAAGCATTAATAGCATATTAGGCGAAAATTTTGCGAAGAAGAAGACATTTGAGGTTGTAGAACCTGAGATTGCGGGAGACAAACAAGAGTTTTTTGCACAGGATAACAATTTTACTGATGATATTAATGATCAGAATGATTTAAATGGGTTCAAAGGTGCAGATGGTGAGCATTTTGAAAATATAATCGCCGGTAAAACTAATGATATGATAGATTTGAGCGACGAATTGTTCCAGAGTTTGGGAATCGACTTCGCTGCTCCTGAAGGCAATAATGATAACACCACAATTCCCCTCAACAGATTATCGAACCAGAGAAATAAAAAGCGCTACAAGTTTAATACCAACATAAACCAAAACAAGCGCAAAAAGAACGATAATATTTCCAACTACGTTCGCCAACAACCGAAACAACAGCATTATAGCTTATCGAAAAGTTTTTTTAATAACTTACATCACAATAGAAGCCAAGACAGCCAGGTGGCTGCTAATGTCGATTTTCAAGGCACAAATATTCAAAAAAATATCGAAAATAATATTTCCTTTGCTACTCGTATTAATAACTTATGCGTGAAACATAAGATTTCGCATCCAGAATACATAATAGAACGTACCAACAACGTTTTTATTTGTACAGCCGAGTTCTTTAGCCAAAAGTTTACCTCTCGATATTTCAAAACTAAGGAGGAGGCGAAAAACGATGTTTGTCGGCTTATTTGTGCTTTTTTAGAACCTGAAAAAAATGACATTGGAAAATACTACGAAGAGTTCATACTGGGTGGTAAAAGCAATCAATAAATTGCTAGCTACATTACTTATCGATATTTTTATTTTTCATGTTTGTTCGATTTTTCCGAATGTTATTGGCTTACATGGTTTCTTTCTGTCGGCCCGTGTACACTCGTGGCTGTTTCTTTAAGAATTATTTGTCTTTGGATGATCACGATGGGATTGCCTGTTGAGTGCATTTTACTTTATGCTCGGTATTTCATTTATTAGCACCTTAAATGTGTTGCGATGATCATTTGTGCCATTTTTCATTTGAATACATGGCAAATAAGTTCATTCGTTCTTATCGTCAAATGGATAATACGTTTCGAAGCATCATACTGGTTTATGTATAACCTTTTAACAATTTATAAATAAATAATTACTTGGTGACCATATTTACTGCTTTTTTATATGCCAGCTGCAGGTGTGTAAACCAAGAGATAAATCGACGGTCTGTCCAAGACTACCGGGATGGTCTTTGGCGGAGAGATGTCTTGTTCAATATTTTAGTTAAATTTAATAATGTACTTCTATACACTGGGCACATCATGTGCATTCAATGAATTCTAGCGGGCTACCGTAGCATAAAACAATTGGTTTTTAAGGGCATAAAAATAAATAATGCATACAAACCAGATGCATATGCAACAAGGGTAGTTAAAGAGAAGACTAATAACTAGTATCGCGTAAAGTCATATGTTTTATGTCTTTTTCCAAAGAGCACTGTTATTTAGCAAAATTACGGTGTAATGATCAAGAGAACTAGGCGATAACAAGATCGGTAAGAATAAAATGCGAATATTTGTGAAAAGTCCACATCGGCATACAACCTGCCAGGCCGAATCATATATTTGTTAAGATGTAACACTGTATGTAATTAAATACTAAATGCTATTGATATCATCGTAGGCAGTGAATATATCATTTTTATGGATAGATAATTATGTTATGGGAACAAATAGGTTATAACTACCCGTTATGATGAGGCCACGAGCTCATGCAGAACACAACTATGTGCCTAAGCCTGTAGCCTATGAAAGTTGATCGTCAATAGAGTCTTACAATTCACAGCTAATTTGCCTTCATAACCCAATGGAAAACTACCTGTCATGGAGCGCAAAAAATACAACTTATTACATGTTGCTTACAAACACGATTTACCCTACCATGGCATAAAAATAACGCTACACTTATATTGGACGCAGACGTACGGTGTTATTGGAACAAAAATAGGCACTTAAAGGTTTGCTGCCCATGACAAAGACGCGGGTTTAAAAAGTTATTTTTTCACAACATACAGTGAGCGTTATATAGGCGAGTTAACTGGAAATAAAGCATGGATACTGTGTAAAAAGTGATGCAAACCTTGATATAATAAAACAAAATCAAGACGTCAACACCACGACGTGACAAGCCGATCTTGCGTTTCCACAATGATAAAAGGCTATTAAACCATTAAACTTTTAACTTATCAAAAATAGCACATCGAGCTATCTTTTATGAACTCGAGATCGACTTTAGGTCCTAATAAATCTCTTATGTTGCTCAAACTATATTTTATCATGGCCGGCCTCTCAAGACTCAGCCCCCACCCAATAACTCGCCAATCATCCTTTATGCCCATTGGTTCTAAAACTTCAGGTCTGAACATACCGCTGTTTCCTATTTCAATCCATTTATTCATTTGTTCGTGGAAGGCAAATATTTCCATACTCGGTTCCGTATACGGATTGAACGCTGGCTTGAACTTTATATTTTTTAAATTTAGTTTCTCATAAAAAGCTTGAAGAGTACCCATGAGATGACCTATGCTTAGATTTTTACCTAACATCAGACCCTCGATCTGATGGAACTCGGCAAGATGAGTGGAGTCTACACTTTCATTCCTAAAAACTCTATCAATAGAAAACAACTTTATAGGATGCAAATTTTCCTTGTTCTGACCGATTTCATAGAGCACACGGGCGGAGCATCCGGTTGTATGTGTCCTCAGCACGTTTTTGAGACTCTCTTCAAGACTCCATTTACATCTATACGATTCCTCATGGACATCCTTTACTCGTCTACTATAGCTTGTCGGTGTCAACCTTGTTTTCTCCGGATTTGCCAGAAAGAAGGTGTCATGCATATCTCTGGCTGGGTGGTTCTGCGGTTGGAATAGCGCGTCAAAGTTCCAGAAAGACGATTCTACATAACGCGATGTCGGCATTTCCGAAAAACCAAGCTCCAAAAATATCTTTTTAACCTCTGCTTTTACCTTCATCAGTGGATGCAAATTACCTGACTCACAACGTATTTTGGTATTGAAATTATATTCCTTGAACTCGAGCCCCTTGTATTTATCGTTTAAAAGCATATCAGCCGTAAGTTCCGTTGCATAGTCATGTATACACGTGCTGTACAAGGGTCCCTTGCACACTGAGTACTTTTTGATTTTTTTCATCACAATTAACTTCCTCTTTTTCAACATATCAATCTCGTTTTCCGTTAGTTTTCTGCCTGTTTTTGAGGAGAGCGGTGTTCCCATCTCAGCAGGCTGGCCAACATGTCCATCCTCAGATTCTTTGGCGGGCCGCACATCTGACGCAATTTCGTTTGCTGTATCCTCCACCAATTTTAAAATTTCCTTCATTTCGTCTTTTACATTCTCCACTAACTTGTAAACGCACTTGTTTTGGATCTTGACCCACTTATTTTTCATTGCGTAATTCAGTCCAATATTCTTCTCCGCTTCCTGCCCGTCGGTTAATGACTTGAAGTACAAAAACTCAGGGCTACCCTGTAAAAGAACATCGTATCCCTCATCAGACAATACGGGAACGCTCTCTTCGATCAAACTGTGGATAATCACGTTCTTACTTTCCAGCTTCAAAATAATGCCGTGTAGACCCTCCCGGTCATCGAGCACCAAAACCTCCCTTTCTTGCAAATCGTTCAGAATTTTTTGAGACAAATCTTCATTTCCTTCTTGCGACATAGGGGTACCTAATCAAAAAGATTTTATCTCAAAATGATTACTTGAAGTGTGGTATACGTTTACCATCTTAGAAATTACTTTTTAACACACCAATATGAAAAATTATGGTAGTTTCATGAACTTGTCTTCTTTTTTAATCGACAAAGGAATGTGCCTGAACGAATTTGACTTTATATGGCATGATATCTAAATTGGCATCAATGCACCCTCTTAAAGCCGTTTTACTTACTCGTCATCTCGACCTATATGCATAGGTATACTATATCTGTGCTTTATTTTTAATCGAAAGGTATCAAATAATAAATGTGTAAAACCGATATAATCCAGTAAGGAATTTTGTCCTTGTAAAGAGATAAGGGATTATTCGCCGTAATAATGATAGCAAAAGATATTTACTAGTCCAATTATGCTATCAACCAACGCCATATTATTTTGAAAGCATATATTTGAAATGTTTTCTGTATATTGCGCTTCATTTCTCCATTTTAATAGTAAGTTGTGACCACATATTACGATTACCTAGCAATAAAATCAAATAATACCGGTTTGGGAGAGATAGTTACGATATACCTAACGATAGAAAACGTGTAATAATGATTTTGGCAAAATCGAATCATTTTATATTCATAAATAATCTATTAAAGACATATTAAAGTTATACATGGTATTTATGAGTAACAGTAATTTATTTTGAAGGTTATCATTACGTTCGTTGGTTATAAATCGCAATTGAAGAGTAATTCCGCTGAGGTGTAGAAAACAGACGTGATGTGAAGCATACATCATTATTTGCAACGTGCAACATAAATTCTTCCCTATGTTTTGTAATTAAACCTGTCAGTCGCAGTTTATTAGACCATATTCACAGTAATTACGTCAAAATAAGAAATATTGAGCGGTTCGTCAAAAATAGTTTTGAGAAACAATGCTATATGAATCATTATTTTAGTTTTAAAGAGGCATTACCACTTTATATGTGCTATGCTTCGCAAAGGGATTCTCTCTGATTCAGAAAATTCAGGTACATTTATTGTATTGTGACAAGAGGCGCTTGGTTCATGGTAAACGTTTGCGAATGACTTTCTAGTTTGATTTTAATAAAATAAAAAGCGGAAATACAAATATGAAAAATGGCACATACCCACTTTACCAATAGTTAATTTGTATGTAAGCACGATCATTTCCATCACATATTACTTGTACTCAACATTGTGGCAAAAATTTCTGTAATTTAAATGTATAATGACACAAATATAACATGCCCGCGAATTAACAAGCAGTAGTTATCAAGAATCGCTCTTGAAACGGTACGAATATAAACCTTAGATGTTTGTGAAAATATTAACGGTTTTCTCTCAAAACGGAGCTGATATTGAGGCAGCATCCGCACCAACATGTTCGTGTAGCGCTCATCAATAAGAAACATTGTTTTGTTACCTCTTTACCAAATTCGAGAGGATTCCCACGTTGTATTTTTGCGTTTGTTTTGAGTGCAACATTGTGGCTTTTGCCCTCATCATCTCTCGTAACGTGTCTCGGCAATAAAAACCGTCAGCCCTTCTCAGTTTTTTACTTTTTCCATTCTTTGACCCATATGTTCTCGGTATTCCGCATACTCTACTCATTCATATTTTTCATCAACACCATAGTAATATTGAACGAGTACAGATTTCTCGGAAAACTTGGATTGCCTTTACAGCCAGAATACCGAAGTAACCTGTCTAAAACACGGCAAAAAATTGTTGACCTGATAAAGGCTGTGCGCACTGTATGTAGCATACCGCTAATCTTTTTGAATGTATTAGGAATTGTTTATGAAATATTTTTGGGATAGATCGGTATAAATAAATGCTGGAATTAGATTTGTTATTGGATGAATACGTAGATAGTGTTAAATACTTGGTGTTGTGTGCTTTAGTGTAGCAGTTCTTTATAACAAATGGGATAATAAATAGTAAATGTTAATAGCGTATTATTTCGTGAGAACCATTCATTTCTTATCCGATGTTTGGTTAAAAGTTTTATTACGGCTTTTGACCAGTATAATATTGGTCGTGTGCTGAGTAAAAGATCATTGCATAACATATGTGTGCTACGAATATGCTGATCCGTTATCTTGAGACTACGTCAGAAACAGATACTATAATGAGTGTTTGAACGTAACAAAATTAGGAATTATACGATATTATAGACAAAAATATGGAGCAGAAAATTGACTTGTGAACTTGAGGCGAAAATGTAGAAAGAACAAAAAAAGAGTTTATGGTGCAAATAATAGTGAAAATTATACACTACATGTATTTTCTACTTGGATGAAAGTTTGGTGCCATCTGTACATATAAGAACTATTTGTGATATTTCTCGGCATCTCATGTCCACTAGAACAAGTGCCTGGTAAGAATTCACAGCAGTGTGGCGCAAGGAATGACAAAATTTCAGAAAGCGCTTTCAATTTAATTTTATTTGAAACATTTGCCACAAGCATATGCCAAGCAGGGTACTCATGAGCATATATTCTTGTGCATTGTACTATCAACGCTCTAAAACGTACGTCATACGTGAACTGTGACTCAATACCTGATTTACGTGATCGGAATTGCCTGCAATATTATTAATGAGCATAAGACAAATAAAAGTTGATAAGGCTACTTTAACTGCCACACAATAACTGGTACAAAACCGTAGTGCACTTGAACAACGATTGTTCATTATTTTATCTAATTTTTATTTTGCATTCAATAGCATTTTTACGAAGAACGCGTCGTTTCATTATTTGCAACACAGCAATGTTTGCAAAAATACGCTTTCCTTGCTGGTAGTTGCTACATCAAATAATTAAAACATCGTGTTCAATTAGATGAAATAGCATTATCGATAATCTATAAAAAGTAAATGAGCAATATTGATGATAGCAACATTGTTGTGCATATGCCTCGTATTCTATGCTCTGAGTCAAAGACAAGTAGCCATGATCAGTCCAATAATGAACGGCCGAACCAAAACCACACATAAAACTTCAATCTGTAGATTATAGACAATCAATAAGAGAGAAAAACAAACACTGTTTATTTTTATCAGTCAACTACCAGCAATCCTCCTCTTTTAGCCGCCTCCTTATTAAACAGCTCACAGTATTGCCACACAATCGATACAGCCAAAAAGATATTCGTTCCAGATCCTATCGTATCAAGAATATTGGAAAGCATGACAATAAATCCTATAACCAACCCACCCAAGAATGCAGCTGTGGGGATGTACTCACCTAATTTATTCGCTAGATTACGCTCAGGCACGCCTTTAATGGTAACACGTCTGTTTATGAGCGATCGCGCAACATCGTTCTGATTGTTTTCAGTCATGTCAATCCATGCACGCGATAGAAACGCGGAGCTGAGGAGCACTATGCTGGTGTATACCATGAAATAGAAGGGTTTTCTGAAAATGTCCATCAGTGAATCAGGAGGGAACAAGAAGTAGCAGATACCACTTATGGGCACCATCTTACCACTTCTGCGCATTGTCCACACGCCCAGAAGGCGTACGAGGAAAACATCGGGGAATTTCTGGTACAGGAAGCGAGACACGGTGGATGCATGCGAAATGATGTAGTTTTGCACGATTATCGGCATTGTGGAGGAATAAAGCAACTTGATGGGGAAGTTACCCTGCTGTCCCTTAACCTGCAAAGACTCAGTGCGCAGGTTCACGCGCACACCGTGAACATAAATTACCAGGGCAAAGATAAGGAGCGTTGATGTGAGTGTCATCATGTTCGGCAGATTCTCTCTGAAAAATGCCTCGTGTAGGGCGTACAGCTTGTTCTTGCGCACGAAGAGTAGGTGGACGAGCGCGATGAGCGAACCCTCAAACTCTATCCCACGGGCGGTTGTGTGCATCTTAGGACTGAGTGCCTTCCAAATGATGCTCTCGCACATGTTTGTCGCAATGAAAAGGTTCACTCCAGAGCCGAGACCGTATCCTTTCTGCAACAGCTCGTCAAGCAGGATGATAATGATGCCGGAGAAGAACAGCTGAATAACGAGCAGGAGGGACACCTGTATTCCAATCTCACTGGTCGGCCCGTAGAACCCTGTGCTCACCTGCACGATGCTTTGTCCCACCGTAAGCAGCACCGCCAGCAACTTGGAGGCAGCGCTGTACAATGTCTGATCTTCTTTCACCTTGCTATTCACCCGCACAATCTCTAGGCTGCTCAACATCTGCATAATCATGCTGGACGTGACTACAGGCGATATTCCTAGGTCCATCAACGTGCCCCTGTTACTTGCCATCATCATTCTCATCCAGTAGAACGGGTCAGCTGAATTCGTGTTAAGAATGCCAAAGAGCGGAACCTGCGAAGACACAAGGTATATAAGCAGGGCAACACCTGTCCACACGAATTTTTCCTGAAAGTTTATTTCTCGGCCAGGAAGCTGCACTTCTGGCAAAAATGGAACGAAAGGCTTGATCAGCGAGAGCGCACGAAATGCCATGCATAATTATTTTTTTTCTTTTTTATAACCCATGTTCGAGTCTTTTTAAAAAAATTTTGTAATTAAATTCGTAAATTGTTAATTTGTTGGAAACATGTACGACGTTGAACAACATTGGAAGAAAAGAATCAAGTCACAACAATTTACGGCAGAATTGGTTTTTAAATATGGTGGTGTAGAGATGAATATTGCAAAACTAGCACGATGAGAATGGACACTCATATTTGCCAGATATTTGCCTAGGACACAAGCAATACAACCTATTTTCTTCATTTATTTCCCGATATCAAAGTGTTTTCGTTGCTGCTCGCTTTAATAAATTGCGTTAGAGATCGCAAAATTAGACTTTTAATTTTTTGAAGCACATGCATTTATACACCTCTACAATATGAGAAATAGTACAAATTATGAGATGCTCCTCATTTACACATTCATATTGCAAATACTTCATCATATATCCACGCCGCATTACGATGTGCTATCATGGGATATGGCTACACTTCTCGCGTAAAAAGCGGATGATTTTCTCCTTATCAATCCTCAGTCCGTCTTCAATGTGTTCATAGAACACATCAAGAACATTCCAGTCCATGTTCACATATCTGTCCATACGTTCACAAAAATAGGCAAGATTAAGAACAAGCTGATTTCCCATCGATTTAAACATCTTTTTTCCAACAAACACGTCTTTACAGTCACTGAAAAAGGCGAGTATAAACAGGTTCAAGAGCTGCTGCGATGCAGCATGCGGATTGTCTAAGTCATACGTATCCCTAAGATCGCTCACAATGTCAATTATCCAGCTGTCAGGCACCCGCAATATTCTACTGCTAATGAACCCAACATGTTTACCATCCACCACCTCCTCACCAGCCGCTTCGCTGCAATAATCATCACATATCAGGTCGAGAACGAGTGCACGCACTTCCAAAATTTTATAGTGCACCACCAGTTGTGTAATCTCGTTTCCACCTTTTCCGTATTTCTCAAATACATACAGCAAGTCGTACACTTGTTGCACCAGTTTTGAGGTGATTGAGAGTGTTTTTATCCTTTTGGTGATGAGACTGCAGTAATACTCGATAAGGTTTTTCTGAAGCAGCTTCGTATCTTCGAATTCACTTAAAATGATTAACAATCTGACCAAGGATGGTGAGGTGTATTGTGGTGTTGACATTGCTCTTGAAGGGTGATAGGATGGTTGTAAACAAATAATTGTAAAACCTTCTGCCGCTTTGAGTACGGATATGTTCAAATAGGGGTTTTTATTCGGTTGCACAAGCAACCCAGAGCATATCCCTATTTTGTCAGATACAAAAACGACTGCATCAAATTATAGTTGGGGTCATAGGATTGGTTCACGTGTACCAAGGAATATATTTACATGATTTGAAATCATCTAACACGTTCTTCGATTTTTTACCTTTCATAAATTTTTAGTCACATAGATCCCAAAATTATTCTTCACTGTTCCATTCTGTCTGTCAAAAACACTTTATAAGCGTAATTTGCTGCGCCAGTCCTGTTTTAACGATAAGTTTTTGGTTATATATCCAATAAAATTCATTTTCCTGACAAAACTGTTGTTTTGTAACTGCAGATGATGCTGGATTCATAAGGTGTATGAAACCGTTTCTTTCGTTTTACTTTTTGTTCGCGAATGTAAAAATATTCTTTTTTACCAAACATAGAGTGCTAAGTGAGAAAGGATCAAAAGAGGATAATTTCAATAGAAATATTCTATTTTTGTAAAAAAGACCAATGATTTAATTCTATATAATCAGTAAATCATCTTTCAATTCATCTGTCTATTCATGTTAATTAAGTGATTAATTTTTTAATCTCGTTACCGAGGATGTCAAAAAAAATTAATCATTTCCGCTAAAATTGGTAATTTTGGATGGTTCTAAGGTGGTTTAGGTCCGTACATTATCAATTTTGGAGATAAACCTGATTTTAGAAAGCAACAACAATAAAACCACTAAAATACTGCTATTAATAAACGAAACACTAAAACGGATGCTGTGTTAGGTAATCGAACCCTAACCAAAAAATGGTACAAAAGATCACTTTTATTATCTTGATGAAATAATTTGTTTAATATTGGCACGGAGAGGTGTCATCTTTGACAAATTTAGTGAGATGAATGATATAGGATTATAACAGTAACATGCGGTAAACCGTGCCAAGACTGGAAAGTATTTCGGATCGCTTGGTAAATTTTACCTTTCAAGGTACCAGAATTATTCCATATGTTGCTTTGTAAAGACTAGAAAGGAAGATGAGTGAGGAAAAACGGAGGAAAGCCAAAAACAACAGTTACACCAAAATATTCTCTTCGGTTTCTTGAAAATTTGTTTGCTGGATGGGATATGTCATGAATATTGAAGTAAGTCAAAGAAATTTGATAGAAAAGGTAAAAGAGAGAAGAACGATCAATAACAATGCCTACTTCATACATACTATGAATGATCATATGTAAACCAAGACACGGGTGAAGCATTTTAATTTATCACTTTTTACAACTTATTTTTAAAAATGTTTTATTTTGATTGCTTTCTCGTCATAGAAATATGTTTGTTTATCAATCACACGATCGTGTTCAAATCAACATATTTTCTGGCTCGCAGTAATCAAACGTGACCACTAATCGTTGATTTGTAGAGGAATTTGAACATTTTTAGGCTAGGTTAGTTTCATAAGTATAGAAAATGTATACCAGTAAAAAATGCTTTGCACCTAATATTACATTAAAATGCACAGAGCACTATAAAAGTACCTTCATCGATTGATACAACGGAAACACAGCAAATAATGCGTAAGTAGGTGTACTGGTAACCAATTCTGTTATATATGATTAGTTATAAGTGGTTTGATTGATACATTCACAACATTATGTTATTTTTTGGTTGGTAAGGATACATTCTCTATGATTAAGAGCACATCAAGTGTACGTCATGTAATCTACATGTGTTGTGTAAGCATTTAATTACACACATAACATGTAGATTCTGTACAGTTCTTGTGCAAACGTATGGATGAGCATAACTCAATTAAATGTCTCTTTCAACAAAAACATGATTAAAACAATTACAACCAGGTACTATCGTTTTTGGTGGTGCAAGACATAGTTGAGGTGGTGAGTAAATTTGTTATTGCTGTGGTGTGCATGGTCTACAGAAGCGTAGTTCATCAAATTAATTTAATAGATAAATTTATCATTATCATTGTTCCGCCTTGTACAACAAACGAGAATAAATTGAATGCTAATTAATATGATCTTATGTTTGTATTGTTAACGATATTATCTCACCATGTTAACATAAATAAGTATCCTCTACAAATAACATTTGCTATTCGTGTACATTCTCTCGATAGTCATTTTCTAAACACTACAGCATATCTTGTTTTATAATTTTGTTCTACAAAGCGTGTATGACCTGTATGGTAGCGAGATGATGCGGTATTTTGGATCTTGATAGGTATTCCATAGCGTATATGCTTAGCAACCAAGAATGATCCCTGCTACTAGAAATTTATTGTATCTAACATTTGTGTAACGTGGAGTACTAGTTGAATGGCAGCAAGCTACCGTTTACATAGGGATGAAGGTTCAAACATGTTATTTATCCGAAAGGAGTTGCAAACATGGCAGGCTATCATTCCTTTCTGATCCCGCGATACTTAAAAATATTTGTGATTGGTGCAGATGCACCCAAAGGATAAATATGATGTGCTTTGGTACGAAAATTTGTCGAGCAAACTTAATTTAATTTATGAAGCATTTAAAGGAGCGCAATACATGACTGTACCATATGATACATGCATATCACTGGTACTTGTTTGCAATCATTATGATTTCAGCCCGATCAGCATCAATCATCGGTGCTCGTAATCAAATTACCAACAATTTTTGATTGGTGCTATGAGTAACGTGTTTTAATTAATTGAATATTTTGAAAACGTACAAATGACTTAATTGCTGATCTGAAAATATAAATGGTACATTGGTTAGATTCGAACGAATGAAATGCTAACGCTCGGCGTATTGATGCTGAAAGCGATTGCATCACCGCATTACATTCGATTAGCAGGGATTTCCGCACAGCGATCATTTGGTGATATCTCTAGGATGGTATTTATTAAACCAATAAAAATTATATGAAATTTAAAATGAGAGCGAATTGGGAATGAGGTGTAATGAGCGAATGATGGACAAATGAATGGACAAGTACTTTTACAAAAAGTAAGAAATAAAAGGTAAAAGATTGGATGAAGGATCAGGGCGAACTATACCAAGAGCGCAGTTATAGATAGAATATTACGAAATATGATGCAAACACAGTGAGAGAGCTCATAAAAGAATATGTAGACCAAAAATTGTATGAAAATGTGCAATAATAATGCATTATCATCTTATAGATCTCATAATATCAGGCGTGCTGTATTTAATTTATGAAAATGATTGGTGATGAAATAAATAATGTACGAAAATAAGGTGATATACAAGAATAGATAATGTATGAAAATAGTAAAACATAATTACGGCACATCGAATGGCAGTGTCCTAGCAATATACTCAGGTAAGTAAAAATATAGGGTAGCATACAGCTCCGATTAAATATCACTCGAACCACTGTTATGATAAAATACGGTTGATAGGCAGAAACCTAATAAGTTACAGACAAAATATTTTTTTGTGTTGAGTACAACATTCATAATTTTCATAATAGTATTTTTCTGGTTTTATAAAGGTGCGCATATGAATTAATTATCATCTTAACTGATTAAAAATGTTATTTCAAGTTGAAATGAACAAAATTCTGCCGTTCATTTTAAAGGTTAATTATTTCCTTAAAAGGAGCATAAAACAAATGATAACATTTTTTGAACTGTTTGAGTGGGAGGCGGCTCATGTATTGTAATTAAATTACAACTTTTGGTGTAATTCGTAAGGGAAGAATATTTTATATGCCTAGGTTTGGTTTTACAGCCAGGAAGTAGCGCATAATCATGAAACAAAAGAGATCTGCAGATAGCGCATTCTATTACGAAAACAGCAAATAAATACGACAGAACTTTGTGGAGTGTCCGCGCAGCACTACCTGTGCTCCGTATCTATCGCTGAGCAACATCGCGTCTTGTCAAGATAATTATTACTGAGTCGTGATTATCAGTGCAAAAGAACAGAAAACACCCGTAATTAGGCTAATTAGAGTTACTGTACGTGATGAAGCGCTGTAACCGCATCGAATAAATACTTTTCATCAAAACATTGATAAATGATTGTTACTATTCGTTTCACTGCTGTTCTCGAACGACATGCATTTCATTTATTTAATAATTCCCAAAAGATGCTTTTATTGCGCACAAACACGAAATATCATGCAAATATTAGCACAGTAAGGCACCTTTCCACTCAGCTGTCACCAATGCGTCACACCCATTCGTACGGCATATCATTTGTCTCCTTTTTCTATAAATCTGTTTCAAAATATTTTTGATAAAAAATTTGACTGTTTACAATCTTAAAGTATCTTATCCCTGTAATATAAAAAAATAAAAAATGGTAAATACTGTATTAGACAAAGTTATAAGAATAAGAAAATTAATTAGAACTAACAAAGATGCCAAGATAAAAATGATTGAGGACTACGTTTACTTCAAAGGTGCAATGTTTAAGATGGAGAAGGAGATTGACGAGATCCTGATAAAGAAAAAGGAAGATTTGCAGCTAGAGGAACTGAGGAAAAAGAAGAGAAGAAGTAATAATGAAAAAGCTCTGGTAAGGAGATGTACAAAGATTGAGGCTCTGGAGGATATCAACGAAATAAGGGGACTGGAAAACGAAAGCGTTGTCACGGTTACTGACGGCGTGCTGAGAGTAAAACGCTCTGAATTTAGAAAAAAAGACGCTGTAAAAGTAAATATGCACGGGGAGAGGTTCAATGCTGTCTTGCTCTCTATTTCGCCATCTGGCATCGTTGTAAAGGCAAAAAATGGAAAGAAGTACAAGATTATGATCCAGAGTATAAAAAAAGATGATGTTAGGTTCATTAAGCTAGAGAGAAACAAATGAGAAGAAAAGAATTTGTGATTAAAATATTGTCAGTGTTCTTTACTATTCCGTTTTGCTCCAATGCATGCGTTATTTACGCATCGTAGTGCAATTCGAACATCGATTCTTATTGATAGCAGCTACCATGTTATTCTCGTCTACTACCGGCTTGAGTCAGCTATTATAGCCGATATGTCTAATTAGCAATAAAATGGCCAATTTATTGACATATTTGAGCTGATCTCGTGTGAATTTGCAATCAAAACATCGTTTGACGGATAAACATGCATTTGCTACGCCTAGTGCTGCAAAGCACAAAGATTTGAAAAAGTTTTTGGTTATGCCTCGGATCCATGGCCAAAAAATGCAGTTTGCCCATATGCATTTGATTATCGACCGTAAAATAAATTCGTACGTCGTATATCATCGTTCACGTCAGTGCGTATGTTGGTTTACATGACTTGCAAAACAAATATTCTGTTTAAAAGGTTCTTATTGCTGTGCAACTTCTCGTCACATGCTTTTTAGCGGTAATAAGCATCATAAGCCGCGCCCCTCGTGTTCCATTTCTTTTTGTCCGCCAATGGCACACATTCCGTAAAAAACGTCAATTTACCAAAAAATGCACATGACCATCTGTCATTTTATGACGATTTTAACCAGAATACGTCTTCTCCTTTGCATTCTGTATCATTTCTAGCTCGAATATCCTATTTAAGACATTCTTAATAAATCTTTTTATTAAATACACCTAGTATTTTGGTATTCGTTCTCCCAATTTGCTGAATTTCTGGAGATGATCACTATCTACAAATGTCTTGGTAGGATAGAATATTATCATTTTATTTTTTGACGTGATATAGAATAAACCATAGGGGAATTAAAACTGCTGTCTGGGAATAGAAAAACGTTTTTGGCGCTTCAAATATTTTATTGCGTTAGTTGCCGATCAATAAACATGAAAACAGTCATATTGAGATAACTATATCCGTACGGCTGTATCGCACAGTTTCTCAATTTTCATATGTCTGAGAATGGCCTTCCTTCCGACCTACCTGAAATAAGGTAAAACTAATTATTCGTTTTCCAGTAAATCTGATCACAATGGGGTAAAGTCATGATCGCCTTCGTAATTTTTATGTAATTTACCATATATTCGTCGTGAAAGCGCTTTTTAATGTGATACACAGTACTTTAGTGTCATTGTACACACGATAAGTGCGAAGAGTTGAATAGCTGATTGAATATGCCAAAGAGTGCTAAACATACAAACCGACAATAGTTGAGAGTAATTGATCTGCACCATGCTGCTTTATAAAAATGTGAACATGTTGAACGCACTAATAGATTCAGAGGCACATAACACCTGCAAATGCATCCTTTCCTCTCATTATTGTGCTATACAATGGTTCATCTCGTACGGTAATTCACATTTTCGAGTTTTATAACCATTAATGCTGCTTTTATACCTATTAGAGGTCTTTGAGCAACGGACAATTTGATTACGAGCTGTAAAATTCATTTCATCACTCTTTTATTGCTGTAAAATCTTCAAGAAAATATTCTTGAAAAGGAATATCATTGAAACTATTCAAAAAATATAATTACTACGGAATTTAATTTGAAAATGACCATGTTTTAATAAAAACTGTCTTATAAGCGCTATACTCAGAAGTATACGGGCAAGTTGAATTTGTTATCTCCAATTTTAAATTTTACATTTGGTAGCACCGTGCACGGAGCAGCCGTGCCATGGCTATTTTTATATTACAAGTAGAAACCGCCTTTGAGAAAGGAACATTCTGCAAATTGTGTTTTCTTATACAGCCAAAGATTCGAAACATTCTATTTTGGTATTTTCGACAAAAAATTTCTGCAGCCGAAAATAGTACATGCTCACGGCGTTCATGAGCACTTCACGTCAATTTCTATAATTTGTATACTTTTAAATTTATTAATCGTTTTTCTGGTAGGTCTTAATGAATTATCACGCACATAGACGCCAAAACAATATAATAGCCATAAATATCACTAACAAACACGAATGAAGACGGTTATATAAGGAAATATAACGATTTGTACCTTTCAGCTCGTGATATATGATTGGTAAACATGTGCTGTTGCAATGGCCAGATCAACCATATTTAGCTAATTTTTCTGCCGTTAGACAAAACAAAAAAATTACCAGCATTAGATAACGCACTCACCTGATTATATTGCTCATAGCGTTTTGACCTGTTGGTGAGCGCAAGTAAATGCGGACGAATGTGTCATTTCGTACAATTCCTGCAAATGAAAATATTACCGAATAGGAAGTGTGTGAAAAATGCGAAAATAATTTTAATTGGTAACGTAATCAAGTTGTTATTTCCAAAAGCTCAGATCAAAATCTTTGAATAGCTAAAGCCGAGCTGAGCGAACCAATAGAAAGTATCTGTTTGTATGGCAGACTATCCACAACTTTTATTCATATCAAATCACAGACAGGTCCACTATTGTCATGGTTTAGTTCTTTCTACAGTGTGAATAAAATGCGGATGATCATATCCGAACAAGAAATAGTTCATCAACCAATGATCATTTACATACAATAAAGAAATTAATAACCTGTCAAACGGGTAATTTAACAGCGCAGCTTTCACTCTCTAGAAGAAGAGTACGATGGTAGTAATGAATTTAATTGCGATTATGATAGTATGTCGCTTGCAATATAGGATTGTTCACTAGTATACACGTTGTGCATGGAGTTACAAAATAGCAAACTAAGCTGGTTCATTTTTTAGATAATATTTCTTGCTCAGATCGTGATATTTTTTATAATCTTTACTTAGCACAATTTACAAATCCATTTCACCTGATATAGCCTTGTGAAGATAGCAGAAGTTGAAACCAAAACTGGGCTTGAATGAAACGATAGCGCTCCACCAGACACAAATTACGACCAAAGCACTACTTTATAATAAGATATTTATTTAGAGTGAACTATATAGCCACACGACGGATAATGATCAAGTCCCATCCTCATCAATGTCCTTTTCCCGAATCCGGGATTCACAAACACCAGTCCACCACCAAATTTCTTGTATTCTACGTCATACGGTCCGTAAAAAATGGCGTATGTCTTGGAACTTGACTTTGCGTTCTCCGGAACACCAATGAACACCGTACTATTTGATTTAAAAGATTCTTGCTTCAATATATTCGCGTTATCGCACACAACTATCGATAGATCATAGCTTCCTTCCAAGCTGTCCTTTTTCTTCTGCCTTTCCTTCTTGGAAATAAAAAGCTGCCTGACAATCTTGCAGTTCACCGAGCAAAGCATGATCAACTCGGGGTAGTACCCCTGCGCCATGAGCAGCCGCGAGATATTGAACGCTACCTGTGCGTACCAGTCATCCTTTTGAATTATGACGCCAATTTTCATACTGTGCGATTCCTTGTTGCCAAAGAAATTGTTTTTAAAGAAATTGATGGAATAGCACGCAGCAATACTCGCAGCTTCCTCCTTGCTCGGTCCGTAGTTATCGTATGCCTCTCTTATTATACTCTTCCTCTGCTCGCTTGTCATATCCACAAACAACGAGGCATACCTGTTCTTGTCCTCGAATAAATATTCGCTTTTTTCGTTAAATTCCAGGTATTCGCCAGCCTCTACTATAGCTGGATCGTTTAGCTCCTTCGGATCGTTGTCGTTAAGCTCCAAATTTTCTACATGCGAAAAGAGAATCCGTGTGAGCGACTGTACATTCTTTTCCTGCACATATATCAACCCATTGTCGGTATCTATTCTTTTCAATATGCCTGATACCAACGATGAGGCCGTCTGCACCGTTATGCTGTGTTCCAGATATTCCTTCATCTTGCAGGGGGTAAACAATTAGATGAACGTAATGCGGTTTTAGTGCTGGTCTGACCTACAAGTACAACAGTGACAAAAGCGTACAGGTGCAGCGGTATTAGATCATGTACATGTAAAAAAAGTCATGAGCAGGTATCACGCGATGTATTACAAGCTAATGACATGATTATGAGAATTTAACAAAATCGGTGAAATCGCTACCCTGCCAATATTAGGTAAAATACCCATCCTGAACAGCAATTTTACACAGAACACATCGATTAGCACTTTTCACAGATTTTTCTTCAATTTATCATGAACATGTTTCCTTCTTCGTGCTGTACTGCACCGTTGTGTCCATTTGTTCTTCGGAACATAAAAATTTGAAATCAAGCAACGGAGGAATATGCTTGGGAATTTATGATGAGATGGAAAATACGAACAACTTAACTGTTTCATACGTTTAAATGCTGCATAAAAGCACATGAACGATTGTTGAAGAAGAAACTGTGAGACTTTACTGAATTATTTCATCATATCACGTACCCGTTTGAAAACATCCTCAACACTTGGCAGGGACATCTGCTCAAGATTTAATGCATACGGTGTAGGCACGTCCTCAGCATTTATTCTCTCAACAGGCACTTTCAGCATACTGAACATTTTTTCGTGGATATTGGCCGATATTTCCGATGCTATGCTGAAGCACGGCCAAGAATTGTCGACAATTACAAGTCTCCTCGTTTTTTTGACGCTCTCAACTATCGTTGCGTAATCAATCGGCCGTATTGATATGAGATTTATTACCTCGACACTGATACCGTCTTTCTCCAACATTTGCGATGCCTCCAAACAAAGGCCCACCGTGAGCGAGATGCCTATTAACGTGACATCCTTGCCTTCCCTTTCCACCACAGCCTTGAACTCCTGAATGTACTCTTTGTCATCAAACGATTTACATCTCTCGAATGGTTTCTGGTACAGCACCTCATTTTCCAAGAATATTACCGGGTTTTGATCACGCAAGGCCTTTCTCAGGCACCCCCGATGATCTCGGGCGTTGTAAGGTGCCACAACCTTCAAACCAGGCACAGCTCCGTAGTAGCAGCCAAAATCTTGTGTATGTTGCGCGCCTACGCCGTAATTAAATCCATTTGGTCCTCTGAACACGATAGGTGTCCGCAATAAGCCGTTGGACATATACAGAGATTTTGCACAGGTGTTAATTATGTGATCGATGGACTGCAGTGCGAAGTTCCAGGTCATGTAGTCCACTACAGGATGCAAGCCAGCTTGTGCTGCGCCCGCTGCCAGTCCTGTGAAACCTATTTCGCTGATCGGTGAATCAACAACCCGGTGCTCACCATACTTTTTCTGTAGGTTAAGTGTTGCTCCGTATGCGCCTCCATGTAGTCCCACCTCTTCGCCTATGATAAATATTTTCGGATTCAGCTCCATTTCCTCGTCTAATGCCATGTTTATTGCCTGTATTGGTGTTATTGTTTTGTCCATGCTTTATTTTGTTACGGTACGAATAAAACTTTCAATTTGAAGGTGATTTAATTGCAGTGATTTATTAAACCTACAAACAGAAAATTTGACGAGGGCACTTTACTGCTCATGGTAGATGAAAGACGGCAACAAGCAAATTATTCTCCACGGGTACAAAATGATATTTACCTAAAAAGTTACGATTTGGTTTGTATCCGTCATTGATATATGCTGTTCACTCGTATATATCTCAGGTACGTATTTTATATGGCAAGTGGAAACTATCTGGTGTTTTGTTGCGGCATATTTTTCGTTCATTAGCGCTATTTGTGAGTAAATTTGTTTGCTTTTTGTTGACTGTTGACATTTACGGCTTGAGTGCCTTCTCTTAAACAACAAAGTTTAAACTGAGTTTGGACTGATTTTACACATTTTTATGTTGCTGTTTTGGAAATGTTTTCTACCAATCCTGTCTCAAGCACTAATAAGCAGCTTTCTTAGTACAGCATATTAGTTAAAAGCTGATCCCTAATAGACCTTGTGGCGCGTGTTCACATGTGCAATAGAAGGTTTTTTACCACCACAGAGAAAGCAATCATCATGATCAGTTCTGTTTAATAAAAAGTTTAGTCGATAGCCTTTTGAGTAAATATATTTCATTTCAGAAATGCCTGTGTTGCGCAGCACATGTTTGTAGAAAAATGCATTGTACAGTTTTTACACCACAAGCCATTTATCTCTTCGTACAGCAACATCCAAATAAAATTCCCAAGGCTACGGCGAAAAATATGAACTGTAAAAAGCGATTTTATTATTTGAAGAACCTGATTAAAAATGAATGAACAGCATATTAAAAAAATGTACAAACAGTGCATGTGATATACCAAGTACATCACATGCACTATTAAAATTTTATAAATCTAGTTTATTTGTTAATTTATTTATTCCTCAGATCACTGTGTCAAACCATTCATAAGCGCATTTCTGGTGAGTCGCAGCTAACTATGGTATTGAATTTCATTGGTTTACAAGGAAAAATCAAACCTATAGCTTACCTAAGTTAAAACAGGTGCGGCTTTGGAATCGGTTACGCACTCATATAACTTGGAACTGGATTTCAAGCATTACCCGTTTCCGTGTACACATTGGAAACAAAATATTGAATTTTTTGGTGCTATCCTGGCGAGAGTTAAGCTCGGTAGCCAGGTGAGGATTCGACCTTTTCATCCACAGTAATCCACGATTCAATCCCTTATATCAATAAATTTGTGTAGACGCCCAACGGTTCATCAGGTCATTTTGCACTAACGAAAGGTATTTCAAAAAACAAAAAATATTAATCTGTGGTGAAGTGCGCAAGGAGTGGTGTTCATAGAGAGTTTTTGGTTCTCACTATCTCGTGACGGAGTATCATACAAATCTTGGGAGAGTTCCTAGTTGCTAATGCACTTCGGTACCTAAGATGAAAGTACCATCATAAATCAAATGCCTAACGTTGTGATGAGGGCAATCTTTCACTACTAGTTCCAAAGGAGAAAATCATCCACGAATCACATGTTACAGCGTTACATTCTATTCTGGTCACTTTGTTTACACGTGAATGTTTCCAAGTTTACATTAACACACTTTTTGTGCCATACCGCACTCTGTATGAGCCAAAAATAGAAAAAGCTCCATCTCACATGTCAAATTAATGAATAAAGCAGCTAAAATGTGCGAAATTGCCAGATTGCAGAAATGTGAGGTATTGTGTGGCAATCACTCCGTAAGTAAATCTTATTAAATTCAACAAAAGTACTGAGAACATGAAAATTCTTGAATTGGTGCAGATATAAGAGCTTTTAAACATGAAAACAAATCGTATATTATACTCATGGGAATCGTCTTAACATATGGAAACTATACACTAATCTAAGTATATAATCACACGGTATCAGCTCTCGGATTTTACCTACTGGTTTGATGAGATAACATGATTTATCTCGAAACATTAACAAACAATCAACACTTTTATGGTCAATTCGCTTTCCATTTGTGCAGAAACGGATGATAAATTAAAATGGTGATCATTCTCTGTAGTATAATTTCATTTAGATAAATTGGGAAATCATATAAAGAGACAAAGGAAAGATTTCGCCTTGTCAGCATCATTCTTTTCTGACAGGTGTAATAATAAGTGTATATTGTTCGAATCACTGCTTTTACCGCATGTTTCGTTCTAGCTAATGTTATGATTAAAATCTTGCCATCATTTTAATTTGATCAGAAAGCGCCATGTAATAATACGAGTCGTTTTAATAGATCTCAAAAACGTAAATCACGATACAAACAATTAATCTGAAAATGTTAGCCTCTCTGATTAAATCAGACTGTATAAAAATAAAATACGAGCCAGCTCATATTCGTAATGAATGCATTACTACCTTTTTTGTCGGCTAGAGGAGGATCTGTGTACAAAAACTTCCATGAAAAGAGCATCAACGTATTCTTCCTGAACCTGCTCCTAGAAATAATCACCTATGGCATGTGCACATTTTTTATTTTCAGTTGCAACCACAAGAAAATAACGTTATCATTCTCGTTCTCGCTGGTCATGGGAAACCTGTTCCTCATAGATTCTATTCTTCTCAAAAATGTGTATCAGATGTATCTATACACAATTTTCTATGTGTACACGCTATCATTGATGACTTACTTCCTGTTTGATGAGATAAACACCCGGATAAGCAGAGTGTTCGGAATGCTGGTGATACTTCTCTTTTTGATAAGAGGCTCTATCATCATTTACAAGTCCAAAGGATTTATTTACGAATTTTCATGGTACTACTACAAGAAAATCGGTTGTGAATCAACTATAAACGGTAAGTAACATATTCTAATTAGAAATCAATATGGTAAGTCATTTTTTTAATTTAGATAAGACAGAAATTAATAGTGATCTTCAAGCTATACGTCCTCTTCTCCATGATTCAGATTTTTACTGAGAATACGGTTTCGCTGAGGCAGATGGTGTGCGTATCCATCCAGGTAATATGCAAGCTGGTCTTCTACTTTATTTTCGTCACAAATAAACATACGGAGAACCACAAGGCCAGGATAATCCTTTATATATTTCTTGCGACAGACTTTTCTGCGGATGTCAGCTGCACGGTTGAAGACATAAAATCTGACCGAACGGAATTGGTATAAGTTAATATTTCTAATTTAGATTTCAATTAATAACAGACAGCTTTAAATTCATAGTGATGCTGATGCTCATGCTGTACATGATTAAGGATCAGATGAAATTTGGAAGTGGGCTGAAAAAGGTTATGGAGAACAGGCATTAGAAGAAAGTGAATAAATGAAGTTCCAAAAGAAGTACCACTACCGTGTTATCGTATCTACTGAGCTACTATTTGTATTGGGGAGCTATCCAACTCCTACTTCAGGATCGAAAGGCGTGCCGACTGCGCCATAAGTTGGCAATGCTGTTTTGACCATAAGGTTGTTCTACGGATATAGCTCATGATAGGATTTTGTTGGTCGAGTGGTTTGATTGATATGTGCCATTCTTTTTGCCAGAAATTTGAGTCCTTGCTCATAAGAAAAGAACTTGATTACTACGTGTCAGACAAAGAAGTGCACACAAGTCACAGTATGTAGAGACAAGGGGCAATGGCAAACTGATATGACCCTTCTTGGCCCACGTTATTGTCACGCATATGGCGATAAATAAGTTCAATTGGGCCAATTTAGATGAAATTGTACGACCTGTTCGTATATGAGCCGAAGCAGACGCCAAAATATCAAGAAATGCTGACAGGTGTTGAGAGACGATGTGAATCAGGGATGCTGAATCTTGAACTGGCTGGCGGCATAACCTACGACCAAAGGCTGATAATAGCTGTTGGCAACGCAGGTTGTCTTACAGTTACAGCACAAAATCGTATAGAATGCCAGCTGGTGCGAGCAGTCAAAGGTGTGGCATGTCTGAGGGAATATATGCATGCAAAGCGTTGTTAAACAAAACTGCTGTCAAACAACAACGTATTCCCATTCGCTATTACTACGAATTGCTGATTTTTTAAATTCATTCACTGATCCAAAGTTTTTATAGCTTTCATAAAACAAAAAAAGATTGTGGTAGCAGGTACCGCTGTTTTATGTCACAGCTAGCTATGATATTTCCATTTATAAACAGAGAAATGGTTGCTTATCTATGTAATGGTGTTTCTTTTCCTTAATGTGTCGTGTCTTTTCCAATACTTTAATTTGTTTCATATCTTTTGGTAGAGGCTAGAAATCCGCTAATAATGTATTTTTAATGTTGCTTATAATAAACGGCTGAGCATTTATAGAAAAAATGGAATACCAATTTTGAACCCTTTGTTAGAAAATATGCATGGGTAAAAATTGTTATTCAATTGTTTTTAGAATTGACCAATCAGCTTCCGAGTTGTCTTTTTATTTATATGAAAGTAAAATAATCGAGCAGAGTATTATTTGTGATATTAATAATGTTTTAATTGATTAATCATTGCTAAATGGCGCTGTAATAACCGCACTACTTGCATCTTTGATCAACTCTAGAGCTATTTTGCTAATTTTTTCTTTTTTTAGATACGAGTGACACCACTATCACCAGAGCTTTGATTGACCACGAAAATAAAAAGAAAATCTTTCGTATCTTGACGTAAAAGAACTATTTTAAACACAGTTAAACCATTTGGTCAGAAATATTTAGCGAACTATAACCTGTTGAGAACAAGACGCAACGCTCGATTCTCAATACGTGAGTCCAGCAGCGGTAACATAAGGTACTGATAATAGTGATCTTTTGCGGAGGGTTAATAACAGTTCAGTAGTTGTTTACCAATTCAGTTCATGCATGCATCTGAGCATTTGAACGAACCATAAATGCTAAACTGTCTGTTCTAGCCCGTTTACAATGTTTGTTATGATATAAAATGTAATATAAAAACTCAGCTCACACGCATACTTTGATCAGCCATATATAGCAATTTGATACATCATATATAGCATTTATACTTTTGGTATTCTCGTGAGCACAAGAAAAAATACACGCTATCATTATGTTTAGAATCTGCCGTACCACTGTGACTGAGGTCAGTGATAAAATCTTTAAAACACGTAGCAGCATGCGCTCCACTAGTAAAACATCACAATTTTCTGCACAAAACATAATTGTAGCAACTAATGCTGTGCAATGATAATATAGCACAAAAAGCCTTTCTTTTCATTCTTCCATATAAAAAACAAACGAACCAAAAAGTAAACCGTGATTAGTCTAAAAATTTTTATTCCCCTCTCAAGAGAGCGAAAAGATCAAATTTATAATAAAATTATTTTTAATCCTTCTCACCACGGATTGGAGAAATGAACAAAAGAAGGAAGGCCACAATAGAGATGAAGCGCTCAAAAATACTCAAAGAATTGGTAAACATAATAGAAAAGGAGAAGATAGACACAATGCAAAAGCGGGCACTTGTTTACGAAATAGAAATGTACAAGCAGAAGAATAGCGATATGTACGAGAAATACAGGGAGTTGAAAGGTGAGAACGAGCTGTTTTACAGTATAATCGTGTATTTGATGAAAAGCGGTGACTCTGAGTTCGTGAGCACCGTGTTTGTGGATGACCAAGATGCTTTTTATAAGCGAATGGTTGACTATATCGTGCGGTACAAGGCCCAAAAGAATAAAAAGACTCATTCTCACAGGAAGAACATGGCTGGTACTGAGAATGACGAAAACGAGTGTCAGGGAAAATATACCGATCAGATTAAGAATATCATCGAGGGGATGGAAGATTCGGTTCTTTTGAAATATAAGGAGTACGTTGAGGAGAAGGACGATATAATATATCATCTCAAGAAGAAGGTGCTCGATTTGAACTCCTTACTGGCTGATCGCGAAGAAGGAAGTGCCGGAAAAAACGAAGAAGAGATAGAGAAAAATGTGAATCTTGAAGAACTGATGGAAGTGATAGAAGTGAGCAAGACAAAAAAAATAAGCGAGTTGTACAAGGAAATAGAGGAGCTGAGATGTAAAGCAGCAGAAAATAGAAAGACGGTATGTGATGAAGGGGAAGCACTCGGAAGAAGAGTTAAGAACTTGGAAGATGTGTTAAAACAAGTGGAGGAAAAGAACTGTGAACTGTTAAGGGATGCACAAAAGAATGCTATTGACTTTAAAGAGACGCTTGAAAAGGTTGACAGAGAGAGGGACAGCTACGTGAAAGACTTGAGACACAAGTTAGAAAGTGCAAATGAAATGAATGCAATTTTAAAGGAAGAAATTGGTGATTTAGAGGCTGAGTTGGACACGTTGAAGAGTAATACAGTAATTGATGATAAGCGATGTGAGGAGGAGCTAAAGCTACGCAAAGAGCTAAATGCCTACAAGAATTTGAAGGATGTGGTAGAACTTGAAAAAAGGGAAAATTATAAAGAAAAGGAGAGACTGGCAGAGGACAGAGAGTCTTTTGAGCATCTGAAGAATAAACTGAACTACGAGACAAAGTGTCTGAAGATAGAATTGGAGGGAAGGAGCAATGCGGCTTCTTACCACAAAAAAAATTATTTAAAGGCGAACACCGAGTTGCAGTATTTGACGGAGAGAGTACAAAGCCTGGAGAAGGATGAAATTGTGCTGAGAGAAGATCTCGCTAATGCCCAAAAACAGCAAACGAAATTGGATTCAAAACTTACAATGATGAACGATGATATTGCAAACTACAGAACAGTGTTTAAAGCCCTTGCGGGTACCTCATCACCCGAGTTGATTGAGAGCCTTGACAAGTACAGGAAGCTGCTACGATGCTCGACGTGTGATAAGAACTACAAAGACACGGTTATTGTGAAGTGTATGCATGTGCTATGCAGGGAGTGTGTTGATGGTCGGCTGAAAATGAGGAGTAGAAAATGTCCGATATGTGGCGAAGGATTCAGTGCAACGGATGTCAAAAGGATATTTTTGTGAGTTGTGAGGCAATAAACATAGCTGAAGGGCCGTGCAGACGAGTAAGTGGCCATAAACGAGAGTTTGCCAAAAAATAAAAGATTGCGCTAGGCAGTTCAATTCCACGATGTGTTATTTATCCTTTGTTTAGAACGTTATATTACAAGAAATCGGTGGATGGTTGTTAAGGTTGTTCTGATCTACGGGACCTTTTCATCAATTTGCAGAGTCATGAAATATGGAACGATTCTTTTATTATGATTTGGTTAATCGGTGCTCACTAAGAAAGACGTGTATAGGCAATATTTTCTTTTGTGTACAACACTGAGAGTGCATCGTGGAATTGGTGAGTAGCAATTGAGTACCGCTCTAGCTGCAGGTCATACAACCAAAACATTAGCCGATTTAAATAAAGGTCATTAACATATGCTGAGAATGGTTAGATTTAATTACTTATGGTTATTAGTTCAACATGGTGTATGTTTGGTGGTACATTACGTGCGACAAAGGCTGTAGCGGAATCGAACGAACGTGTTATAAACTTTTTGGATGCTGGGCATCAATCCATTGATGCTGATTGCAGTGACAAGCTATGACTGGGTAGCTACAGATATTTTTACCGGTCTATCGGTGGTTCAGCAGTGGTGCCAAAGAAAGAGTTTCGTCATTACTCGGACATCGAACTTTTTACACATGCATAGCTCGTTTTCACGTGCAATAACCGTCATGCAATGATTCTTCACTTAACAATAAATAGCTCATTGCTCCACAACAGTGACAACATTTTTATTTGATGCGATATGCCAGTACCGGTTATGTTCAGTTCTTGCAAATGATGGGCCGTTAGGTGCCTTTTCGCCATTTTTGTGATATGCATGGCTCTAAAAGTTTAGCGGTGGTGATGATAGCGTGGCTATTGTCTTGCCAAGGACAAACAGAAAGTATACAAACATGATGCTGCGCGTAGTATCAAATGCAAGCAAAAGAGTGAAATTCATGAGAAAATAAACCATGTACGCGGTGTCATTATCAAATTCTCTGTAATAGTGGGCATATGTCATCAGAGCACTGGTGCCAATCAGAATCAAAACCATGTAGAAGGTCAATCGCAAATCCCTTCTTCGGATAATACGATCGATTCGTTTACCTTCGCTTATTTTATAGAACAGGAGGTACACGAAAAGAAAAACATCGAGAAAAGTGTCCAACAGAAGTTTTTCAAAAAATAAAAAAATGTTTTTCCTAAGACATAGGTAAGATATTGCAATGTACGTACTTCTTACAGGAAGTGTAAGAAATGCGGGGTACGCAATAGACCAAAACAGCAGTATCACTATCATAAATGTATTCTCCTGTGCACTTCCGACAAAATTAGTACAATCTAGGCGTAGTTCAGCTCTATAAAAGTATAGTATGATCATGATGAGCGCAAGCTTCGCAATTCCAATGTAGACGCTCTCCATGCTCAGCAGATATTCCTTTAATTGCATGACTTCGATTCTTTTTGGAATAAACAGTCTCACAAGTGTTGTTGCACAACGTTGCAGCATCATAATTACCAAAAAAACCAAATCTTTTCGAATTTGTATCATGTGAAACAAGGATGGCCTTGTTTTTGATGAAAAAATGAAAAAAGATCGGAATACCGGTCGAATGGTACTGATAGTGCACAATAAGAATATTGTTCTGATTTTGGTTGAGTTATTATCCTGTTTTAGCAATCAATATTTGTCGTGAAAAGTCAATTTGGTGCGATTCTGTTACACCATCTTTCGCAAAATAACGCGGAAGTGCGGTGGATGGATAGAAAATTGAAAATAAACAAATAAGGAGTGCTTAAAAAGAGTAGAATGGTTAGTGAATAGTTAGATACTGTTCTTGTACCGTTTGTCGTTTCTTGCAAATGGTATGAGACGTAACTGCAGTAATATCCGTTTCACATTCTTCTTTGTGTAGGGTGGTTTGTTCTATTGTGTAACAACCTGGAGACATGGTAACTCTGCACAAGAGGACCAGCGATTATTCGGTTAGAATATCTCAGCCCTTCGGATGTATGTTAAGAGACCGGGTCTATGTTCCATAAGAATACAGAACAAGGATGATATGGCAGAGGAAATATATGAAAAAACGGGGATGCCGCCAGAAAAGCAGCACATACATACCACCAAACGAGGCCTGGTGCTTCTTTGGGAAATAAATGATCAAATTGGCACAAACATGGATGAAGACACTGGGATTGATGAACATGAAGCAGAGATCGCTAAAATGACAGATATATTTGAACGATACATCAGTGATGATACCTGTGAGTTTGGGATTACTCTAAAAAAAGAACATATCAAGGATATAACGAAAAATGTTCTGCAAAATTGACTTTTAAACGGAAGATGCACCTTTTTGTTATAAACTGTACGAATAGTTCAGCTTAACATTTGCAGTTGATGTAAAAATATGATGCTTCTTAGTATTTCATCATCAATATGCATTTATTCATTGGTCTAGTGGTCACGTGTTAATAATCAGTAAAATTATCATTTCTTTGCCAATATTTATACAATGTATTTTTATTAAACAAAAACCATCAAACTTTTCGCTTAAATTGCTGCTCAATGCAGTATTAGAAGATCGTATGACCAGTCAATTCGTGATTGTTGTTTGTTCACTGTGCTTTTGTCAGAACGATAACGAAATAGTTCAACCAAATTTAGGACCAAAAATCACGAATGGTGTGATACCTTCGTAGATTGGGAAGTGTTTGTCCGGATGTTGATGTGCAGTAGTGTGAAAAACACTGAATGCTTCTTAGAAACCGGCACAAAAGCCTCATACATGTATGAACATGCTGTTCTAACACCCCAAATTGGCACAGACTCTTTTCCGAAAAATTACATTTAATTGAACGCAGACATGGTAGAAAGACCTAAAAAATACAGAAGGCGTTAAGCGCAGCTCATTTCTTCTTACAAACCCCAAAGATATCATTCGCATTCACTTCTTCATCGGTGACACCATCATTTTCAATAACATATCTACTAGCAATACTTTCGCCTGTCTTCTTCTCGCCAGTTTTCCTATTAACCGGACATGGCAACGGTACACTCTTCTCCGTTACCACTTTATCTTTCTGAGCATCTATTTTTTCTACTTTACTGGTCTGTGCCTTGGTGTTTATCCACCGCTTAGTCTGAGGATCGTACTTAAAGTCGCATTCAACACCGCACTTTACCTTGTACCGCTTCTCTTTGCGTTTAAATAGGTTTAACAAACTGAACCCCCAGCCTTTCTCCTCCTTTTTTGCAATAATCACATCATTTTCATCGTCTTTATCCCGATCAATTACCGATTTTGGCAATGATTGGTCATCGTATGAGGTATCAGGCACAAGCATAGGCTCGGACACAAAGAAATCAGCAAAACTTGAAGCATAGTCCGGTACCGTCTTTTGCTCCGTTTTATCCATGTTCTCTTTCGCCAATTTGATATGTTTCTCAAATAGCGCTTCTTTATCTTTCAACGTGTTTGTATCGTCTTCAACCTGAGGATTCATTTTTCTCTTAGCACTCAACTCCTCGTCACCACGTAATTTGTCCTTGTTCATGGCTTTGGTCTTCTCACTCACATTTTTGTTGGCCGTTCCCTTTTGTACCTCGTTTTCTGCAAAGGCATTATCTATGCCAATAATTTTACTGATACCTTTCTCAACATAGTTCTTCCATCCCCATCCACCGGTCATCACAGGCATTCCTTTATCGGTCACCAAAAAGTACTCCTCATAATACGTCTTCAAGTCCTCTATGTCTTTAACCTTCAAATAGCTCATAATTCTTACAAATTCATAATTGGTAAGCAGCACATCCTTGTGCTTATGAAAAAAGCTCTTTCCAAATTTGAGATACAGAAACACCAGGACATAGAACTGATCAGCTTTTGATTTCTTAATTTCCAAAAGACTCTCCATATCCGCATCGCTTGCGTTCCTCCTATCGAGGATCAACGATAGAAACTCAACCCAACGGCCATCATCGTGCAAATACGGTTCGCATTTGTAAGGAGCCATGATTTCCGCGGTGTGGCTAAAAAAACTGTGGAAAAGCGGATCAATAGAAGTGCGAAGATAGCCATCTAATGCGGCTCTCTCCGCTTCTTTATTGCCTCTAGATAAGAGGAACGCCATGCCGTAGTCCTTTCTCTCGATGCATTTCATAGTGGCTGCTAATTGATCCTTGAAGGACAGCCTCATGATTTCATTTATGTCCGGGTTATGTGTCATTCTTGCTTCGGTACCCTTAAAAGACCTCACATCGAGCAACAACGCGTAGATATTGTTAGGAGCGGTGGTATTTGCAGCTTTTTCCCTAATTTCGCTTTTAGTCATCGCATCCACACGCTGATTACTTTTTATTCTGTAGAACCTTTCAACGTACTTCATTTTCTCTGTTTTTTCATTCTCTGCATTCACCCTGCACTGTTTCACAGACGTGAACACCAACAATTTATTTCTCAGAAACTGGAATTTAACGCCTTTCTTGTGGGGACTGAGCGACATGTCTACCTTTGGTACAAAACTGCTCTTTGGCTTGTTCTTGACCGCGGGTATGAATAAATTACCGGGTTTAACCGTTTTTTCTGCGCTTTGACATATCTCTTCGTTGATATCAGCATTTTTGAGTCTTTCGAGCGAGTCCTCGTGTCTGATCTTGTCGTCAATATTCATTTGTTTCCTGACCAAACTTTCCAGTGCCTTTTCCTCGGGTGATGCGTTCCTATCTGCTATTGTCGTAAATAAATCGTTCTCTCTCCTGCTCCTGAACGTATCGGCACTCCTCTCCATACCATGTTCATAAACTCGTGCAAAAGGATCGTTTGTGCTCACAGACTCAGTGACATTTTTCTCATCAACTATGCTAAGCTTTTTTGATTCTTGTGGCTGATACACGTTACCTGAGACATCTTTACCAACATTACTCATTTCTTCTTCCATAAAACCCTCGGCAGTACCTTTGACATGCAACTTTTCAAAAGTAGTCTCCAATTCCTCGTCCTCATCGCTCCAAAGATCATTTGGCATCTCCTCAATTATTTCATGGCCTTTTATCACTTTTTTGGGCGCAACATCGATGTCATAGAACGATTCTTCTTTGAACACATGATCCTTCGATTGGTTATCGTGATTTAACAGATTCATCAAGTTCTTGTTGTCCTCTATTTGATCACTTGGTGTTTTTTGCTCGATATTTTCTCTTATTTTACCGTCCACAAGCTCATTCTGTTCCGTTAGTCTGTGTCCTTCCTCAGTTGACTGTTGGCCATCGATTGGCAGTTCGCTATTTCTCGACTCTGTGAGTCCTTCTTGATATTCAACAGCTTCATTTGCCGGAGCCCTCTCATGTACATCAACTGCTAGCACTGATCCAACTCCATCTCTACGCTCAACTATTTCGTCGCTAATTTCCCTATTTTTTGTATCGGCGTTTTTATTCGATGAGACGAGAAAGTCTGGACATTCATTTTCATAACCATCAAACAGCTCATCGGGTATATCCGGGAGGTCAAAATCTTCATCGTCTTCTGTAAGTCTTCCCAAACCAATCGTATCAGCGGCTGGAAACGTTTCTCTCGTCTCTTCGTGTAAGTGTTCCTCACTTAATGATGAGTTGTCATCTTTTTTGGTCTCCGAAACGCCTTCTGCTATTGAACATTCGTGTTCGGTCGATCTAGTTACCTCTCCGCTGTTCGCCTCGAATGTCTCTCCAGCGTTGTTTTGATGCTCCTCTTCCTTTACATAATCTTCCATTTCGTAATTTGTGCTCTTTTCTTCTTTACTACCTTCACTACTTACCACGATGTCATCTTCATATTTCTGCTCGTCTGCGTTTGCTCTACTGTTCTCTTCAATAAACTCCTCTGGTCGTGTCACATCTTCTTTCTCTACACTGTTCTCAAGCTCTGCTCCACTGTTATCTTCAATAAACTCCTCTGGTCGTGTCATATCTTCTTTCTCTACACTGTTCTCAAGCTCTGCTCCACTGTTCTCTTCAATAAACTCCTCTGGTCGTGTCACATCCTCTTTCTCTGCACTGTTCTCAAGCTCTGCTCCACTGTTCTCCTCAATAAACTCCTCTGGTCGTGTCACATCTTCTTTCTCTACACTGTTCTCAAGCTCTGCTCCACTGTTCTCCTCAATAAACTCCTCTGGTCGTGTCACATCCTCTTTCTCTGCACTGTTCTCAAGCTCTGCTCCACTGTTCTCCTCAATAAACTCCTCTGGTCGTGTCACATACTCTTTCTCTACACTGTTCTCAAGCTCTGCTCCACTGTTATCTTCAATAAACTCCTCTGGTCGTGTCACATCTTCTTTCTCTACACTGTTATCAAGCTCTGATCCACTGTTATCCTCAATAAACTCCTCTGGTCGTGTCACATCCTCTTTATGAGTAATGTCTTCATGTCTTATTTCTTTCTCTTCCTCCATTTTTTTTCCATCTCATAGTTTTCACGCAATTCACCTTCTATCTTTCCCAAAATACTTTTGGACTGTTCACCTTTCACGATATCATCAATAAACATCTTCTTGCTGCCCTCTTGCAGCTCAGGATCGATTATATTTAGGTGTTTCATTACATCGTAGTTACTATCATCGTTTTTCGCCGCAATCAACTGAGCTAGACTGAAAGACACATCTTTACCACTTTCTTTGGCAACCTCTGGATTATTTTCATCTAAATTTTCACTATCATTTGATCTTACATCGTTGACAGCCTCGAAACGTTCATTATTGTTTTCTCCACTCTTCTCATAATCATCGTCTGCAATTTCTTCACCACACTCCGTTTCGTTATTTCCCTCAAAATCTCTGTCTTCATCCCTATTATTATCACTATTCACAATAACTTTCTCTTCTTCTGCTATTTCCGCGCTATCCTTCATTTTCTCACCGTCTTTATCCACGGAAGCTGCATCCCTCCCATTATTTTCATCAATTTGTTCATCTTCGTTTGTTATCTCATGTTTATCACGTTCTTTTTTCCTTTCATTCCTACTTTTAGATGTTGTATTGGGTAGATTCTCCATTTTTTTGGGGTCCCTCGTACAAGATTCCATTAATAGCCATTCCTGGTGTTGCGATCCATCGATGTTTTTTTTGAGTGCTTCCGCGTTAAACCGGTTGTGGTCTTTCATATTCAATACTGTCTCTGGCGAGGAATGCATTTCCACTGCATCAGCATCGTCTGAATCATTTCTCACTCGTTCGATGTATTTTCTATCTTCACAGTTATAATCCTCATCCCTGTAGTACCCTATTTCATTGTCACTTGCACATTTTTCACTGTTTTCGTCGAATGTATCATCGTTTTTATCCGTTTTTTCACTTTCATAGCCACCATCGATACGACTCAGCGAATCCGTTTTACCGTACGGAGCGCCATTATTCTCACATACTTGTGTACCGCCTGTTTCATTTTCAGCCGATTCCAGGTCGCTGCTGTCTATAACACACGTTTCCAAAATATTATCGTCCGATGAGCTTGTATTTTCCATTTGTTTATTTTTGTTTGTGTTGCTTTTATATTTCTGATGATTAATTATTCGCACTCAAATTCGATGTTTTGAAATGAAAGCGTAAACTCGTAGTTTGCAATTTTTTAAAATCCAATATTAGCGCTCATTGTAACGAGCGTACCGAAAATATTGCAATTTTGTTACGTTGGAACTGATGCCAAAAGGATGAACTAGCAGTGCTAAGTGCATGCCTATGGCAAAAAGCGTATCATCCCGTTTTACTGGGCCGTTCAGAACTACATCCTTTATCGTTTTTATGTTGCATGGAGTTAAAGATACGAACATATTTGCAAATAAGTTTAGGCCGAAGACGAAAACCACATATTTTATAACCTGCATTATTCGCAAAAATGAAAGAGATATGTTCTTAAAAATGTTTTTTTGTTATTTTAATGAACTTTACCGGCCTGTAAAAGACTCTTCTCCATCTAATGGACATAAATTTTATAAACAGTTAAATTTTGATGTCTCCTGCCCAAACAGGTGAAAAAAAACGTGATTTAAAAGTCAAATTTGTTTAACATATCACCGCACAAACGGCACATCACATATATTAGCATAGAAAACATGCTTAACGGTTGAATCACATCTCATACATCCTGCAACATGTCTTGCTCAGTCAATCACGCAGTTGCAACTATAATACAGCGAGAAATGTTTGATCAACATGTTAGTGTGAGGCATATGATATGACAAACAAACATTCAATTTGGTAGCAGTCAACGTGCCGAGCTACCAAATTTACTAAAATTATTACTTTTCATGTTAACGCTACATATGCTGAAGCTACAAGCTCATGTTTAGTAGAATAAATCATCCTTTTGCAGCAATAATGATGAAAAAGGTTAATGTTACATATCTCTATGGTCACGTGTTGGGCTGACACTCTGTAAAGCTCCTTCTTCAGAAGCAATTTATTCATCTCCTCACACAGTTAACACCAAAAATATGCTTTTTTGGTCTGCTAGGACCGATCTTGCTCCTGGTCCGCGGTCTATCCGCAGATACACCGGTCGTAATGTCATTAAACAAAGTTAAAATCGCGCTTGGAACGTTCATTTTCTTGCTTTACTGCATGTATGTGTAATAATTAACGAAATGCCTTGTCACAGATTGCTAATTTTCCTTTATAAATTATACCACGACAATTCGGTTAACCTGCTTGAGAGAGCCACAAATCAGAAGATTTGTCATGGTGAACCAAGGACCAGTGGCCATGGTCGGTTCCAGCGGATCAAAAAAGTGTGTTTTTCGAACGACATTGATGTATGAGGAGGTAAATAAACTACTGTTAATAAAAGAAAGAAGTTGACATGGCTGCATTACCGTTACAACGCCATGTTATTGGTTTTATTAGGTGTAGGTACACACAACTGATCTTTCGCTTCTTACAATATGGCTTAATCTTTTTCAGTTCAACAGTAGGTTTGTAAGTTTGCGTCAATCTCGAACCGTGGAAACAGCAATTATTCAGGCTTACTTCATCCAAACGAGCCAGAAATATTGATGGTTGGAATATCGTCATAAACCATACCAATGGTGGGTAACAACGAGCTAGCGTAGTATTTTTCCTATTGAACGGCTATTTGTTGCGCTTGCGCTATACCCTCTTTTATCCGTTTCACAATTGTTCATCGCACCTCATTACGCTTTAAACTATTCAAAAAGAGCGCAGCCCTTCTCCATCAGAAAAATGCGCACAAAATATAAAATTGTGTTTCTTGGTGATCCAAGTGTCGGGAAGACGACGCTCATCTCACAATTTACGAACAAAGAGGCAGACGAGAATTACCACCCAACAATAGGCATAGACTTCACATATTTAAGGGTAAATTTGCAGGGAAAAGATGTTCGATTGCAATTATGGGACACGGCCGGGCAAGAACGGTATAATTCTATAATACCAAACTACACGCGTAAGTCTTTTGCTGCTGTTATTGTGTTTGATCTCAAGCATCTCAGCAGCTTTGACAATATTGACCACTGGATAAAGGACCTAGTGCTGATAAATGATCCTGACAGACTTATAAAAATAGTAATTGTGGGAAACAAAAAAGACCTGATGGATGAGAGGGAGAGGGAGGAGATAAAGATTAAGGCGGTGGAGAAGGCCAAGGAGTATGATGGTAAGTATATCGAGACGTGTGCGATGAAGTATGCAGATATTAGGGAGTTGGTTGACCATGTGAACGATTTAGTGATTCAGGATTGCTCCGGTAACAATGAAGAAGAGAATGAAGATGTTGTCGAAATACAGGCTCAGAAGGGAAGAGGATGTTGCCCTATGTAGAAGGCGTCAATAGCGGCATTACCTACGTCTCTCTCTCTAAATAAATTTTTAAATATTTGATGGACGTATTATGTGTGGCTGACAGTGCTTGTAGCTATTTTATGTGTTTGTTGTGGTCAATCATTTACAGCATCATCGTTGTTTTTACAATTTTTACCTCGTAAAGTGCTTAATCCCTTCCCAATCGATTTTCTGCTAGGTGAACGGCTGCTTAATTCGAAGTAGAAGAGGTTAGTATTAGTGAGCCACCTCTCGTCACGGCGTACTAACCTCAACACAATAATACCGAGCAAATGGTAGATGAGCTCATTTAGGAAGATAAGATATACCCAACTATTCTCTTGTCTGCCGTAACATTTCTATTAAAACCATACTCCGATACGGAATGGCATTTTCCTACTATATGTTTTTTTTGGAAATATTCATTGATGCTCACACTTGTTCCGGTACTCAATGAAATAATACCTGTTTTATTGCTGTTTTAGACATCAATTCTTTTCTGTGGCACTAAACATAATTTTCCCTCTTCGATCACCAAGTAATATAAGACTGTAACATAGAACTAAAGTAATTTATAGTTGGATATTAAATGGCAAGCATCAATTTTAACTTTTACTTCTTTTCCATTTTCATAATTTTACTTTTTCGATCCTTTTGTCCAATTAACACTTCTATCCACGAACACGCCCCTTCATGTCCATTCTCAAAAAAATTCTATCAAAGAAGGAGACCTTCTTCTCCACCAAAAAGCTTATACACACAACACCAGCCTACGAACTATTCGCTTACACGAAAAATGACGAGTCTCTGAGTTTAATTAGGTACCACGACAAGAGACAAGTCCAGAAAATTACTAAGATATTGCGTACGGTCAAGCACTACAACATTATGAGCATCGTAAGGAGCAAAGACTGTTGCATCTATATGCCAACCGTGGTTCCGTACCGAATTCTTGGCGAAAATCTTTCCGACACGTACAAGGAATATTTAATGATCTCATTGGCGAATGCCTTGCGCTTCTTACACGACAAGTGTAAGATAGCACACAATAATCTAAATTTAGATGCTCTGCTGATAAACAGTCTAGGAACACTGATACTTGGCGGGTTTGAATGCGCAGCGACGGTAAATAGTCGGGAGGAATGTTTTGGTGACTTGGAACAGTTTGAACATTTGGGTTATTCTCTATTGGACACGCAGGTGAGGTACGACGAATGCTTGGGCAAGGAGAGCTTTTACTCCGTGCTGGCAGAGAAATGTATTACGTTCAACGTGATGAGCGACGAAGAGGCCATCAGCTTTCTGAACATGATCAGGAAAGAACATAGAGCAAATGATATTCCTGAAATGATAAAGATGCACATATGTAGGCTTGTCATCAACAAAATGGTAAGTTTGACCAAAGAGAAAGATGAAAAAGCCGCGATAGACTTGATTGAGCTTGAACAACAGGTGAATAATGGAAATATAGGGGATGTGCTCTTCCTGAGATATACTTATTTGTATTTCATGATCTCATTGGAAATGGAATCATATGATATTGTTATTGAGGACCTTTTTTCGATTCTGGATACGAAATTTCGCGTGGAATTGCTTAAGAAGAAGAACTTCTTCCTTAAGCGAGTTTCGTGTTGGAACAAAAAATCCATTTTTTATAACCTGACAATCGGATTGAAATGCAAAGACAAAATTTTACAAGCCTTAACCCTGGAATTTGTCAACGACACAGTGAAATTTTACAATTCTAGCGAGATAAAAGAATTGTGCAAGCTACTGTCCAACTGTAAAAGCACGTACACGCTGATCATGATAGAAAACAATCTCAAGCTATTTTTGGACAACGATTTGCATGGACTGTACAAGCTTATGTTTGTATTCATCCACGATACACACATCCGGGAGGAGTCACTGATCGTGTTGGATAAAATTTACAAGAATTTCAGCTTCAAGAAGTTGTGTACGGAAATTTTGCCGTTCCTTTGTGAGCTAATCATAGAAACAGACTCAGACACGCTTTTTGCAGTGATAAAGAACATTTTGGGATATCTTGAAAGCAACAGGGAGGCTATCGTTAATTCGAAGATTTCAACGAAAATGTCGCGATGGCTGCCCTTCATGAACAGGAAAGGAAGCAGCAAGGACAATGTAAAGCAGGAAAAGGTTGAGGAAAATCAGTCCAGTATAAATGAAAGGGCTGCCGATAGCAGCAACAAAAAGCCAGAAAATTGGGACAACGATTGGTAGTATGGTAGGGTATCTTCATCCGGTATGAGTGTAGTAAATCTGTGTTTCACCGGATATCTTTTCAGCTTGGCGTATACAACAAGCTTTTATATCTTTGATTAGATCAACCCGCTGATACGAAGTAGCTGTAAAAGCGTTCGTATGAAGCGGAACGGAAGGTTACGCACCATTAGCCAAAGAGAGCGCTTTAAAAAATACTGTGATGTGCTGTTGCTTTTCTAGGTTTAGCTAACGAGCGGAAATTCTGGTTCATAGTTGCCGTTTCCTTACTATCGATACGCCATCAACAATAAGGAGTAAAGGCGAACAGAAATGGCTAAAGAAGCACGCTATTCAGGTATTGTGATACGCGAAGATAAATGAGCGTACTATTGATGAAAGGAATCTAGAAGAACGAAATAAACAGAGTTATCTAACAGTATGGGACGTGGACGCTACATGACCGTAGAAAATGGCAGATGCAGCCATTTCTAACGCGTGGCAACGCTGGGTGGTCTTCTCGCAAGCGAGCAGCTAATGTAGTCAGTTATGGCATCCTTCTCATCAGACATACTTTACTGTACCAGGTCATTATGAAGCCATTATCGTATCAAATATTGCTGTGTTTGCCAAATGTAAATGCAATTAAAGCTTTTTATTTAACGCTCTGCTGGTATCATCCGATTTGGTAGTTCTTTAGTAAAAGCTGTTCGCTCACCATTCCGCATCACACAGTCAACTCCTATCCAGGACAGGCATGCGCATTTTTAGTTTGTAATTAGGATATTACGTCCTGTAAACTTTTAACAGTGGCGATTAGAACAAGAACTTGACGAAGGTATCGTAGACAAAATTACCGAAAAAAAGTTTTTTATGAAGAGAATTCGTCTAACAAAGTGATGAGCCAGCATTCTGATCACAAAATGTAAAAGTATTGGTTGTGTAGCGCAATGAACCTCATTGTTTCAGTTTTAATTACCTTATTCAGTCATCTTTTGAAGAACTATTCGATGAAATAGTACCAAAAATTTTTTGTTCCAGTGATGCATCCTCGGTTTCGGCATATTGCAGTTGATTGCAAGCAGCCGGTTCGTATGAAAGTACGTTTAAATCACTTGGTTCGCAAACGGTCTCGTAAACATGTGGTAGTGGCCATTCTACCTCTCTTTGTGCTTGCACCGATTTGTGTTCTCTCGGCAGTTTTCTTGCATGGGGGGAGGAGTGACTGTGTGACAGAGCACGAGGAACCACACATCCTTCAGATACGTTTTGAAGAGTAGATGTGTTGCTGGCATGCAACTCGTCTGTAGGTGCATCACCGAGTAGATTAGTAGAAAACTTGCGTCGCTTACATCTAGCGAATTGCCCATGCCTATGATGTAACGGTACCCGATGGCAAGGTGCTTGGTACCCAAATATCAAATAGGACAGAGTGTCTGATATTTTTCGATACAGTACCATGATAATGTACAGTAACACCCATAAAAACACCAGCGCCGTACCGAATTCAAAATAACTAAACGAGGTTACACTTCCCCTGGACCTGCCAGTTGTACGTTCAGAACACGCTGTTTTTTGAGTTGTCTCAGTTAATGTCAGCATATTTGATACGAGGTATTCTCCATCACGAAGATTATTTAAATGCATTGCAATTAATTTACCAAATAAGTTATAACAAGTATTGGTGCACGATCAAGTAAATGTATTCATTGACATGATAGAAATTACAAAGTATTTGATTTAATTCCGTTTATAAAATGAAACATGAGTTTTGTTATCTATCCAACGTAATTTATTCATATAAAAAGCGGGAGAAGGTGCAAAATATCGAAAGCTCGCGCGAAAATTGGTGTTGTATGGCCTTAAATACTTTGATTGGTATAAAATTATGAACTAAGAATAACCTACGATGCAACATTGATGAGGAACGCTGAAACTGAAAGCAATTTCCAAAATTACATTTCAACGAGTATGGTATCAACTGAGAAGCGCGATAAAACCGCATTACAATGTTATGAATCAAAAATGGTTGTGAAACTGCTTTCAAAATACGTTGTTTATTATTTTATTCCTCATAATTGCGGTGCCGAAGATTCCTCGATGATTCATTACGGGTAGAGGAAGAGGTTCGTTGTTCATTTTCCCGTTCGTTGGCAACGTATTCGCTAGAGACGTGTGAGTGCGCAGTGTTCATAGAATTATGTGAAGAGACCATGATTTCCTCATATGGAGAAGGAATGTCATCGTAACGACTACTGCAGGTTGCAGAATCGTGCAACCATAAAGAATCGTATCTAAACCATCGTTCAACTGCAGTTTCTTCAGCAATGGCGTCTTCATATGATGGCGGGTATCTGGCCATAGTTTCTGGTAGTTGAGCATTGTTCTCCGGTAAATTCTCAGGCAAAGGCACGTTAACTGAATTACTCAACGGTAAAGCGATTAGTTGCATGTTTCTGCCCGAATTTATCGAAAAGACCACCTCTTCATCCACAATTGAAGGCGACATAAGATCGCTTTCCATATTTTCAGGTGATAAATCCTCCATTTCTCCGTTCAATGATGAACTTGTTGTATTGTTTTTCTTGCCTGTGAAGATGGGAGATAGCAAACGCGTTGAACTTGAATCTTCATCCGAAGATATACTCAATCTCTGTAGATTTGCATCATTCATCGTAGCGTTCAGCACATCTCTCGCATAGTAACGATGAACCGCCGGACCATTTATTAAATTGTTCAGAAATCGAATAGGCTGCAGTACAAAATATTTTATCATAACGAGAAGCAATACGATAGATACACCGAGAACAAATACAAACAGAGCCAAATCGGTGCGATCGCGCAATACTTCTCCAATACGTACTGCGACATTGTTATCTAATGGGCTGTCATCCAAAGAAAACTGCAAAGTTTCGCTGTTCGATGATAATAAACCATGCATTTCCGATGGTTACGTATTTCCTCCCAAAATTTATCTTACGCTCTAATTTACCTCATTTGTGAAATATAAAATCTACCAGCTCAAATACCGGGTATAAGCCATATTTTTAAGTTTATAAGTTTCATACGAGATAAAATTGAGTATTATAGCGAGTTATACTGTTTTATTATCATAATTTGCACTATAATATGAAACTGCGCGGTATAATTCTTGTGAACTAGGTTTTTCTTGCATCGAAGGATGTGATAACATTTATAAAGGTAAATTAGGTGAACAAAATGGAACATGGAAAATATTAAACTACGTTTTACTTATTTAACGTGCTCAAAAATGGTGCTAGCCAGAGATATAAACTAGCCCCATTTAAAACCTTCACACCATATTACTGTTCTAATTTTAGTTATTGCTGTTTGGCATACCAAAGTTAAAATAGCAAATTATGTAATTAAACATACTTTCATATTTGAAGGACAGCAAGCATATCAAATAAACCTACGGCAAGACGCTGTTAACATAACAAAGAGAATTAATAACCGTAGAGGATCAAGAAGAAACAACACACACAAATATAAATGAAAAAGCATGAAGAAAGAGAGGGCTATTCACTTTCATTGCGTGAAGTTGGCTACGTTTGTTACATGCTCCTCCAAAAGACGCACTAAAATAGAAAGGAGCCCTTTCACAAAATGGTGAGACCATTGAATGCTACTCCAAGAAATAGGATTAGGTCACCTATTCCGGAAGAATCTCTTCTAAGAACGGATGAGAAAAACAAGATAAAGCAATTTCTCACTTCATCATGCAATGTTCTACACATTTCTGGCAATCCAGGAACAGGAAAAACCATGACCGTAAAATATGTCCTAAAGAACGAGAAATACACCTATATAAATTACATGGTGGACCAAAAATTCTTTGTAAGATACAAAATTGTAGTTTTCGATGAATTTGACAGATTCTATCTGGCGAAGAAAAACGAGTGCCAAACTTTTCTTCTTAAGCACAAAAACAAGAAAATCATCACAATCTCAAATAATATGCTGTTTGATTGCGACCTCTTGATTTTTAGGCCGTACACAAAGAACGAAATACTCTACATCGTCAGAAAAAAGCTTAACTGCGAACGAATCAGCAACGATGTCATCGAATACATCAGTCTTAGAGAGAAAAATGATCTAAGAAAAATAATGTGTGCATGCAACGAACTTCTGCTAAAGAATAGCAGCACGATTACATTTAAGGACATTGCTGTAAAAAAGAAGCGAAAGGAAAGCATTCATCAGCAGATCATACATGAGCTGAAGAAGAACTTCAGAATAAAAGAAGAAGCATTTAAAAATTACCTAATGAGATGCAAGGAATTGAATGTAGACAGCTTAAGCCGGCCAGATTTTACATCCGTGTATGAAAATTTTGAATGAATCATTCACTCGATTGCGTAGTCTTGGGAATGCAAAACAATCCACATCTCATTGCTTACGATCTACGTCTCGGAACGAAGCAGTAAAAAAAATCATTACTATCCCTAATATGAGCACTCAATTAAAACACTAGGACATGAAGCGCTATTTTGTCGGTGTTAGGGGGTTGTGCCCTTCCTGTCAATATTAAATAAAATGTTTTTTATATTTAATGGCCACGATACGTTTATTTACTCAAATCTCAATAGCATCAAATTTAACACTTCTGGTCCTTTTCACAGTTTCAAAGATCAAATCTTATTTCATTTTCTTGATGGTTTCGATCCTTAAAATGTTAAACGTCCTTTCATTGGGTAATACGGGCATTTCAACGTGTTTAAAAACTAAAAGATGTATAAATCCCGTATTGATAGCTAAAATTCAACCGCAACATCTTCTTTGAAATATTCGGCAAAGTCGCAGCCATAGAGATATCCCTCGATGACATAGTAGCACTTGAGCACGCCCCTGTCCCTAACCATCAAACTCTCTGTGAACCTACTCTCGTAACTTATAGCATTCGTAAATTTATGTCTGGAAAGTATGAAAGGCATTCTGTCCTTTGGTTTTAGTTCGTAATTTATCACGTAATCATACATCAAAGAGATACCAACGCCTGTTACCTTGAGAAGCGAGTTTTCATCTACATATTGTATCTCAAGTTGATCCAGAATTTCTTTGCAAGCGGATGAGCAGTACAAATCTGTGCTAAAAATAAGTAACTTGTCCAAAAACTTGATGTAAAACTCCTCGTTCCTATTCCTATAGTTTTTGAAGGCTGAGGTAATCGCAATTAGCCACTCCATATAAATAAGGCTGTAAAGATCTGAGCTATCGTTTTTTATGTTCGTGTTGAAAGGGAATTTAAAATATTCTACATGCTTGCCTTTCAGCTTCTTCTTTGAGACAATCTTCACTTTTCTATAGATGTTCATCGTGTTGCATCTTGTCGGTGTGTTTTTCATACCCACATCTCTTTTTATCAGCTGCTTGATGAATATATCATCGTTAAATTTGTTCGTTCTTACCTTTTCGTTTAAGTTAATTCTTTGTTTTCTTACAACATTTGTGCCACCGAAAGGATTGTCGGATGGGCAGTTCGTGATGTTTGATTGGTAATCGTTCATCGCCAGGGTAAAGAAGGAAAAAATTTGATTTATGATTCTGCCGGCATTTTGTGACGCGCTCGGTCATTGGAACGCATTTATTTATTTCTATTGAATAGAAAAAATGTAAGAAAGGACCGATAATTGTTTCGGATAAGCCTGAAACCGGAAGAAAACTGTTTTGGTGTTACACTTTATAGTGATAAACAATTATTTTAGTTTTTAACTCCTTATACAGACTCGTTTTCAGTTTTGCACCATTAATTTTTATCGAACCCTAAATTATAAACTTTCTATCGATTACACCATCATTCCGTGCTATGAGAATTTCTTTCTTTTATACATTGTAACGCGTTTGTTAGATAGACCAAATGATGATGCTTTTCATCTATAACATATGCTGAAGGTATAAAAGAGTCGTATTTTGTGCCGAAGTAGGACTATCGTACAAGTAAATGTATACCAGATCGATTCCTTGCTTTGTGCCAAAATTTATCGTTTAACCACAGGAAAACCTTGTAAAACAGCAACGATCATTAATTAATCCAGCACTTCTCCTTCAACAACACATCAGATTTAATTTACAAACCAGCGGTAGATGAGGATGCAATTGGCGACAACCCGCTGATTTATTTTTGTGATATGGTGTAGCATAACGGAAGAGTAAGTAAACTTATTACTATTGCATTGATTAACGCTCAATCACATTACAAAACGCTTTTACATCCCAATACAAGTATCGTAACATAAACTTGTTTAGTCTTTGTTTATAAAAATCAAAATTTTGCTACGTAAAAATAAATAAAAGATGTGGAAGATCCTAAAACATGACTTGGAGAAAGAAAAGGCCCATTATCGACGTGTTTTCTGCTTTATAAGGAATAGATTACCCTACGTTATAATAACAATCGAGATATACATCCTGCTAGTTGAGGTGATATTCATTATGGTGTTGATAGGCATATTTCTGGCGGGGTATTGAAAAATAAAACTGAAAATTGCATATTTGTTCGTAATATGGCTGCTTAACGAATTGGCATCCCGTAGTGAGTATCTGCATTATGTGCTGGATGGACCTGTTCAGCGGACAGCTGAAACAAAGCGTTAAGATCATCTTAACCAGTCTTTAACATGAAATATACGTTCAAAAAGAGGTAAGTACACAAAATAATTGCAATATCTGTTTGTTGCTTAGTTCTATTTACCACAATACTTGTAACTCGAATAGAGAAATACCGTTTAAGCGATTAAACATGTTAATTGATGAGAAGTCATACATCACGAGCCATAAAAGCGAAGATACTCATTCAACAAAACTTTATTTGAAGTACATTTCGTGCCTTCTATGGTTCAAAGTAGCGCAACTCGTTTTTGGGTTTAAACATTTTGATTTTGTACGCCCCAATGATCGCAGTAATAGATACGAACATTATCATCCAGAGAAAATTATCTGAATACGAGTTTGAAAAAGGCTTTATTACACCAGCAGTTCTGGTAGAGGTGCGCGGTGAGGACCTTAATAACTACTTAGACCTGTACACACATAAAATAGAATTGGTACAACCCGATGAATTATACCTAGAGAAAGTGTACGGTTTGCAAAAAGAAAAGAATTTGCTCCTTAGTAAGGCTGATATGGAGGTGGTTGCTCTTACTTTGCAGTTGAACGAATCGTTTGAACGAGAGAGGTTGAATGGTTGGATAACGAGAGAGAATATCAATGAAAGAGTAGAATGTCTATCACTGGACAACGGAGTACAGCAGTGTTTGAGGTTGTTTAAGCGTACCGATGGAGGAGCTGTAGATGAACGCAATTTTATGTTCAGATGTGTGTCATGTTTTACCTTGTTTGATAACAAGCTAGATTTTTGTAAGAGATGTGCATCGCATTTGATCAGTAGGGTGTCAGTGAAGAAGGAGAATGGGAAGATCAAAGTATTTTTGAAGAAGGGATTTAGGCTGAAGAAACCTCTGCTGAAAGATAAGTATGGAAATTTACTGCGCTCAGAAGACCAGAATGCATATAAGAGGCACGTCAAAGAAAGAAACAAGACGATGCAAAACTGATAAGCATATGCCCGGCAATACCGTGCATACCAAACTAAAAATGAATTAAAATCGTTTTTAAAGGATGTTTTGTTGCAATCTAGAAGCATAGCTGTTCCATGCTGCCATTTTTATCCCATATTTAACGTTTAGATCAGCCTGTACTGTAATATGGTACTTATATGCTCATCCATCACAGATATAACTTATGTGTCTGAAGACCTAATCTGTAAAATTAATACATTTCACGTATTATTTGTACACCATGCACTGCGCCAGCCTTAAACGATACCACATGGTATCACCGCGTAATATAGGTCGATAAAAGATTAAATGCAGCATTTTGTCCTTACCACTCTTAGCCGTTTCATAAAATAAAACAGGTGATTATCAACGTTAAAATTAGCTCCCTACCCAACATTAAATAACGTGCACTCTCCAAACAGGTGATATCAATCAAATTATTTTTACTCAGCGTTGATAGTAAGGATGTGTGATTCCCATGAAGCCTATAGGGTATAATTATCTCTTTGAGTGTCGTTTGACGAGTGCAGTTTTCACAGTGCTCAACACGGAGGTACTACCACGATGCGATATGCAAAACGGGCGTATTAATACGAAAAAAAGGTTTTTTGTCTTTCTATAACGGTGAAACAATGTAATTTCGGTAATGAGTGCTGTATGGTTAGTCCAAGCGGTATAGCGTAATGCTTGTATTGCTGACGGATTTCTAAATCTTAAATTTCACGGCAGAAGGATGGATTAGACCGAATTAATTCTTAACTTGAGAAGCATTCGTTTCAAAAAGTGATATCTCTTCACCAAATTTTTTAATTTGGAACGATTTTGGCATGTCAAAATGAGCAATAACAAAAAAGTGAAACATTCCTTTGATAACTCCCATGTATGACTGAGCATAGAAAATAATGGTTGGTAATCGATAGATGATGTGCCACTGTACATACGAGATTGAACGAAATATACTATGCATAGTTATTCGTAGCTTTGATTGTTTAAAAAGTTTTTATGATCATTGAGCCATTTGAATTAATTACCCTTACAAAGCGGCATTGGTGTGAAACACCCTATCGTAATTTTAGTGATAGCAGAGAAATTCGTCATTTTGAACCGAGTTACTGCACAATTCGGCTCTATGCCAAATAGTACTTCCCGTAAGTTGAGTACAAGTGTAGGACAACGGTTTTAACGAACGGACCTGTTTCCGTAAGATTTTAGCTGCTCATATATCCTTAGCCATTATTAAGCCAGAGATATTCAAATAGTGCATCTTCGCGTGTTAAACTTAACTTTTATGCAAAAACGTGTCTACGTGCACGTTTATTTGAATGGTTTACTAGTTATGATTTCATTTGCAGCTGTTGTACTTCATGGAATGTATCAAGGCCGGTCTGATACATAGACATTGGTATCACCCTTCTTGAATGTTTGCACATAAAAGCAATAAAGCGCTAACACTCCAGCGCTTATCAACCCGGAAACTTCGAAACAGAACCACATTATAGAGAAGTGCTGTTGGCTTGGAATATACCTTCATAAAACTATCCTGCTGTGCTGCCATGTCACTTAACTTCCAAACATTGTTTGCTGATCTTTGTTTTTAATTTTGATAAATTTTTGTTTCTAAATTTGTGGTCGACCCCTGCGGATTTCTTCATGGAAAAGAACGATTTTAAGCGATTCTGCGTAGTTATAATTCTTACACTCACATTGCATCTTATAACAATGCCAGTTTTGCTCTATGGACAGAAGATGAACGTGTTCAGAATATCCTTTCTGATATTTCACAACTTTTTGGCCTTCTGGGTGTATTTCTTCATGGCCTTGGTGAAGAAGAAAAAAGGCTTTGTTGAGTACAATGAGCAAACAACCGAGCTGCTCAGGAAAGAACCAAACAAGTACTGCATCCTGTGCGATAACTACAAGCCAGAAAGGGCACACCACTGCAGTAAATGCAGGCAGTGTGTACGGAAGATGGACCATCACTGCATGTGGCTGGGCAATTGTGTAAATAATGATAACTTGGGCCATTTCATAAGGATGCTTCTGTATGCCGTACTCAGCCTCCTTGTTCTTTCGGTTTTTTCCATATATTCGATCGTTAGAAGAGACCGGTTCGGTCCTCCGTTTCTTTTTCGCATTATTTTGGTGTTTGTTGTTACGATAGCCGTGCTCTCGTCCCTGCTTTTTCTTGCACTCGGGTTCTTTCTCATTGAAAGGTTTATTTTTGTTCTAAAGAATCTCACATATCTGGAGAGCTGCAATTTAGAGGCGTTTAAAGAGAACGGCATGCATCATTTGATCAAGTCACCGTACAATCTGGGCTGGTGGAAAAATTTGCAGGTTCAGATGGGCAAGCCGTACTTCCTGTACATGTACGGCGAAGAGGGCGATGGACTATTTTTTGAAAAGAATTTTGAGTGCGAGCAGTGGCCGCCCCGCCAAATGGTCGATAGATGGAGACGGTACAACGAGATACCATTTCTTCCGTAAAGCGAGATTAGGACAAACACTGATCTCCTTAACTTATATCAAACATAAATAGACTCACATTCACAGCATGCAACGTAAATGAGCCGTGCTATAGTTTACAATATCAGAATCGATTTTGTAGTTGTCAGAATGAGACCTTCCACATCACCATAAATAAACTATTTTTGGGAATTTGTTTATTTATAATTGTTGCCTGAGAAAGAGGCTTCAGTTACTACTGGAATAGCAATTGCAGCAAAAAATCTAAGAAAAACACACAAGCAAACTCTCTTAGCATATTGAGTGCTTATGATAACCTTTTAGTCCTCGTTTTACTGATGAAACGAACTAATGCAATAAAATATAGTATTTGAATTAACTTTGTACACTATTATTCAATAAATGATCTTTGTACGATAACAGCAATATTTAAACGCTCTTATATTCCCTGAAGCATCCATTTCATCAAATTGTGCTTTCTTAGGGCGTAAAAGAAGTTGAAAATGAAAAAATGCTGACAATGAAAAACTTTATTCGTATACCACCGCATCATTCGGTAGCAGCGTGCTGAGCACCTCAGTCCTGTAATTCTCGTACAATTCCTCGCTCGTTTCCTCGATCAATACATCCGTGTAAGAGCTGAGGATGATTTCCCTAAGTATTTTGAAATCGCAGTGGTCAACATTCATCGTGCCCGGTGTTCCCCAAGGATAGATTCGATTGTTAACCTCTGGTTTTAGACTGTCAAACGATATAATCGTGAACGGCTGCTTGTTCTGCAGCTCAAATCCTACATCGGCGTCATTCAGATTCTCTTTGTCAAAGTTGAATATTCTGATGTCGTGCCTGCGCACCTGATCCTTGACATTCTCCTTGAACGTTTTCAATTCGTTAAGGGTGAGTGAATCCGCTTTTGCTATTACAAGGATCAAATTCACCAGTTTGTCCACTTTCTTTAGGAGCTTGATATCGGCGAGTCTCAATCCGCCACATCTCGATGGTATGAAGTAGATGAGTGCATGCACACGCGTATCTTCAGCGTTGGGATTTCTGTTGATTTTTGTCTCCTCTGTTAGAAACTTGCAGAACTGCTTGCGCAGGTAAATAACGATTGAATCGTGCACATACGAGTCGTTCATCGATGCGCCTAAGCCAGGCGTATCCACGATTGATATTTTGCGCCTCAAGCCCTCCATGTCAACGTCTGACACGTATACATTGAATGCCTCTTGCTTGTGCGAGTCAGAGATTTCTACCAACTGTTGATCGAACAGGGAGTTTATGAATGACGTTTTGCCGCATCCTGCCGGACCGACAAGCATAGTTGTGAATAGCTGTGGTTTTTTTCTGAGCATTTGTTTGTTTACGTCTCACATTTTATTGTTTTCTGGAACTGTTTTGTTTCACCATTGATAAATTGAAGATCAGAACTACACCCCGTATTGCGAGCAGAACAAATCACCCTGTTGCAGCACAGCACACGACTCATTTCTTAAAAGTTGATTGTTCATACCATTTCGGCAAAATAGTGATTTGATAGGATGCATCCATTCATTGAGAGATCATACGTTAGATTGCAAACAAAATATGAATAAAAATGAGCGTTTGCTTCAGATGCCATATATGAGTGGATAAATAGACGTACTTTAGGTAAAAATAGGCATTTGCAAGAATGTTGCGTAAATACACGTGTTTACATTATTGTAAAGTGCACTTAGCACGATTTTAAAACGAATACTTGCAAATTGATTTATGTGCGCTGATGCTACAGCTGGATACGAAGGAACGTACATCTGCTTTGCAACACGCTGTGAAAGCGGTATCAACGAACACATTATGGTAAAGAAAGGATAGCACCAGATGAGCAAAAAGTAAACTGTTCCAGAAGTACGAACGTTTCATTGAACTATTTTATCAAGTAAATCCTGTGTATGAAGAACAGCTCTTATTGTTTAAATGCATTTCATCAAATTATTTATTTTACTACACTTTAACGGACAGTTCACCGTTCACGCTGAGCTGTGCCCTCTCCAACAAACAGTAACCAAATACAACATCAATTGCTAGAAAGGATGTCTATCGTCTGTTGTTCTTGTATATAACCAGGTAGACAATGGTCAAACAAACACTGAAAATAAAGAATTTCCATGAAATACGCTCTAAGAACCTATCAATCATATCACCAAAGCAGTCCATCACAATTTTCATCACTTCAACGTCACTTCTTGACTTGGACATGTTATTCTTCCAAATCATGCAGTCCTTCCTCATTGCTGGTATATCAATGCATCCACACCTGTTAACTTCGTATTTGTACTTGCTGTCTTCGATCAGGTACAGTAAATCAGCAAATTCGTTGTCTATTCTTATTCTGATGTCGTTCCTCAGAACAAAAAATGTTTTTATGATCGTAAATGACAAAATAGCAATTATCAGCAGATTAAATGACATGAGAGCGTATGCTGACACGAGAAATGGCACGCGCGCGTTGTTACCCTTCCCTGATTCCACACTCGTAGGCGAACTTGGTGCGCAGTTGGGCCTGCTCCTTTTTACCAGCTGGTTATTTTCAATCGAGTTTTTCTTTGTGTACCACTCCCTTGGCAGGTTTAGTTTGAATTCTTCCTCTTTGAATCGGTCGTTCATCATGAAAGGGTAGCACAAAAAATTGAAAATAATACCAAAAGGACTGTAGAACTGGAAAGAAGCGGCAGTAGAATAGTTTACTTTCCTTCTGTCCTAGGAGGATGAGCCATTATACTGCCACGAGTTTCTCCACTGTCAAGAAACAAACACATGCACGAAATGATACGCATCTTATAGTACCGTTGTTATGTGTCATAAGCACCGTGTGACTTAAAAAGCGAAGTGTTGTACCATAAAAATGATCTAACATCGAATAATTACGTTTTTTTACCAAAAGCCGTTTATTCATCTTCTCACAGCACTAAACACTTGTCTGGTGCGTTGTGATTTATCATGTTCATTGGTTTGCGAAATTATAGCGAGAATAAACCGCTAGTGTGAACTTAACAAGCAAAAATTTCGAGCAACCACAGAATATTGCAGCTTCGCACCGGTGGTTTTACGTGTTAGGTATTGATAGGTGCATCAGTGTCTTTTAATGATTCAATAGTATGAAGAATGGTCTTCTCGATGGTATCTGCCGGGTGCAATCCTGGTAGAATGGGTGTGCGGGCGGTGTTAAATAAAGCTATTGCTGGAAAGAGTAAAAAGATGTTGCTGGAAAGAGTAAAAGGATGTGCTGTGGTCAAGGACAGGTTTTGCATGCAGCAGTATCAGAGAGTATGACTCTGTCAGTTTGCTTATACTAGGAGTCTTGTGTTATAGCGTAGAGTAATTGTGAAGAGCTTTTTGTGGCGGTATATACGCCGTATGTGTGTTTATTGTAATAGAAGACACGCACCATGTCCGTACACGCTGCTGCAACACCATCTGAATAGGTCTCGGTGTGCACTCGTCCGTAAAAATATTTTAGTGTCTTCGGGTAACCGTCAATTTTAGTCCTTGAAATGCTATTCAGACTGGTTTCATTCAACGTAAACGGTCTACGCTCATACGCAAAATTCGTTTCAGAGAGAAATACCAACATAAACGATTACATTAGAGACAGGCTGAAGGCAACCGTTCTGTGCGTGCAGGAATCCCGAGGGTCTAAAAGCAGCCTTAGCGAATTCTACTCGTTAAAGGATTACATCGTTTTTGTATCTGCAAATGAGACGAATCCCGGCAAATATGGAGTTGCAACATTCATCAAAAAGGACTTTTATTGTTGTGGCAAGGAGGAGGTGATGAACGAGTTTGGGGAGTATAACGGTGAAGGACGTTTTTTGCTCACGCGGCACGGCACGTTCAACATCCTTAACTGCTACTTTCCGTTTGTTGGAGAGTGCGAATTTAGATCAAACGACGAAAAATCGAAGAAAAAAGTAAATGGAGCCATGCGTTTCTACTTTTATGTGGAGAATTACGTGAAGGACAGGCCCAATACGATCCTTTGCGGTGATGTCAACGCGGTGTATAGCATGAAAGACACGTACATTTACCAGCAGGAGTTCTCGAGGATCCAAGGCAAGGTTTTAACGGTGGATCACGGGATAGATAGCGCCGATCATCTTGAACACCCTGCTAGAGAAGACAGAAATGAGCACGAGAAAACAGACAATGAAATATTTGATGGGGGCAGATTCGTAAACCCGATCGCTTCACAAACCGAACTTCCATTCTTCTTCAAAAATACAAAGTATCTGAGCGAGTACTTTTTTGAACTGCCGAACAGAAAATGGCTTTACAGATTGATCCATGAGTGCCAATTCATGGATACGTACAGGATGTATTCGCAAAGAGAAAAGGTTTATTCCTGCTGGAATAGTCTGCTTAGTTTACGAAAGGTTAATCTAGGCACACGAATCGATCTCATACTCGTCCACAAAGTGTATGCAAAAAATGTTATGAATGCTGACGTGATGATGAATGAATATGGGAGTGATCATTGCCCTGTTATTGCTGATTTTGATATAGAAGTTGTTGCGAATGGGAACAACGTATTGAAGAGAAACAACAATCTGCTTTCCTTCTTCAAACCTAAGTTATAAGTTATTAAATACCATAAAACGATCTTTTCTTCAGCTACAGCCCGCTATTCGTGCGTTCATAGAATAATTTTTATGAGTTCTTGAAGATATTTGCTTGCCCTGCACGTGTGGAGGATTAAAAGCAATTTTCTTATAGCAAACATAATTTTTTGTTCAAACAAACAGCTCATCTTGACTGCAGCAGTGTTAGAAACTCTTAATCCAATGAACTTGGTAACCAGCCTTACCTCATGCTAGCTTAAATCTATACAACATGGTGAATCGGTAATTACCCGGTATAACGCGTATTAATCGTAAAGTGCGTCCGCTTCCTCGTACTGGTATGTGGCGTTCAACACGGTTCTCTCTCCACGTACTTCATTAAATTTGAGATGCCTCACCTACCCCTGATGGACCAGGCAGTGGATTGTTCCGTAGGCTTTATGAAGAATGCGATGGGCTCGTCGTCTTTCACAAACAATGATACCACTGTATACTGCCACGTGAACATATTGCCTGATATTGCACAGCGTGTTGGTGCAGTGTCCTGCATAGAAGTGCACTGGAACGAGGGGACCAGTTGGTCACGCAACAAATATTTTGCCGACATAGTTGGGCACATCTTCAACAAAATTGTCAGGGACGATTTGCGTAGGACATTTGTGCTTGAGTTGTGGGTGTGTGCGGGGGTAAGAAACACACTTATGTGTGCATTTAATGCTGCGGTGCTTGCGCTCATTGATGCCGGTGTTCCACTAGGAAAGATGGTGCATGCTGCAGCTTTTGATGAACAGAAAGAGGGCGTTGTTCTTTTTGAGGATGACCGCACCGTATTCGTTCATTCGTTTGGTGATGTTGATGAACACGGTATTAAGAGTGCAGAGAACAAACTAACAGGGATTAGAGACATCATGAGGTTCAGATTGGAAAGTAAGTGTGGTTTTAACCTTTAGTAAATGCTTTGCTCCGAGTAGAAATGTTTGTTGAGCAGCAGATGCTAAGGTCATTTTAAGGACCTTTCGTTACGTGCACAACAAAAAATTAAAAATATCATATATCTGAACGCTCTGCACCCCAAGCACGTTGCACATAGCAGATTCTGTGGTTATCCATCAATTCTAACGGTGTAATCTTTGTAAGTTACGCGTAAACTACGGCATGTCAAAGACTTTACTCCGCTTTAACCCCAATATTCGAGTTCTTTATCCCGAGAGTGCAAGAAAAAAAGCTTGCAACCCCCGAGCTTCGATCTCGGAACCTCTAGATCTTCAGTCTAACGCTCTCCCAACTGAGCTAGGGTTGCTTGGTGCTGCAGGTTCGTGTGCTATTTCTAAAACGTTAAATCCCTTGAACCATGCTCAGCTACACGAACAAATGATGATCACGTCTTGGGCAGTTATCTGCCGTATTATCACCGATGCAGGAGCACGAATAAGCGATACAAAGCCGAATGTGTAACACAGTTGGTGTTATTAACGAGCAAATAATAGCGTATTAAATACTTTGGTACACTGAAAAACGTTAACAACGAGCGGTTCGTGCTAAAACAGTGATCGCTAACAATTTTAAACACTCAAAATACATTTTTATTCCTTTGCACATCGTAGAACGCCTTACTATCATTCTTAACGATCCATACATCATAGATTAATTCAATGTATGCTACAACTTAGCCAATTCCTCGTCGGTGTACTTCTCCAGCCACACCTCTAGCAATCTCTGCTCGTTCTCTAAGTGCTTATTTTCCTCAACCAGAGCATCAAGAACACGTCTTTTTTCATCTATTTCTTTCTCCAATACTTTCCTAAGCTCAACTAATCGTTTCTGCTTTTTTTCTTGCTCTGTTGTATCCATGGGCCCGACAAAATGAAGCGGTGAAAAAAATTGGTTTGGGCGAGTTTGAATGCTCCATCTGAGGGCACAGCCCTGCAATTTTGATCAGCACAAGCTGCCGAATAATGAGCACAACCAAAGGAGCAAAACGTTTGCTTAACAGTCTTCCTATTCTGCTCTACATCGTAGATTAAAACGTTTTAGAATATCTCGTTACCATAAATTTGATATGATTAGCATGATCACGCGCAAACACGTGGTTTTATATGCATGCACAGGAGTGAGCCTGGCATATCGATCCATTAACCACACCGATCATCGTTTGTAATCTGATTTCATTTTTGTGAGCATTGTATAGTTTGAGATGGTGAAAGGACTGCAGTAAGATTTACAACAAGATGAAAATACCGGGCAGGAGGCGTTTATTTCCAATCAATCCTTGGGCCAAGAGAAAAAGGGTCTTAGCATGCCAAGATCTTTGTATAAAGAGGTTAGTAGTGGTCAGGCACTGAACACCTGTGATAATCCTATCAATCTGATATGGTGTATCGACAGTATGGGTGTTAAGCGAAAGGCAAAAAGAATGTTTTGCTCTATCGTTTAGTTGCATGTTATTGTTGTTCTGCCAATACAAGCCAATTCACTGTTATGCTCAGTGTGCCGAAACTCTCAAGCGCCTTGCTCTTTTCTAGTGTTGCAGCAAACTCTAAAATAATCCATAAATCTGATACAAGCATTTCTGTGCGATGTTCCGTAGAAGTCAACCGTATTACTTTTGCCTAGTTCTACGCTTTTTACTTTGCTAGTCAAAAATATTTATGTGAACACTTTCGTACGAACGATGTCTTCTACATCTGTTCTGGTACAGACACTTCCAGCACCAATATTTTCATTTTTTGTAAGTCTGTTCAAATAGCATCCCACAACCACGTTTATAACATGAGTCTTTTTCACAACCACGTTTATAACATGAATGTTTTTCACAACCAAAAACGTACCACAAAACTCACATCCTGTCTTTTCGTAGAAATCGAGTGAAAATTTGAGCCCTTAATCAATTTAATATAGCATTTTAAGTTCAGATGGTAAGAACAGAAGATAAACTAAAAAAATATAAAAGTAAAATAAAATCATTGAAAAACAAGCTGAAATGCAAAAAAATAATAATTAAGTCTTTGCTACACACCTTACAGAAGAAAAAATACAAAAAAAGAAGGAGTGACTCATCGGTAAAGAGAAAAGAAAAAGATGAAATAAAAAAGCGGAGAAAAGTAAGTAACGTGCTGGGACAAGGCACGGAACAGATAATTAAAGAGACAAGTAATGATGGAAGGATGCTCAACAAATCGGATGGAGCTGCGCACCACGAGATAGTTGACGCATATACCGTATTGGAGAGAAATAACTGTGAAAATGAAGATAAGTCTTTCAAATTAAATTTTAAATTGGATGAATACGTGGATTACACGTGTTCTCTCTTCGTGCCGTACATTTGTGATGCAAAAGACACGTATAAGCTGTCGAAGCAGCATGCGATATACATCAAAACCAATAGAAAGTGCATTCTCAAACACATATTTAAGGACATTAACACCAGGGAGATAGAAAAGACGTGGACTCTGCTGTTTAACCTAGGATGCACGGAGAGCTACGAGGCACTGTGCGTAGTAGTGCACGACTTGTTCGTGTTTGTGGAGGATTTTGAGCGGGTATTCTACCTTTCGTACGCGCTGTTGCACAATAAAAAATTTGAGGTTGATATTCTCTCCAAAACGATAAGAATGCTGCTCAGCTATCAGGCACTCATCATGAGAAAAGTCAACTCGGGCGTAGAATTTGGTTATAAAATACAAGAAGAGATGGACCTGTTTGACCATTTTGATGTAAATAGCCTCTGTAATGTTATACTTGAGGACAACAGCTTTTCACATTTGAACGTTGCATCTCTGCGGATCATCTGCTCATTTATGGATTGGAACTGGACCTACAACACCTTCATCGTTCAGATGCTTTATCCCCGTTTTGTTGAGACGAATCGACCTATTTTACTGTTTTATATGGGCGTTATTTGTACGCTGGGATACAAGAACTTTGGGATGCATGAAAGCGTGCAGAGCATATTTGATGAGATAAAGACCTGTTTAGACAAAGATAATGTTGAATTGAGCGCTATTGCCTGTTCGTTTGTTAAGAATTTTGATTTGGACTTAGCGGAAAAATGGGGCACAAGAAACAAAGTTAAATACGGGAGACAATCTTGGTTTGATCACATCCTGACTAAAAACACGTTTTAATTTATTATTTTTCTTTATGTGCCCTGCACACGGGAACGATGTTGCTGTTGTACTAGAGTTCAATCCGAAATACTTGAGTTGCTCACGCTTTATTCATTTCTGTGGTGAATTTTGCTGCAGAAAAGTGTGTTTTTAAGGTGCTGTTATATGAGAGAACAAGGAAACGTACTTTATGTAAAGATTTTGTTTTTACTTACAGTACATTTCTTTGTTTGACAGGTTCGGCTGTTTATACACGGACTTGGAGTACATCCAGTTCTGTGCGATAAATCTTGCTGAACACGGTTGATATGATAGACTTGGAGTATCTATGCAAGTAACCGAGCATAGCGGATGAACCAATGTTGTTGAACGATCCTTGAAGTGTCACAAAGAGCAGATTAACCCGTCAATTCACAAGAATAGTTACTAAAGTGGACAAAAGGTGAAAAAAATACAAGAAGGAACAAACATGTTTTAGCGGTTGCGGCTGCTTCTTGGGTGCAAAAACCTTTGCCCACCGCGAGATTCGAACTCGCGTTACCACGGCCACAACGTGGGGTACTAACCAACTATACTAAGCGGGCCAAAGGCACGCGAACTGGTAGTACATAACGCTAAGAAGACATCTGAGTAATTCGTAGCTAGAATGAAGAGTTTTCGTTAGCATATTACCAAGTTATAGGCAAGCTCTACCAAATACCACGGTAATAACTCAAATATAACATCAGTTTCACCAAATTCACGATACTCTACAAAAAATAAATGATGCGGTGAACAATTATAGCAAGAAATCTGAAACGATGTTTACTAATGTTATTGATGATCAACAGGATTGATCAACCTCAAGCAGATTGATCTTTGGTGTTAAAGGAGATACTTAATTCAATATTAACATAATGAAATAACAATTTAAACAATCGTGTTTCTTCTACAACGGGAAGCAGGCAATCCTTTGCTGTTCTTTTCGAACAACACATTGTATAAATCCAAAGGTTTCTTTCCCGCACCCGTTCACACAAGGCGACCATGTTCTTTGAGCTTTAGCTCGAAAAATCAGCTCACTCTTATGTACATACCTGCTTACAAATCACGGTATATACACAGTGTATGGTGAGATTTGAACGATATCGGATTAAGCACACGATTGCCATTGCTGTGCAAACGTATTTATTGTTTGATGTTGGTGTGGTGAGTGCTATTTCTAAAGATCATTGCCGTAAAACAGATTGTTGCTTCGGCACAATATGGTGATGGGGATGCTCGTTAAAATTAACATATGCAAATGCCACGATGCTTTCCATACAATAACAATCATGTCTTAACCATTTGTCGGACCTGAATATGTCTTGGACACTCTTCTCCCTTGACCGGTGAAACTCGAATCATTCGGATAAGGTCCAGTACGGGAAATAACCACGAATTCAACAACAAAACAATTTGGAGAACGATTAGAACAGTTCTATTGCAATGATCTTATAAATCAGAGCGGCATGCCTACGTTATCTTGGCACAAAGATGTTGCCTAGATCGCCCATCGAGAATAAGAGGCATTTTAATCCGTTTTACTGCTTTTAACCGCGGCAAGACCAATAGCATTTGATCTTCCTTGGCTACAAGCTCAAAACAACTTTTCAATTATTGTTAGCCCTTTGAATGAACCGTGAAGTGTTGAATTCGCTCTCTGTTGAACAGAGAAAAATCATCGAAATAAACTACAGACGGGTGATGCACAAGGAAATAACTCCATCGGATTTTTTTGAAGAATGCAAGCGGCTACTAGGACCTGTAACATTTTCCCTGCTCTTTCCCGGGCATGCTCCTCAGTACGTGTCGTACACGCCCTCACCACGCGAAGTGCAACACTATCAGCGTTTCGAAAAAGACCGGGAGGTGGAGCATGAGGAGCAGTACCAGCAAAAAGAGATTAAGACGGAGCGTCTTCAGGATATCATTGAGTATGCCGGTGTTAATTTAAAGGAGGAGCAAGAAAACATAGGACGTGAGAACATGGTTGACCAGGAATTGGAGATAAACGAAGAAGATAGAAGGAACAGCCTGGAATATTTGTTTGATGTGGAGATTTTTGTTCAGTATGCCAATTTCATCGCACGAAAAAGAGGAATGGAGGTGGATGATAGCGCGTACCACGCATTATTTCTGGCTCTGAAGCGGAAGTTGACCGAAATAATAGAGAAAATGGTGAAAGCCTGTGAGTTCAGAGTAGATTATATAAAAAGCGAGGCCGTGACAAAGATAGAAAACGATATCAGGAGACAGCTTTGGGTTCTTGAGGAACAGGAGAGAAAGGAAATTGATAAGACGCTTTGTAAAAAGGGGGTAGATGACGAGGACTCGCAGAAGAAGAAGCTGAAGAAAAATGTGCAGGAAAGGGAAGATTTGATTATCAAAAAGCGGCTCTCTAACACGGTTGCACTCGCAGCGCTGGGAATTCAGCGAAAGTCGTGGATGAACACAGACGAAGCGATGGGAAAACCAGAAAAGAAATCGCTATTTCAATCGTTGTACTCGCCATATAATGAAAAGGAGATGGAGAAGAAAATTATTAATAGAAAGGTCATTTTAGACGATTTCATTTATGTCTTAGAAAGGGATAAGCGATACAACAAATCAGTTTTTACCATCAAAGAGTATTTCAAAAAGTAAAAAGATCTGCTCTGCATCGCGTATAGGCGCATGAATGTTCTTTCCTCCATTTCGTGCCTTCTTTCCACGAATACACTAGAAAATGGTATTGTGTTCATTGGAGAGATCAGTCACCTAACCATGGAATAACATTTTAGTTGTTGATAAAAATGTTTAAAACACGTCAGACCGTTTTTTGTTCATGTCTGGTACGAAGAAAATGGCGTTCAGGTCAAAAAGTTTTTGATCTTTCCACAGAATGTCTTGTTGTACTATTCGTATGTTTTGTACGCTCAAATACGTTATTTTGTCGACCGAGCATTTTCATTTGCTCATCAAAAATTTACTCAAATAAATTTTAATACTTTTCATCCTTTAAAAATGTCTTTCAGCATAGAATTCCTCTCAACAAGAAGTGGAAAGGCCTTGCTTTTGAAACAGGAAACCAAGCACTATCTCTTCGGGTATTATGAAGGTTTTCAGAGACACTCGATCGAACGGAACATAAAATTACCGAAAATCACAAATGTTTATCTGTTTGAGGACCACCAAATAATTCCGTTATTAGGTTTCTGCTTAACGGTCGCCGACATGGGAAGAGAGGCGCTATGGGTGTACGGATCCGAGAATGTCAAAAAAATTTTTCAGAATGCCTGCAGCTTCGCAAGGCGTAGTAAGCTCAAAATGACGTTTTCAAACAATAACCCTGAGGTTGTACCTCTTGAGATGGCAGCAGGAATGAATTATGTTGTGAGGTTGCCCAAGATTAAAGGACGGTTGGACATAAGCAAGCTTGACCGGCATTTTCCTGCGAAACTGAGAAAAGATCTCAAGGAAAGAAAAAAGGTTCTCTACAACGGTGTTGAATACGATGGAAATAATTACATGGAGGAAGACACAGAGATTGGAGATATTTGCGTTTTGCATACGACCGGAAATCTTGGAGAATGCCTGACACAGCTCAAACAGTTTGACATAAAACTCTTTATATGTATGAACAGAGAATGTCTTGCACTGAAAGAGCATTACCCGGATAGCCGTTTTGTTCTTTTTGAAGAGAACAACGAAATCGAATACAAGTCGTTCTACGAATTGCAGAAAAGGTTGAACAAAATCGATGCAAACTTTTTGTTACCTAAGAAAAACATCACAAAAATTGATGCAACATCGGCAGAAGATATAGAGAATGCCAATAAATCGGAGATCAGCGGCCTTACAGACACACATAACATAAAATTTACGAAGAAGCAACTGATTATGTTCCATGAGGATGAAAAGTGTACCGAGCAAATCATTTTTCTGGGCACGGGAAGCGCGATTCCATCCAAATACAGAAATGTTTCCTCCATTATTTACGAAGAAGAGAACTGTGCTTATCTGCTGGATTGTGGAGAGGACACACTCTCACAAATTGACCGTGTTTACGGTGACTTGCGCGTCTTGGAAAAGCTAAGGCTGATTTTTATATCTCATTCACATGCCGATCATCATCTTGGTCTTTATTTTATTCTTAAAAGCATTCGACACAAAGTCGTGGTCCTGTGTCCGCAAAAGGTCAAAGACTTTTTGAGCCTCTTTGACCTGGATGTCACTTTCTTCGTAACAGACAAGAATAGAAAGGCAGAAATCACGTATCTGTCATTCAATTTAAACGAGAAAATTATCAAGGTATCACTCTGTCCTGTGGACCATATCGGTGACAGCTACGGCATCAAATTGCAGACTGCGCACGCCATCTCATATTCGGGTGACTGCCGTCCGTCCTTCATGTTTGCCGAGATGTCCAAAAAATCCGATGTGATGATACATGAAGCCACTTTTACAAACGATTACCGAGATAACGCGCTCAAAACAAAACACTCAACAATAAATGATGCAGCTGATATTTTTAACAAGTCGGGTGCTCACATTCTTATACTCACGCATTTCAGTCAGAGGTTTCCCAAGAATGTTCCATCGGACCTTCAGGTATTCTACGCATTTGATTTTTTCAGGTATAATTTCAAGAACAAGTACAATGAACGCGTGCGAGAGTATCTAAGGAGCATTGATGAGTGAGTATTTGGTCATAATCTGCATTATCTTTGTGTTGCTTTCCAAGAAACATGTTCACTCCATTTTAATCTGCCTATTAAATTTGCATGGGACTAATTAGCACGATCAGCCATTTCGGTTACGAGCATTTTTAAAAAATAAAAAAGTGTTTATTTACGATATTTTTGTGAACTTGTGTATCGAATAACATTCCTAATACGCTCTATAACTGCCCTGGTTCATGGCGAACCAGTTCGGGACAGGATCTTTCATTTACTTCAAAGCGATTCTGCTCATCTTATACCACCAAGCAATCCGTGTACAATACGATATGGCGATGATAGCAATTAAACATGTTTTGATGAGAAACACTTCTATCACAACCGCTGTCAAACAACCAACCGATAATTAACATGAGAAGACAGCTCTGTACAAACAATCTCGAGAATTAAAAGCTATAATGCAACGCAAGAGCATTCAGAAATGTATTTATTGGAAGAAACGGGAAATATATTCAAATACACACATTTCTGGAAAACAACGCAATGCTGGATCAAATCAGCATTTAAAACGCTTTCACAGTTCATACTTTAATTGATCATGACACGGCCTATTCATCATCATTACTCATCGCATCCTCACATGCCATTCCCGACTTGACGCTCACTTTCGTCAACGATTCCCTAACAAATTGGATATAATCATCATAGTAGATTACTCCACCAACAATCTCTTTTTCAGCATCCAAATTCAACACGAAGCAGCAGTTATTGAAGTTAACCTCATCGATATATTTTGTATCGCCAGAATCGTACGTCTTAAAGAGCTTTATAGCCGTCTCAAGCCTATAATCTTCGTACTCCTTGTGCTTTTCCAGATCCTTGAGAAGTTTGTATTTCTCTTCATAGAGCTTGCACACTGTGGACGAGAGGAAGTTAACATTTTTGCTGATAATTCGTTCTGAAACGGTCTTTCTATCACTCTCCTTTTGCGAATCGTACTTCCAACTGAGCAGCTCTCGGTTTTCATTCACATAGGCTAGTATGTTACCGTTAGATTCGATGCTCCGCGTAATGTCCTTGAGCTTCGTACTGGTCCTAGACAGCATTTCAGATGACTCCTTTATTCTGTTCATCAAATTACCAGGCTCATATTCAGGCATTGTCTCAAATTCTCTTCCTGTTAACACGTCGGATGCCATTCGCAAATTACCGTAAAGGCTTGAGAGCTTCAAGAATCTCTCGTGCAGATCATTGTTCGAATCAAACTGAAGAAGCTCTGTCAGGGCACCGTGCAACCGTGTCTCTGCCTCATTCTTTCTCTGCAACAACATCGAGAACTCGTGAGCAAGCTTGTTGTATCCGCCAATATTCTTTCTCAGCCATTCTGTCATTCTTGCCAGGTGCTCTTCGCTCTTTTCCATGTTGCTCTTGTATTCAAGCTCTGCCAGTTTCAGGTAATATTGTGAAACATAGGTTATTACGCTCTTCTCGTCAGGAATAATGCTTTCGGTGAGATCCTCAGGATCGAGCAACTTCGGAATGTTGAAGTTCTTCTCAGCCACATCGAATGCATTCACAAGGTTCTCTCTTGCATTTTTTCCCGAAAGTGAATGATAATCGACGAGGTGCGGCGCAAAGTGGTGAATAATAGCGTTAAACGATAGACCATCCGTCCAAGAATGTGTAAAATCTTTGATGTTGACATTGTCATAATCCCTGGTACAGTCCCTGCACCATTTGAGCAAAATACCTCGAATGTTCTTCGTGCCTGCATCATCACCTCCATACTGAGAAATTGACCTGAGAATGAGTGCCCATGTCATGCCCAATGTGAGCTTTATGTTTTTGTTGAAGATGTGATCAGCATCAATGCTCACCAGGTTTATATTCTTGCTCTCTATGAACTTTATCGCCTTGTCAATGTTATCTCGTCGCTGAAACTCACTTAGCTTTCCCTTGTTGTGTTCAATCGGCTCGTCGTAAATGACATTCACAAGGTTAATGAGCGTCTTTCCGTCACAGAAATCGTCCACTATGCTCTTTATGGGGGGATAGTGCTTTTTCTGTAGCTGATTGTTTACCCATTTCGTAAATGACTTGATCTGAGTGGCTATCCAGGTATGTTCGTTTGTTTGGCCCTGCATTTCTATGGGTGTTCGCTTTATTTTTTTATAAAGGACCGATAAAAAGTTTGTTTGGCCGAAAGCTGCCCAGAAGAATGGTGCAATGTCTGGAGCATTTACCGTGCAGAGCAAATAATCAGCAAAGATCTATCGAAACAGTAAGTGGACTGTTGTTCATGGGAAATTACAAATGTTAATATTTTAGCGCTTGTATCAATATTAATTTTGATACTATTCCGTATTAAACGTCAATTTAGTAGAAAAAATATTGTAGAGCGAAATAAAGCTGATTGATTGAAGCAGTCATGGACGTAGCGGTAATTATCACAGAATTATAAGCCGCAGTAAACTTTATAAACAGCAGATAAACGAAAGAACTTGGTTCACCGGTGCAATTGATAGAAACTAGTAAAATAAATGCGGAAAGATGGTTATAAAGTGGCCAAAATTACGATGTGCATATTTGAAACGGTGATATACAAAGCTTCTAGGAACAGAAAGTATCATTCGAATAATCTGCCAATTTGTTATTTGTCTACGGCCATATACACTGGAAAGCACCAGATACTGTCCGATCTACCAGTTAAACCAGTGTGAGATCATGCAGTACCAAAGCGGAAGGAGCCCTTTAGGAAACATGTAATGCCGTGATTTTTGTCTTGTACGACAAACTTTGAGTAGATTCTAACACTATACCACAGAAATAATGTTTGTAATCATCATCTTAAGGTAATGCTAGTGTGTTGTGAATAAGCGTATCAACGAGGGTTTTATTCGTATACAAATCCAATTACGGCAGCCGTTCAAAAATACGTATTGGCCGTTTCAATGCTCAGATGGTAAATAAATATTTTTATCGTGCAAGCAGCCTTTTGTTACCAAAACAATTGCATTTAAGCCCGTTTCGAACTACAAAATTAGCAATATTCCCGCAATAATGTTTGAAATTGATCATGATTGCGTGGTAGATAATATAAAGACGCGTATTTAAGAATTGATAAAGGAATACAATACGTGAATAGTTGCTGTTTATACAATATTTTTGATGGATCACACGAGAAGAAGAGATTTTAGCAATTGCAGTTTCAATAAATGTGTTTTTTGAACGTGATTTATGAACAGCCTTAGATTTCACTACAAAAGAGCACATAGGTGTTTTGTGTGTTTAGCATTCCAATCGATATAGTACCGCACAAGAATCCTGTGTTCAATTTATTCTATCTATTACGCGCTGATGTGCAACAATCCTTACATAATTGAGCAGATAAGGCCATGTAAGGTTTGTTCATACCAATTCTCAAAAGACATAGACACGTTCACGACTGCATGCAATCATTTGCAAAGTGTGAAATTAGCTGTGAGATAATTGAATATCATGTGCAATAAACGGATTAATCGCGGTGCAAAACTTGCAAAACGGAGTATAAAACCCAAAGCTGGAGAACGTATTGAGTCAAGAGAGCTTTTTGAACAGGTACGAATAAGCCCTTAAACTTTTGGATGCCGCTTGAAATAACAGAAGAGCTGAACTTTGTGCCATTGGAAGATGTTTTGAAGAATTACCCTCTTCAGATCGATGAAAGGCTGAGTAACAACATTTTTGTGCGTTTACCCGGTAAAACACCCGAAATTAATGATTTCTCAGCGAACAACACGGTAATAAAAATAATCAACAGTGCAATACTAACATTACTCGATTCAGACAGCCAAAACGTTCTTTGCTTGGGTTATAGTAAGTCTGCGAACGATTCCACGAATAATTCGCTGACCTGTTGGCACCTTAACTACGCTACAAGTGTTTTCAAGAGTAGGAAGTGGTGTGAGCTTCTGAGATTGCTGGGCGATGCTCTTTCGATGTTTCTTTTGACCGAATGCGGTATCATTGAGAAGATAAATGGCAAATATGTGTTAATAGCAGGTAATATAAAAAATATGTGCAAGAACGAGAATAGATCTGGTGAGTTAATAAATAGAGAAAAGCTGTTTCACAAAATGACCAAAATCAAGCCGCTGGATTTACAGGAAACCTTGAGATTCATTTATAACGAGGAAATATACTGCGATAAAACCGACAAGATGTACAAAATCCGAAATGATGTGCTTGATTCCGGGGAGGATGTTGTGATCAAGAGAAAGAGATTTAAGATAGAGAAATACCAAGCAGAAATTAAACGAATCTGTTGTTGGATTGAAAAGTGCAACAGAATGAACTATTTTAAGGTCTATTTCAAGTATTTTGAAAGGGAACTAGACTGCAAAAACTTTAAAAACATTATAGATTGCCAGGTGAGCCAGACAAAGTTGCAAAATTTCTTATTCATCATCGCAAAGAAGAACTTTTCGAGTTTGCTTGATTACCACAGCTTCAATGTACTGAAATCCAAGATTAAGGAATTCGTTGCACGTAATAGATACGAAACATTGAACAAGACAGAGCTTCTCAAATTCTTCAAGATAAAAAAGCTGAGGTTGTTCAAAGACGTTAAAACCATTGGCAGAGAGGAGTTCATCAGACAAACCCATGTATTTGCAAACCTGTTGTTTTTTATGTTTGACCGACTTTTCATTCCCCTGGTTTCTACTTGTTTTTACAGCACAGAGGGCTTTCAAAACTTCAAAATTTTTTATTTCACACGCAAGGCTTGGACATATTTCACCAGGATTCACTTAAGGGAATTTCTCAAAAGGTTCGATAAGAGAAAAAAGACAACTGGTGTTCAATACACCCCGCGATGTATTCCAAAGAAAGATGGTTTTCGAGTGATTGTAAACAAATCCAAAAGAGATGGCAAAGGTAAAAGCGAGAACATGGTGCTTCAATCGGCCTACCATGTACTAGCGGGAGAACAAAAATTGAACCACGGCAATTCCTTTACTGATTACAACCAGATCTTCGAAGAGTTCAAACGTTACGATTTTTCATCGTCTTTCATTCTCAAGTTTGATATCAAGGGATGCTTCGACAACATCCCGCATGAGAATTTGCAGGCGATCTTGATTGACTTTTTGAAGAATGACGAGTATTATGTCAGAAGATACAATTTGTCTACGAAACGAGGACGGTACTGTATAACCAAGAAAATCTGCATTTCAATAGATAGCTCTACGAAGTTTTCCGATATTATACGGGATAAGGAACCAAAAAGTAACGAACTAATCTGGGACGATGTTTATGTTGGTTACAAGAGAAAGGAGGGCCTGGTCGAAGAAATCTGCAAAATAATTAAGGAAAATGTTATAACACTTGGCAAGGAGCACTATGTACAGCAGAAAGGCATCCCCCAAGGATCTATTCTATCAAGTATTCTGAGCTCTCTCTATTTCCAGAACTTGGATGCGTCTATTTTTGACAAAGTCGTCAAAACTGGTAAAATATTCAGATATGTTGATGATTTTTTGGTGGTGAGCCGCTCTCTGGACGAAATGCTTGGGATATTATCCAGTTTGAAGCTTCTTGAAAAAGATGGCGTGACGGTAAACTACAAGAAGATCGAATCAAATTTTGGATTTGAAAAGTGGTTATCTGCCGATAATCAGATACAGGGCCTGTTTCAAAACGCGGAGCATGTCAGAACAGCGTTGTGCAAAGAGCCTGATAGGAACAAATTTATCACATATTGTGGTCTCAAGTTGTGCTGCAGAGGTTTTAAAATCAATCTGAACTTTGAACGGATCGAGTACTCGTGTGCCTATTCAAGTATTAAACCTGGACAAATGACGAGGTACAAGGTGGTTCGATTTTGCAAAAAAATACTCAAAGACATATACTTTACGAGAGCAAACACGTTTAAATACCAGAACGTGTACGATGCCTTCATATTTTTGTTTAGAAAGATCCTAAATTTCTCAAGAAAAATGGACTTTGTAAACATAAAATTCATTTTATCGATCGTTAACCATGCCAAAAATCTGATGAGAAAGCAGTTAAAGAATGTAGGGACTGATGTTACCGAGAAAAAGCTTAAGCAGATCAAAAACAAGGCACTTAAGGATTCGGGACTAAAATTGTTTTTGCAGAAAATAGAAATAAATAAATCATTGAAACGACAAAGAGAGGTATTTGACAAGACTATCTGACCAGTGTTCAATAAAATTGGTAATGGGTTGCCAAATATTTTAAAGTTACCTCGAGTTGTGATGATCGTTAAAATTATGCCACATGCCAATACTCAGCAGAACATTCGTAGGTAATATTGCTAAAAATGTCAGGAAAGGCAGACGGGAAAGTACGCTGGGAAACGAGAGGAAATTGTTGAAAAATGAGCTTTTTATCCAACGCTTAGCATGAGATACACAATATTTGCTGTGTTTAACACATGTTGATATCAAATAGTTTTATTAAAATGACTGAATTAGCTACGGTATCAGTTCTACGTCGTCTGAAAGATCAAACTCGTGTTCCTTTTCCTTGTAAAGTATGTTCTCATCAATCATTTGAAATAGGTACTGTTTTCTTGGCTTTTGGTACATCAGAAAAGAGTTGCCATGTAGCAGATAAAGAACTTCATTCTTCTTGTCGATAAAAAAGGTATCGGCCTTTAGTGCAAGTAATAAAGCATCGGAGTGCTTTTCGAATACTTTTATCTCGTTCTTGTTGTAACAGTAAATAAAGTTCTTAGTAAGCCGGAATTCACTTATTTCGCCGGTCAACTCGAATACATAGTCTACTCCTTTTACTGTGCCATCCACATTGCAGTAATACTTACTCTTGTATACATCAAACTGTTGCACTCTGGCATAGGAAATGAACCGCTGAAACAGAACAATAAAATCCAGGCTCAGCACTGTTAGACATCCATCAAAAATGAACACAATTCTGTTCCTAGTTTTGGTGTATGAATCTATGTAAAAGCTACATTCAGACTGAGCACACTGATTTACCAGTTTGATTTCGTTCGGATACTCAAGCAGGATTTTTCTGTTGTCAAGAAGGTACGCACATCTGATCTCTCGGTCCACCGAAAGGCAAAATTCAGTTCTTTTGCTGTAGATATTAAAGGCTATAACCTCCTCGTTATAGCAAATAACCAAGTTCTCACCCTTTTCAGACCATGATATAAATTTTATTTCCTGCCATTCATCGCATTTAAAATCATATAACCGCCTAAAATCGCTTTTTCGGATCAGTAAAAAGCTTTTTCCCAGATAATTATAAAACACTATGGAGTCTCCGTTCATATTCACAGCAAATCTATCGAAAGCGATCGAGTATCTCGACACGAGATCCATATGCAACGTCACCCTTATTTTTTGGCACTAATAAAGCGGTTCAAAATAGCCCGTGCTAATACAAAATTGCAGCAGAAAGAAAACAAATTGAACCATCGAATTTTATCGATAAGAACTATCGATACGTAATGTAAACAGCTGACCACAAGGCAAAACTGTAAGACACCCATTATTCCTACTTGTTGCACGCTGAGGCTGTTTGACACCAACAGGGTGCTTCGTGTTCATCCCTGGTTGCAAAATGATGAACCGGCAGCCACGAATAAACGTATGATACATGGTATTTGGTAAAGCAAAATCGTACATAAAACCATTATTTAATCTATACAACATATGAATGCTGACTTCCACCGCAAGATGTACCGTCTATGGTACTTACAATTTTGCACTAGGATCAGCCATTTTTGCGTTATAAATTGTGCTTATGACTCGAAAAAACGGACTATAACACCTGCGAATTCGATGCCTTTCTAATTCCGATTGGTTACTCAGCACAAGCACATACCGCAAAATTAGTCTTTCTGTATTGCACATTAATGGTTTATAACATGATTTAATTGAATAAATTATAGTAAATACCATATACTAGCTGTAAGCTGTGAAGAACTAAATTTGAGCACGTTACCCTTCTATTATTTCTGCACATCACCCGTAATTATCACCTTAGCATATTTTAAGCTAATTAAAACCAACAACCCATAAAATGAACCACCAAAAAAAAGTTATTTCCCTTATTTTGATTTCTACATTGTGCTCGCTCGTCATCTGCCAGCTCAATGTTATCTTTACGTTTATCATAGACGTGTTCGTGTTTGGCTTTTATGTTTTGATGAAATCTGTCTTTGAAGCGGCCGCTATGAATCAGGTAGATATAAAAGATGAGGTTGCGAAGTACAAGAACAAAATCAAAGAAACACAGGATAAGATTGAAAGAAGGAATATGGGCAATAAAATTGTAAGTATGCCATCTTCATCGTCAGTTTTAGGTAAATAAAAAGGGATTGGTCTGCCAAAACTTGAGGTACAGGATAGAGCGTAAACTTTATTGAACATTAAAATGATGTGTTTGTAAAGAACAGGTACTGCTACAACGGTACTTGCTTATTGTATCGTTTTGCTATTGCACCTTTACATCCCATACAAATCACAACATTTGCTATGTTCATCTGCAATCTGCTGATTGGTTTTCATTTCATTTCCATAGCCATTCCTCTAAATTGAGCAATTATTTCGTATTTTACTTCTAATGCAGTTCTTGATTCTGAAATTATTAAAATTTTTTTGCCCCACGGAATGCCGAAGTACCACCCGAAGGAACGCTTGCTCAAGAAGGATAAGAAGCCTCCGAAGTTGATCGCTAATCGAGTGTTGGCAACAGATGTAATTCTTTTTGGGATAAGCAACGAACGGTCTGCCCGATTGATGGAAAAAGACAACACTTTAACCTTTAGATGTAGGACAGAATCCACAAAATTGGATATTAAGAGCGCATTCATTGAGCTCTACAATCATGAGGTTGTGAAGGTTAACACCGTTAATACAATCAAGGGATACAAAAAGGCGTACATCAGGTTGAAGGAAGAAGGTGCTGCTCTTAAGGTGGCGAATGATGCGGGAATTATTTAATTAAAGCGCTGGCCATCATTTTTTAAACTGTGCAGGTTTAAGTTGAGGCTCATACGGAATTTGATTACCTTTTAGATTGGAAATAGTTTTTTCTCTCCAGCACTCTAGCAAGCCCTAATCGTGAATAACACGGCAGTGCAGTTTTTGCGTTGTGTTGATGAAGTTAAATCGGTTTAAGATTTGAATAACGCTTCCATCAATCAGCAAATTTCGCTACATCTCGTGCGATTTAAATGAGCATTCCACTGCAGTACTCCATTAGTTTTCTTTTACCATCAGCTATGCTATTCCCTTTTATAAAAAAAAACTATCCATTAAATGATACTCCCTCGTATGTTATGTTTTTTCGCTGGTTTAAGATCTTTTAGTGAGAATTAATGAACTAATTTCTATTTGCTGATCGTGCGGTGTTAATGCTATTTGTAAATGACGGTTGAGTGTGTTTCAGAAGAAATCTGAACAACAATCATTTTAACTTTTATTCAGTGCAAATGCATGAAACAAAATTTTTTATTTTACATGAAGTTCAACAATTTATATGCCTCGTATTGGCCAATCAGCTTTCGAGTTGTCTTTCTATATATATTAAAAAATATTTTGATGCGGTAACTCACCAATCAAAAGGTAAAACATACAAATGGAGTTGGAACGAGGCGTGATGTATGATGTAAAAGCATTTTTTCTTCTGTGACACAAAAATATTGCACTCTTAATTCAGCAACCAAAGTTGCTTTTAATGTTACTGTACGCGTGCTCATTCCTATTTCATGTGTTTACTCAAACTGCTCAGGTATAGCAGGTGTGAGTGTTTTTGCTTTTAACTCCTCTTCAGCATAATTCATCTCAAATTCTGTGCCGTTTCCTTTCGTGCTGTACGTTGGCAGTGCCCATTCCCATATGTTATCGCCAAACACCTCCCTAAAATTCTTACGAAAATTAAGAAAGTATGGATTCGCAATATTCCTGCTAAGGTTCGGTGTGTTTAAAGTGATCAGTCCCTGTGTAAAGATGTAATCCAACGCGTTGCTGCCCATTCTGTACAAGTTGAGTGCCTTTCTTTCCAGGTTAGTTTCGTTTCTGAGTATGAGATACAGATGAAATACAAGAAACCACAGAGAAGGCGGTATTTCTACAAATGCCACTATAACGGATATTATGAAGTGCTCCCTGAATACGAGCCTGTACTCCTGGTTTTGTTTCTGTGCTACCATCCGGTACAGAGGGACTGTCTTCAAGGCAATTATGAACGCAATTATTATGAACGCGTTGTGTACGAGCAGTGATATCAAGAAAAGCACGAAAAACTTTTGGTTATGGAATCCTACACATGTCTCCATGAAATAGCAGTGCGAAACACGCTTCAGAAAGCAGCGCCCGCATTCTTTGCAGTGCGTGGATCGTGGCGGTTTATAAACAAAACAATGCGCGCACACAATCTTGTCCTTTACCTGCTTGTTGATGACCTGCTCCTTCACGGCCATGCTCGCGTCGATTCGCTTATCACGCGATATATCGTGATAGGTGAAGGGAAACCGGTCAAATGTCGTGACTTTGTTGTCGTTTAGGACGCGTACGTAGTTTATGATTATGTAAGACAGCAACATGGTGTATGTCAGGTAGACGTACAGTGACGTGCCGTTGAATCTGAGCGTGTCCACGCACAGCACTTTTATGACCGTGAAGTAGAAGTAAATGAGCGTGAATGGCAGCAAAGAGCTGACCAGTCCCTTTATGATGAGCCTTTTTGAATCGGTCTCTACCATTGCGTTCATGCACGCTAATTATGCGGTCTGAAGATAAAGAAGCGCTTTCTCTCAGGATGACCCTTATAGATCGTGTTTTACTCCGTTCATGAGAAGCAATGCACACTCTCAAACTAACCAGTGATCCATGTCTGGCACACGGTGTGCAATTTGTTCCGGTCTGCCAAGAATGGTAAAATGCGGTAGTTTTTTTGTTTTGACCCTGGTGTAGCGGAGCATTGAACGTTATGCTGGAAATGGATGGAAGTTTGGCCGATGTTTTTTGTATGCATGTTTTACAAAACAGCACCTGGTAATAACGCATAACGAGCCAATAAAAAACAAAGTTTACATTTTTGTATAAAATAAGGAGCTCAAGATTGTTATTTATTCATCTTTTTTATGCGCACTCAGCTGTTCCTATAAACTATATTTGAAGGGCATGTTTTTCAAACAATAATTAATTATTTAACCCCTACCAAAATGCTTAGAACAAATGAAAAAACTTGACATACCAAAGGCAGGTGATTGTCTAATAAGTAGTAAAACTATGTCCTGTTTTACAGGAGGGAATAGCACAACTGATGTTGTGACAAAAGAGCGAACCTTGCAAACGATAATAGCAAACTAAACTTATAGACCTACCTTTACGAGCAATAATAGCTCATACCAAGAACAATAGCGCGCGCCAACACTGTAAGGTATGAACTAGCCGTCTTTAATTAATAACCCATCATCTTAACACCCATTTTCTTTACACCATTCATAACATCGCACACACTGAGTGTCTTCCTCCTTGCAACCACACAGTACTCAATCGCACACCGGATCAGACTCTCCAGGAAGAATCCTGCGCGTGTAGCAATCACAAAATAGCAGTCCTTAGACACGCGCTTAACTCCTCCCTTTCTTGCGAGTCTCTTTATTGCCGGCTTGCCCAGCTCAAACGATTTTGGTGTTGTTCTTCGGTGTCTTTTTGCTGCTCCTTTGCCTAAGCCTTTTCCTCCTTTTCCGCGTCCTGACATGGGTCGCCTTTGATTTTGTGTTTTTATAGTTTTGGTGATTGTTTTGGAGGGAAAGTAACAAACCAATCAGACGTGGATGTGTTTTTAATTCGTGTTTTGAGAGTTAAAAATGGAAAATATGTGAAATGCGTGCGGTGCCAGTTTTGGGGTGATTTGCAGCGTACTTTTGCGGTTATGTGCTGTAATTAAGTGTTAAATTGCGATAAATTGATAAAACGATTTATCAGCGTTGTACTTAATTTGAGTTGACTCGCATGGTTGTTACGTGCATGTGATGATAGTTTTGCCATTGGGAATGCTGTTTTTGTGTAATACTGGTGCACGAACACCGGTGTGCGTGAAGTAAAAAGTAAATTTTATTATATTTTAGTACTAGTGCTTAGAATTTTACTTTCTGTGGCTGAAAAGTGCAAACATGTGGGAAAGAAATGGTGTGCTCAGACCGTCAGCAGGGTGGTCGCACGAACTATGATTAATCGGCAGTATGTACGAACGAGCGGCCTTGGTGCAGAGAAATGCTGTGATGTGCACGTATTTCGAATGAAAGAAACGTTCCTTGCTAACAGTGCAGTTATTATCCCTTCATATTGAAACAGATAAATCTGCAGAAATAATTTGTTAGCCAACCAAAAATTGGTGCAGCACCATCAGATCTGTGCGATAAGATGCTATACCATGTTTAATTACGAAGTAGTGATGAATTGCTATATGAGCAAATCAGAACAAGAAGTATATTTACGTCAGGGCATGATAAATGATGCCATACCAGTTAAAAGGCTGTAAAATGCTGACAGATCGCTTGGTGTAAAAGAGAATTGAATGTATGGTAATTTGAAGTGAATGGATTAATACGGATGAGTGAAAATACAGAATTGCCGTAATATTGTGAGGCTGTAAACGCATTATAACGAGCCGTTCACGGCTTGTATAGCGGTGCACAAAGATTCATTTCTAGCAATGATATAACGTGTGCAGCCGAGCTACATCACATGAACAAGGCCCATCCTGTGCGCACCTATTACCGGTCTAAACGCTTTTTAATCGATAGGTGATCTGCTTTTACATTTTTGTAACCACCAGGCCTGATTTGTTAGATTAGAGGATTGTTGGTCGAATGGTGTGCCATAGACCAGACTGAACATGTGTTCATACCGTGTAACCTTTCACAAATTACTTCGGAGACTGCAAACATCGAAAACAGTTTGAAAATACGGGTGCTTAATCGATAGAAAATATCGGGGATTGCGAATGAAGGATTGTACACCTCAAATTATCTGCCCATCAATATTACATATTTGTGGATTGGCGATGAAAGGGCTATGCATTCTTAGCTTTCGGGATAATGAAAATTATACCAAACGTGTTTTGAACATCTAAAAGGTATTTTGAAACTTTTCAACACGGATTTGCCTCGTATACCATATTGAGCTATTGCCATATGCCGTAAAGCTACAAATGAACAAGAAATGCGTTAATTGCAGTCTTTTGGTTGCAATACCTATCTTTCCATTCTTCAACATCGTACCACTCATGCACCGCGATTGCACAGGGCTTTTACCTCCGTTTTTTCCCTCCAGAAAATAAAAACTATAAAAACCAGGACCTGGCATAGTCCCCAATGGCACGCACGAAACAAACAGCACGAAAGAGCACTGGCGGCAAGGCACCTAGAAAAGGACTGGCAGCCAAGGCAGCACGAAAGACATCAGCCGTAGATATAGGAACAGCTACCAAGCGAGTGAGCAGATACAAACCAGGTAACACGCTACTGTTCCGTGAGATAAAGAAGTACAGCAAAAGCATTGACTGTCTGATCCCAAAGCAGCCATTTAAACGTTTTGTGTTGAGTGCTCTCAATGAGATTGGAATGAGAGATAGTGTTAGATTTAAGGCAGGGTGCCTGAATGCCCTGCAGGAAGCGCTTGAAAATTTCGTTGTAACGTTATGTGAAGACGCGTATCTTTGCACGAGACACGCAGGCAGAGTTACGCTTATGCCTAAGGATCTTAACCTGGTGATGAGAATCAAAAGGCCGATGTTCCTTGTAGGTCCGTGCAAAGTATGAGATTAAATGTTGAGTCATAAAAATTGGTTTTTGGTTCGTGTTAATGCTATGCTCGGTGCTTGGCGGTTTATTTAACTTTTCTGTTCTCATTTTTGTTTACGTTCCTTTCTACAGATTGCGATGCACTTTTCGCAGGGTGCTGTGCACGGTTGGCGTGTCGTTCGTTCGCAGGCATGGCCGCAGCGAGTCCCGGTTGATCATAGAAATGTGTTTGTTTGAGTGGCGCTGTGTGAAAATGTAAATAGATGATTTTTAGTAAAAAAGTTTTGGAGATGCTTAGTTTGGGCAATGAACGGGCTGAGTTTACAAAAAATAGGTTGCCTACATGGATAGAGGTGTGTAAAGGGGCCTTGTAATTTTTATCCCATTTTTTGAAATGGACGCGAGAATCAAAGAGCGCGCTCATCACATATGCAAAAAATTATCAAACAAAAATATAGAAATGAATGTAAATGATGTGGTTAGAGACTTGGAAATGATGAAATACAAGAAAATGGAACGGTTGGCTGAGGAGAAGATCTATAAAAATTATTTGGATTACAAAACTAGGGAATCAAAGATATTTGAGCGTATTAAAAATGAAGAAGACGTGATTTATGACATGAAACTCTACTTAAACACAGATATAGACTGCCTGTCCTTTCAGGAGCACGAAGTTGAATCGTACTTCATCCACAAGAAGATTCTGTACATCAAGTTTAGCAATGATTTTTTTGATGATGGCTTCGACATAAAGAAAGTTAAGAGAATAGCCAAGTATTGCAATGCCTACAGAACAGATGAGCTGTATTTTAACGTTGATTACAGAGAAAGAAGCATCTTTCTATTGGTTCAAATTCTTAAGAAGGTGAACTTGCCTCTTAAAATATTGTACTACGAAAACTGCGACAGCACGGTGTTCTTGCATATGGAAGATCGGAAATGGCCCTGCGACAAGGAGGCGATTGAATGTGTTAAATCTGCTTTGCTGTGCCATATATACTCGCACTGCAAGCTCGCCTACGCGATCACGCGAGAGTCGGTTTTTCTTAGACTAAACGATAGAGTTTACAAGGTAATGATAAAATACGAACGAAGAGCAGATCACGATGTGGAGAAAGAACACAAGCAGGACGAAGTGCAGAACTCTGCAGGAAGTGCAAAAAACTTGGATGATCCAACCAATGAAATCGTTGATTCCCTTCGTCTCTACAAAAGTTTTGGGACAGGAAAAAAAATAGCTAAGGAATACATCAAACTCTACTTGAACGCACACGGATTCCTCCCATTTTACATAAAAAACTACGAAATAGATGTGTTGATAGCGGAGATCAATGCTGTCAATCCAGGACAAATACTCATTTTGTTCATAAAATTGCCGAAACAAAAGTTAGCAAGTTTTAAAAACCTAGATTCGGTGCTTCTGAATAGATTAGTGCTGTTAAATCGGAAGATTTTACATCATCTATCGCAGGATATTTTTATAAATGGTCAACGAATGCTAAAACCAAGCTTTAAAGACTATGACTTTGTGCTAATGAAGGATAGGATAGAAGGAACTCGCGAAAATATTGTTGTCGTGAGCGATAACGACGTGTCAAAGTTTTTGTTGGGTCAGATTGAAGTGAACGATTACTTTGGGATAGAAATGTATGCTTACCTCCTTTTCTCTGAGTACAATCAAGTTTTAATGGTTAAAATGAAGGATATGAAGTATATTTCGTTGGTTGTGAATATTTTGCTCATCAAGACATCGTTTGGCTATCTTTACAAAAATTTTTGAAATAAATTTATCAATTGCGAACATTCATGTATTTGAAAAGATATGGCAATGTTTATCCATCGGACTTGACAGTTTAGAACCGTTCTCCTGTGTATAAAGAACAACACGGCAGTCGATAAAAATGTTCCGTAAATCAAGCACTCAATTTTCTGTTATTCTTGTCTTGTACAATCGTGCGACCGCAATTTATAAGCTGTTTATCACCAATTTTCCTAGAAATGTACGCTTTCGCCCGATTATTCGATTACAGCCCGGAATGATCATTTGTAGATCATTTATAACGGCAATCTTATGTTTATTTAACTATGAATGTAAATGTCTCTCTTCCTTGCACTCAGCATATGCTGTTATCAACGAATTACGTGCTTTTTCGGAAAGTTTGTCTTGAAAACTTGTCATAAGCCCATTTTCTAGTACGTACACCGGTGACTGAGTGTTTCCACGAATTGATTTCTTCTACCAATAGACCATTTCAATCAACACCTGTATGACACATATCAGCAATTAAACCTAATATAATTAATACCGATTGCTTTGAAACGAAATATTACCGGTTTACCTTACGATTACTGCATGAAACAACGATACGAAAATGTTTGATATTTGCAGCAGAACTGTTGTCATTAATTTACCAAATCGTTGTTCGCTGTCAAGCTTATTTAAAATTTTTTACCAAAAATTTTTCATTTTATTCTCAGTTTTAAAAATTTTTACAAATTCGTAGATCGATCTAGTTACTGAACCAAAGTGTTTTTCGCTGTTCACAATCGGTTTAAATACCAAGTAACGATATAACGAGAATTTTGTGCAGACCGTCCGTAGAAGAGCGCGCAAGGCAATAAAACGTCAGTCTGGAAATAAAAATAATTTGCAATTGTGCTGTTGGCAATGCCTGTGCCATACATCTGCGTAAAAATTTACCCCTTACATGCCAACTTTATTTCTTTTGTCAAAGAACACCTCAGCAACACACAAATATGTCTTGAAAGACTTGTTCAAATTCGTTCCTAGCGCAGTCAAAGAATCGAAATGTGACAGCAGAAAGGAGATAAAAGAGCTTATGAGCATGCACGAGTGCGATAGCCTGGTATACTTTGAGTGTACCAAGAGAAGAAATACTATATGGTTGGTGAAGTCGGGCGGTCCATCGGTCGAGTGTGATATTGACGTAATGTTTTCTATCGATCGTCTTAAGTTCCTGGTCAACTCGTATTTGAATGTTGGCCACGTTCTTCTGTTCCAGCCCGAATTTGAGAATGATAGCGGACTGAAAATACTCAAAAACGTTCTTACCACCATTTTCAAACGTGAAGATGAGTTTGCCGAGCGAGCAATGTCGTTCTCGTATGAGGACGGCAAAGTGTTTTTCAGGAATTATAAGTTGGATGATGAGATGCAGGAAATCGGTCCTCGAATGGTTTTTACGATCAGAAAGGTTTTTGACGGAGAGTTTAATGGAAATACGCTGTACGAAAATATGGATCTGCTAAAGGAGGAGGAAGAAGCAAAAAATAGCTCAATCGAGAAGAATAGTGACAGGAATGGAAACGCACATGTAAAGGGTGCTGATGCCGACGCAAACAATGAAATGAACAGGCTTGAGAGTGCAGAATCGCAAAATGTCAATAGTAACGGTAAGATTGCAATCAATGAAAATACCGGAAGTGAAACTGAAAATACGTTAAGCAAAAATAAGCAGAATGGTGCCGTTAAAAGTGCTGCTGTTCCAAATGAACAGTTTAATGCCGCTGAATCAACCAGCAAATCTACAGTGCACAATCCGTCTAAACCGGTCGGAGCTAACAAAGAGAGCTCTGCAATAAAAAAGGCAGGAGCGAAGCGCGGTGCAGCATCAGCAGGTAAGGATGCTGTTAAGACCAAAACGGCCAAATGCACCACACAATCAAAGGCTGACATTTCAACACCCGACCAACCAAAATTATCCGACACCGAGCCAGTCTTAGACAAGAACGCGAATGCACCCACTAAGAAACGTGCTGCACCCATTAAAAAAAGCACGATCAAGCCCAAGCCTGCCACACCTAGGAGGGTCGCTAACAAAAGAGTGAAAAGTGCAACACCGTCTGAAAGCCAGGAGAGCAAAATCAAAGATTCTGCAAACAACGTAACAGACAATGCACCAGCAGTTGTTACCAGTGAGCCAGCTCCTTCCAATGACACAAACACCAAAGTTAAAAAGACACGTGCTGTCAAATCAAAGGATAATGACCAGCGGGAAGAAAAGAAAGACATAGAAAAAAATAAAAACGAAAAAGAAAATAAAAACGTCCAGCAGAAACAGAGCAATAAAAAGGCCGTAAAGCGAGGCAGCAAGAAATAGTAAGAGGATTAGCAATGGCTCCATCAACCATTCCCTATTTATTAAAAGTTTTTCCTACACATTGTTTCACGTGGATGAAACCAATTTCATCTGCTGAACGTGTTTCGATAGCCACATTAGTTCTGCTGTACTTGCTGTATAAATGCAAATTGGGCACTGCTATATTTGATGTATCTAATCGTAACTTTTAGCACGTTTTCTTGTCTGAGTCTTTTCCGTACAATTTGGCGGTAAGATGACTTAGTTTTACACCGTTACTTAATCGTAGCAGCTCCTTATCCATGCAACGTGCTCTGTGCATAGCAGTGCGCTGAACAAATTCAATAAATTGTGTATTTCTCACAGCTCCATGCACAATCTCTTATTTATTCAAACCAGAACATCATCTCAATATATTGCATAACAAACAGCACTGCCTTTCAAGCATTTACCGTACTTTCATATCAGGCGATATGTCACATAAGTGAGCCCGTGAAGGTTCAACTCGTTATACATCGGTGATGAGTCTAAACAAGTGTGTTGCGTGGATGTTGTAAGACACGAACAAACGTATTTTGGTAAAGAAAACACCAGTGATGACAAATTATCAATTATGTATTTCATGCACCGAGGTAGTGCGCATCCGATTCATTCGTTTTTGGAGATGAAGGAGATTTACCTAAAACGCTATCAACTAAAAATAAATTCGCTCATTTTCTGGTTTACTTCGCTTCAAAGCTTTGTGCACAAAAACAAGCAGCCATGAACTTTTCGTGTTTCCTGAATCCAAACAAATCGCACGTGCAGTCCTTATATTTTCATTATGCTGGCTTCAGCTGCCATGTGCATGTCTAGCACTTACTCACAACTTTACAGCTCAACTTCAACATTCTGGTTTAAAACCGCAATCAGAAATACCTTGGTATCAAAGTGTCATACCACTCGTTCGTGACGGCAAAACTAGTTTTTATGATTTTGTTGTACACCGGCACTAACATACCAATCCTTCTACAAACTTTCCATTTTCAAATTTCCAGATATGAAAGGTTTTAATTAAAACGTGTCTACGAACGAGAAAGACGTTGAAGTACAGAAAGAGAAATAACAAAGCGAATGATTCTTAGCAAAGTTGCTTATATTTTCTTATTTGGTGAAAACTGCTTTGTGCAAAAACTATGACTGTTCTATGAACGGTATCATTTATCACTAAAAATCAGAAAATTTTCGATTTTTAAAGAGTTGAGATCATCGGATTGCGCATCCTTGCCTGGTGTTCTCAATTCAGGCATTACAAAATGTGAAATGTAAATAATTGAGTATTGTAAGTACATGGTACGGTAAATTAGTAGTGAACTATCAGTTGATTTTGACGTGCTTTTAATCGTGACAAATGACTCAACATCAATGTATAGGACCGTATTAGCAGCAGTAAATACTTCACATACCTCGTAAGTAAGCGCAAAAATTATTTTTGAATGTCACTAAATTCTTGATAAGAGTGTCAAAGGTATATAAATAGGCATGATGGCCCGCTCACATGGCGTACATTTCAAAATCTCAGTTTACAAGGAAACTCTTTATCGTGTTTTGTGTGATGTGTGTCTTAGCTGTAATATTACTAATCTTCATTCGCTTTTGCTACTGCAAGTATGTGAAGAAGGAACTGTGTACGAATGAAAGGTCCGGTTATGCAACTCGACAACATGGACTGATTCCCGATGAAAGTTCGTTAAATTGTGGAGCATTGATCGACAAAGAAGAAAGTAATGCGAGTTTTTATGGGAACGATGTGAAGATGTCTATGATAAGTAGCAGTGAAGAGAACGTTATGGATGATTTTGTTGAGACTATTACCGATGAATGGTCGTTTTATAGTGCTGATCAAGCGGTTGAAGATGAAAACGAAGGGCTTTCCAGTAATGAACAGCAAGGGTGCACCCATTCAAGGTATTATGCCCAGGAAGATAGCGAAATAGGTCAGGAATTCTTTTCCGCTGTTGACAGTAGCGTATATCATAGTGCAGTTGAGGAATTGTCCGAATGTGAAGAGACTTTTAGCCAAAAAATAAGGACTAGATCGCGATAAAGCAGACATGATGCACTGGATGGGATGCAATTGTGCCAGTGCCATAATGCAGATTGTGATCATCGTTTTTAAATTTGAAGACATTGAGGTTACCATGTATGTGCCATATTCGTGGCAGGAGTAGTTTAATTAAAGTATGATGTACGAGTTTCGACTACCAATCTCTTTAAAAATGGAGTTTGCACTGGTTATTTTGCTGATTTTAATTGTTTTGTTCTACACCCTCTGCTGAAGTATTGGTCAGAACACTTACAAATAGAAAATTACCAAATCGCGTTACAGCAAAATTGATTTTATCTCTGGGCAACGAGGAACTGAATAATATATCCTATAAAACAGGCAATAGATGTTTTCGTTTTACTCATCATAAATTGCTAAAGCATGATTTGTGGTGTGCTCATGATCAGCCCGGTCTGTTTTCCGGTTTTAATTAAATTTGTTGTGAAGGGGTCGCTAAATATCCGTAGCGATGCCGTATGATTTGGAACGAGTAGGTACGTTGATATCACAGCACGATACCGAAAAACTTATAAAGCGTATCCATTCTTTTGTAAAGGTACGATCAAATGCGTCATATTTTCCGGGTTGGCATGCGGTCACGCTTCTGAGGAGGCATATTGTAGATCTAATAAATCGCGATTATTTCGCATGTGAGAAGAGTGATGGTACCAGGGCACTTCTATATGTGATTAGTGAGCGTGGCAAGTCGTACTTCTTCTTCATTGACCGGAAACTGTGCTGCTATAGAGCATCAGAAAATGAGTCGATTTTTCTTGATGGTGATTATCTCCTGGATGGAGAAGTTGTGATCACAGATGATGATGAAATTGAGTACAGCGTGTTTGACACGATTATTTTTCAGAATAACAGTGTGATGCATCTGAACCTGCTGGAAAGACTGCGTCTTGCCGACAAGTTCATCAGGCACCAGCTGTGCCATCTATTCAATTTCAAAATACTAGTCAAGAAAATGTACAAGGCATATGGTTTTGCAGAGGCATATGAGTCTCGCTTTTCACTTGGACATGGGAATGACGGCCTGATATTTACATGTGTTGACGAGCCGTACGTCTTTGGCACGTGCAATACTTTGTACAAATGGAAGCCTCCATCATTGAACACAATCGACTTTCAGATGCGAAGTGAGGCGGAAGAAGTGTATTCGTTGTGGTGCATGGGAAGAGGAGGAGGAATGGTGATGATAGGGTACTTTTTTGACTTTGAAATCGATGATGATTGTAGCAGTGCGGGCAAAGATGATGAAGAGAACAATCGCGTGGCTGAGAAAAGCGATCCTGTTCTGTCCGACAAGGGAGGTGCCTCCGATGTGGTTAAGGATAGCGACAATACGCGGGAAGAAGAAAAACATGCTGAACAAGTAAATGAAGACAATGACCAAGACGAACAGCATAAAAGATTAAAAATCGACAAGCCAGGTTCGGTTGAGGATCGTTCTGGTGGTAGTATGCAACCTGGTAGATACCACAAGAAAATAGGAGAATTTCACTTCAATGACAAAAAGAAATCCATATGCATGGATGACTACTCCATTATAGAGGGCAAGTGGGAACTCATCAAAATTAGAGAGGACAAGAACACGCCTAACAGCCTTAAAGTAGTGTCAAATATTTTCCTATCGATGCGGGAAAACATAACATATGAGGACATTGTGGAGCATTTCGAGGAGATAAGGGGGAATTGGAAAATAAGAGAATCTGCTAAAGCGCGGAATGAGCGTAGATAAATCTTCGAACTAATAGTTGATAGTTTTATTTATCTTAACTCGCAATGTTTTCTTTAGCTCGTTATTCCTTCTTTAGCTCACAATGTTTTCTTTAATACGGCACCTTTCAAACGAACACTACCGCTATTTTTTTGTGTTTTGTTCCTGGAATAGGTGATCCAAGAAGAAATACCCCCTTTTGTGCACCAATTTTCTAATTCTTGCTGCGTTAAAAGGCTTCTTACAATCATCCACCAACTTAACAATAAAAGACTCTACCAATAGTGTGAGCAGTATGTTTTGTTCTTTTGTAATTTTGAGGTTGAACTCTGACATGATCTTTTTTATTGCATCAGCCGGCAGGGCTGTCCTTATATTTTTCTTCGCCATTCGAATGATTCAGGGCTGGTGCCATCAAAACCATAAAAAATGATGATACTTGCGGATATGCACATTAATGGGGCAGTTTAGTTATTCTTGTGATTTTCTATTTGCAGAAACACACCGTATTGCTGATATTCGTGCTATAGCGAAGAGTTGCTCGACATTCTCGGTTTGTAGCCTGTGAGCAGGAACTGCACTATCAGGATGACCAACCGTTCAACCACAATAATTCTTCATTGAACAGTATTTTGTGCTCAATGTCGAGTTAAATGTAAGAGTATGCTTTGATAACGTCTTCAATACAAGGAATATTGTTAAATTGCACATTATTAACGTTAATTCTCGCTATAATTAAGATAATTGTTGGCAGTCCACACCACAAGGTACTGCAGAATACATTATTAGTGCCTATACATTTCGATTTGTTGGCACATACGGCATTTACATGCCTAAAAACAAAATACCTCTGAGTTAAACGTTCGCATTCCATGTTAATGAACGGTAACAATTCCAACGCCCTAATTAGCAGTTTGATTGCATTATTATATTCTTTTTGATGTCAATACCAAGTCCAAATCGTTTTAACATCAGGTTTGCCCTGTTCTGCAAAAATTTCTGTTAAAAAGCACCAAATTTGTGAAGGAACAAAAATTTTGAGTTTTTTCAAAAATAACCCCATAAAAATGGTAAGTGCACAAAGTAATTAATTAGGGAGCGATTAAGACAAGATTACACAAGATGAGATTGGCTAAGGCCATAAAGAAGAACAGGAGTATACCGCCCTGGAAAAGAGAACTGAAACACAACAAGCAAGAGTTCAATTTCAAGAAGAGGAGCTGGCGAAGGAACAAGCTGAAGGTGGCATAATTAAACATTGGTTTGATCCACTGTATTCTTTTTGTATTTTTGTTGCTGTTCAATGACAATTATGGGAGTGCCATGGCGATTTGGTTCGTTCTTGGGTTCTTCTCATGCTCGTGCGGCATTTCTCTGTCAACGGATAACATGTGCAATCTGCCGTGAACCAAACAACCATTTAATGCCCATCATTGGTGTAGTTTGTGTAGCAATCTGGGAGTTACCGGGCGTAATCGGTTGAGCGCTTTCGTTTATAATAATGACATCCTGGATATGCGGCTCGGCGTGTGTTCTGCAGTCTAAAGTTATGTGCTACTTTGATATTCTTCTACCGTCTGTTGATCTAGAACCAAAAACTTGTTATAGAGGATAATCTGTGGCGTAAAAGTATTGGAAAGGGGTGCAATGGTACAAATACACATAATCGCATCGAAGAGATGTTCAGCTCAAGTACCTGGATGCATTCCAAGCAAGTATAAATGCAATTGTTATGTTTAAGGACCCGTTGACAGACATTCACCTGGAATGAGCTGCGCTAAGATATAACACATCCTTTCTCCTTTGCAGAATTTACTGTTTTTAACTAAAAATACGTTTATTCGTACGAATACTGCAATAAATGAGAAAATACGGAACCCTGCGTACACAAATATCAGGATGTGTTTGTTGGAAATCACCTTTAACAACCTCAAAATATACTGCGATACCACTTGCACACTATCGATCAAAAAACTATCGATTTCCGGCCAAGTCATAATAAGTGGAGCCTCGTCACTGATCAAAAGCATTCTCATAGATGTGCTGCGCACCGGCAAATCTAAGCACGACTACATAAGAGTAACCGGGACATTGCAGATGGATGGACACAAGCTATCATTAGACTTTCTGGAAAAGCTGATGCCATCTCATATAAAGTGCACATACTGCTACACCACAGTAGCGAAACTGCGCTTCATTTACAACTTTACCAGAAAACACGTGAAGTTACAGCCCGAAAAGATCCTGGAAGATTTTCTGCTCACCAACAAGCGCATTGCCAACCTGACTACTGATGAGCTGTGGGCGTTCTCAATTGCGTGCAGTATAATACACGGTCACAAAATAATAGTGATAGCGAACATAAAATCATCCTTTTTCTACCTGAACGTGATGGACAAGGTGATGTATTACACCACAGTGATACCTTTGGTGGTGATAATTGACCATTCTGGAAATGAGGAGTGTCTTGGCTCGGTGTTCTTTTCGCTGAAAAAGATTAGCACCATGGAGTACAGATTGACCAGCTTGAACGATGACAGTAATTCGGATGATTATGAGGTGATATATATGAACAAGCGGATATACGATCAGGTGATGAAGAGCAAAAAGTCAAAATGCTTGGACACAGATTTCTTTTTTGAGAGTATTCTGTCTGATGAACTGAAAAACCCGTTGGTCATAAATGAGAGAAACAAGAATAGGAAGCTGTCAATAATGAAACGTACCTTGAACGCGGACTTCTATCGATTCGATTTTAAAACCAGCCATGTTCTGAACGTGCTGCGGTTGAAGCAACACCTCGGGAACAGATACAACACCATAAATCAGTTTCTGACACTGGGCATGCTCGTTGTGCTTTTTATATCAAAGTTGTTGTTCGATAAAGCGCAGGGAGAGGTGTCTAAGATGGCATATAACCTTAATTTCAGTTTTATGAAGGTGTTCAATTGGCTTAAGGGATTTTTAATCGAGAGGTACTCGCAATGCTGTGAGATCAGTATCGGCAGCGATAAAGTAGAGCGTCTTCGATTGCTTCTGCGGGCCAAAAAGCTCTTAAGAGATATTTCTGAGAAAAAAAGGATCTTTTACGGTAATCTCGACGAGAATTGTATGAACCAAGTCATGAGGAGCGTTGATTTACTTACAATACGCCTGCTCTGCCTGACGGTAAAACATATGGTTATAAATATGAGGATATCGGCATCTTTGTTCGAAATGTATGTCAACTACGTGATCAATAACCACCGTGCCTTTGAATCGCTGATCATCGGATGCTTCATATCCACGAACATACTAAGATTAATCAATCAGGAGGTCGACTTCAATTACCGTAACAATAATCTTATTTACACGCCATGCACATACTTCTTGTCGATTGTCAAGTTTTTAGTGGGCGATGTCTGCCACAACCTGATAAACATCATCATTCTATTCAACAAGGGCCATCTCATATTGCAAATCTTCAACCTCTCATTTCTTTGCACTTTTATTGCGGTTACCAAACACTCGGTAATTTTGCTCATTATTTTCAATGTGATCGCGTTCTTTACATCTTTGGATTCGATCGACTTCCTGCGCGAATATCCAATTCTTTTCTTCGTGAGGAAGATCAACCCGTTTTTTCTTGTAAAGGAGATTGTTTCACCATCACAACTGAACCGACTGCATACACTGCTGTACCTCCTAAGGTTTTATTTTATGTATTTTCTGATGGCTATCTACAAGTTTAGTAAAGCTTAGTGTATCATTAGACATTAATACCTCGCCACGTTGATACAAATAGGTTATGTGGCAATAGAATTGTTGAATGTACATCATGTGCAATATGTGCTGGTGAATTGCTTATTTACTTAAAATATTTTGGTATAACATCATTGATATTATGGCTATTACTTTTGGGTGGTATAACATCATTGATTTATGGCTATTACTTTTGGGTGGTATAACATCGCTACGTATCACCGTTCATTGTCAGCAGATAATCACGCTCGATCAATTTCTTTTCGTTTCATTTGCTGGAACTTGATCCATAATTTGTATGAGGAGATAAATAGGGCACATTTAGTAAAAATAAATTGGTAATCAATAAAAATCTGGGAGAAGATTCACATCCAGGGAACTACGAGAGTACAGGCACGTTGTTCACGGTATCTAAAGTATTTAGTACCGATAATCATAGTTATGTGTTGAACAGTCTCTATTTATTTGGTACAAATGTTGGCAAATAATCATGGTTACACCGGATTAAAAGTAAGAATGGCTCTCACGCCTTCACTCAGCAGCTAAAAAGACCGCAACTATTAGCTAAACTCAAAAGTGCTTGGAAATAGTCCTGCTAGACAGGCAAATCGTGAAAATGAACCTCCATTGCCAGAAACGAACAAAATCTTCCTAAACAAAAAAATACCACAAAAATGTGCACAGATAGAACATTTTTAATCATCATCAACGTTTAAATCCTTATAGGCCTCCACAAATTCGATATACTCTTCCCTAGGAACCTCTCGATAACCGCTCCTGTCCAAAATACCGATCTCAACTTCAAAAGGCTTGTCCTTCAGGGGGTCAAAACATTTGTAAAGTATGCGCACTGCGTTGTCAATCATCCGCTTACGGCTCAATTCCTCAATGTTTATCTTTTCCAACTCTGTTTTTGCCCGTGCTGCTCCCTTGCCCACTGCGTACCCCCGTACCTCTCGTGTTTTGGACGACGTGTCTGTGACGTATAAGGTATATCTACCTGAATCGTTCACAGCGCTCAACATATTCACACCCAGCGGTCTGCATCCGTAGTATCGAGTGAATTCGGAACAGTGCATCGAAATTACTTTCTTGGCCGTGTTAGCGGGAAGACCTGCCATCTGGCCCTGCAGTCCTACTAGCTCCCTCTGAACCAAATTATTAAAAAATATCATGTCTGATAAGAGGCCCGTTGCTGCTATAACACAGTTTCTCGTAAGTTTCTTTATGCGCTTGTCCTCCGATATGATGTACAAATTGCTATCAATTGGTTTTTCTACCGCTATAAGAACACCATTGTTGTTTTTCATTGCAATGCAGGTGCTTCCATTGTCTGCGCTTTTCTGTGCATAGTCGATCTGTGCAATGTTTCCCGTGGGTGTGTAGATGGGTCCGAAATCAAGTACAGTCATTTTTTGAGGGGTGAAAAATTGAAAGTGAAATACAAAAGTTGACAAAATATCTTTAATATCAAGTATCGCAGACTAAGATTTATGGCAATTTGAACGTACTTGATGATTAATATCATCGGATGACATGGTAAAACGTTTATCTGCCAAAGCAATTTCGTTACACATCTTTGCTCATTTTTTGAATAAAGGTTTTATTGCAGGGTCTATAATAATCGTTTATCCCAAATTACAGATAAGAAGTACCACTTTTAATCTATACTAGCTGCGCTATTTCCGTTTATAAAACGAAAAACTGTTCTATCCATTCAATGATACTTTCTTCCTTTCATATGTCGTATTATGTTTTTTCTACTGTTTAAGATCTTGTGGTAGAGGTTAATTAATTAGCTACTATTCGGTAATCGTGTAATTTTGATGTTGTTAGTGGAGAACAATTGAGGGCATCTCAGAAAGAATGAGTTGTACAAAAACTTTAGGTCTTTTATTCAGTGCAAATACATGAACAAAAATTTTTTATTTTTCACGAAGGGTCAAATAATTTATTTCACAGAACTGATCAATCAGCTTCAGAGTTGTCTTTTATTTACATGGTTTCGACACGTGTTTATCCAAGATCTATATAAAATACCGGCTGATTCTAAAGTACGACCATTTCAACATATAAATCAGATTGACATTTATTAAAAAATCTGTTATTCCATGTTCCTTCTCTTCATTTCCTCAACCATCATTTCAGCACCGCTATTGTTCCTGTACAGTGGATGACTCGCATCAATAAAAAAATTTGGATCCGTGTACACTTTACCAAATCGCGCATCACTTGGATCAAAGATAAAACCATCAGCGTTTTTCCTATTCAATCTCTCTTCTATTTCTCTCTTCATTTTTTCCTTTCTCTGCTTCTTCCTCTCGCTCTTCTTCGTGTTCGTTTTTCTGACCTCTTCTATTTTTTCAGTAAAAATTTCTTCACCTAGTTCCGCCTTTTCGTCCATAAAATAACACTCCAACAGAATGTTCTCAATCTCCTGACCATCTAAAATATCGTACACTATTTTTGCACTGTTCACGTCGCTCAGCTCTATAACAAGCGCAAGCTTTTTTTTCTTGCGAAAAGATATGCTTGTAAGCTTATTTTCTGGTATATTCTGTGATATCAATGACTCAACACCGTCCAATTTGACATTCTTTATATTTCCTTTGGACAAAACAGCAATACGCTTGGTGACCGGATCGTGTGCCATTTGCACAAGGGGTAAATATTCACGAAATACGTTGCAAACCACGGCCAAAATTGTAAAAAACAATTGTTCCAATCAATTACATGGCCGTAAATTGCTATTGAAATAGACAAAATACAACGAAGAAAGGTAGTATAACGTTAAAATCGTGCTATTTTTGTGGAGACATCGATTGAAAGCACTGTGGTTGACTATACAAAAAAATACATATTAGTAATTCATTATCATTACACTTTACGATCTGTAGAGTAAATCGTTACTGTTTTGATTGCAAAAACATCCAACTCTGACCTTTCTCAACACATTTTAACCATTACTTTTATATTTAAGGTTAATAATACTTTGTACACAGCAATAGTATAGAATATTCTAAACATTCTCACCACGTAAATGCAATACTTAAATCAATACACACCACCCGAAAAGATAAGTATCCAAAAATATGCTAGAGAATACGTTTTTATAATGCAATTTATCTATGATGAACAAATTTCTGATTTTTCTATCACTAGGCCATGTTTTCAGCAATAAATCTTGATACTTGAAATGTGAAAAGATGACCGAAATTCATTCACAAGGGTTGGAGGTGTCCTACCATTCTTGAATTGAGAATAAATAAAAATCAATCTAAACATTCAGTATAAAATTATCAAACTGCCAGATATTCTGACCTACTCAAAAATTTTGTGATGGTTAATTTGCGATGCCCAGCAAAAAAAATGGACAGGGGAATTCAACAGCTGAACGAACCAGGATTTGAGATATTCGAGGTTGATGATCCCAACGTTTATGCTTCCATAACAGCTGTAAATATCGGTATCGTTTACGTAAAGAACCTTACAGCACAGGTGGTCTGCAAAAAGTGTCAAAGGAATTTTGCAATCAGCCGAAACAAGCAGTGCCAATGCAGAAATGACCTTGTCTACCGTTTTACGCCCATTTTTTACCGGAACAGCTATATTGGCGGGTTAGTGTTGAATTCGCTGGTTTTAATATGCTTTGAAACACCGGAGGTTATCTTAAGTTGTTTGAATTGTGGTTCGTACTACAACATCAAAGAAAAAAGTGCAGAGTTTTGCTGTTTTAACTGCAATACGTTTACAAAATATAAACTCAACAAAGTCTGGTTGAAGCATTCAAAGAAAGAACAGGGCAAAGAATACGTTCCCGTCAGAGGCACTCCTTTGCCCGAAAATGGTGCCTGCAAGCATTACAGAAAATCATTCAGGTGGTACAGATTTCCTTGCTGCAATAAGCTGTTTCCATGTGATGAATGTCATAACGAAAGCGCTGACCACGAACTCAAGCGAGCCGGTAAGATGATTTGCGGGTTTTGCGCAGAAGAGCAGAACATTGCGAGGGAGTGTAAATGCCAGGGCCGAACTTTGAAGGGACATTGGAATGCAGGAAAAGGAACAAGAAATAAAGAATTGATGAGCAAGAAAGACAAGCAGAAATATAAGAAGTAATAAAACTGTGCTTTTGTGTACGAATTAACCATTTTTCTTACTTTGATAGCGCATGATTTGTTCGCATCCAGCACCATATGCTCCGAGAATGCTTCATTCTTACCATTTGCCTAGATCTTCAGTTTATTTAACGTAATAAAGCTAATCGGTACAGTACAGGTTTTTATCAGATGGATAAACTCAAACACACGCAGCCACACAATGCCTACGTACAATTATTCGTAGTTAAGGTCCATTGCTTGATTTCCTGAATTTTGACAGGATTATTGCGTACCTGCATAAGCTTGTCATTGGATACATGCAAACTACGAACTATAAGTTGAGGTTAATTAATCTATAAATGTGTGCACCAGAAGGACAGGGCAGTAATTTTATCACATTTTGCATGCATCTTTTTATTCGCAACTCAACATGCGCTGACCGCAAATCTATTCTAATTTGCTATTCATTCGATGTATTGTGCTGGTGTTTGATTGCAAGATTTTGTAAACTCGCATCACAGTTTAAATTACCTAAAAATGGCATAAATTAATGAAATTGTTAAAATAACCATCTCTGCGATAACCTAAAGATGGTTTCTATCTTTACACCAATAATGGACTAATTAAAGCACAACATTTGATCATTTCTCTGTGATTTAAAGCATTTCTGACACGTTCATTGTCATATATTCGGTCTATGTCTCTATGTGAAACATTCTAATTAAACATTTGACAGCTAATTTCTGCTGTTTAATTTAATTCTGTGATCCGCAGGTGTACTTTCTGGTATAAATTTCGTTTGAAAATCTGAAGTGTCTTACAAAACTGCTTCACAATACCATTTTAAATTGGCGATCAAATCATTTTAAATTATGTGTTCTCTCGAGAGACTGAATCTGTGCAATGATCTCATTTACAAAATAGCAGTTGACAGTAAATCACGTAAATTTGTATCTCACATCTTCAAAGCAACAAAAGAACAGCCTGCATGTTCTCACATACAGAACGGTATTTTGAAGGACTATGTAACGAGGATTAACTCACTGTCATTTCTACACGTTTACCGAATTGTATTACGTCTCGAAGCCATGGAGCGCAGGGATTGGCTTTTGCAAATCAAGAACACGCTCAACGCTCTGACTAAGAAAAGAATATTACTGTACATATTAAGGAAAAACACATTTATTAGACCGATTCTGTCGGAGTGTTTGTTCCAATTTAATACGCGAACAGGCATTTGGAGTGCTGAGGACACGAGAAATAGCTTCTGGTCCATTTGGAATTTGAGCATAGATGAATTTTAGGATTACGCAACGAACGGAAACAGTGCCAACATTGCTGAACAAAACTAGCATTTAAACATGGTGTAAACGATTCAATAAACGTTTTTTATAAAAATTGAGTTTTGGAGGACTTGCTGGCTGGCTCTTGCATTTTTCAAAGCTTGTGCAAGTCGTGATGTGATTCTAAAGTGGAAAGACATACAAGCGAGCAGATAGGATTGGATAGTTATTTGGTACTTTTGCAGCGATTGTGTACGCAGGTACTCGTAAATAGAACAGCAATATGCCAAACAAAAAAATACACAATTTACTTTTTTAACCATCGAACATTGTGTGTTCATGCCATATTATTTTGTAAATCTACTATGACACCATGTTAGAGCTATCACGTGTTTTAATTCGTTAAATTTATTAAGGACGATGAAATGTGACGTGTGAGATTATCTGACCATGTTTCATACGAAGGATGCTAATATATCACCCTACAAATTGGCATTCTACAGCTGTGCTAGTGTTTTCATATCATTGTCACGACAAGTAAAGCGTATCCTCCGCATCTTAAACCACACTAATATGTGCTTTCTCTCATTTTTATATAATCAAGCATTTCTCGGGCAGTAAGTACCTTCTGCTCCTCGTACTCCATCACATCCTTATCCTCATTCCTATGACTGCCATCAACGACCACGTCCTCAACCGCTCCTTCAGTAATTACGTCACCAAGCGTAAAAATCTCTTTCAAATCGGATGCTCCGACCAACCTTTCAACTACTGTGTCACCAAGAACTCGTCCTGCCAGCAGGTTCTTGAATATTTGCTTTTCGTAGATCTTTTCTTCAATTGTTCCTCGCGTGATAAATCGGATGATCTCTACATCCCGTTTCTGCCCAAATCTGTAGGATCTCTCAGAAGCTTGTTTGTCGATAGATGGATTCCAATCAGGATCATAAATCACGATTTTGTTGGCAGCTGTGAGATTGAGCCCTATTCCACCTACCCGGGTAGTAAGAAGAAATACAAAATAGTTTTCTTTTGTGAACATGTCGAGATATTTCTTCCTTTCCATCAGCGATGTGGTGCCATCCATCCTCAAATATGTGTAGCCTTTGGATATAACGAAGTTTTCTATGATATTTAGCATTTCTAGCGATTGGCTAAATACAAGTACCTTGTTTATTGGTTGTCCTTCACCGCTCTCCATTTTTTGTGAGACTGAACTGTCGTTTTTCTCCTTTGTACACCATTTTGTCAACAAAGTTTCGAGCATGTGCATTTTTCCACTTTCGCCATGTACTCCTTTCTTGTAAAGAGATGGATGGTTTGTGATCTTTCTCAGAATATCAAGACCATAAAACACATTTCTATTGCCTTTAATGATATCAGAAACAGCTTTTGATTCAGTGAATTCTTTGTACAGGGATATCTGGTCATTGGTCATCGGGCAAAATGCTATTTTCTCGCACTTTTTTGGTAAATTTGTTCCTTTCTTAGTTCTTCTCAGAATATACGGTGCAATTAGGCTCTTGAGATACGTGGTCCGCTGTTCTCCATTCTTTCTCTCCTTTTTGTCTGCTTTTCTACGCGTGCTCTTCAGAATAACTTCTTCAAATTCGCCGTAAAAATCGGTGTATGTGCCGAATAAATGTTTGTTCGTGATATTGAAGAGCGACCACAGCTCCTTCAGATTGTTTTGCACCGGTGTGCCTGTGAGAATGTACGTCAAGATGTTGTATGTTTTGATATACTTGAACGTTTGCGTGTTGAAGTTTTTAATTTTGTGTCCCTCGTCAAGAATGAGAACATCCAAGTTTAATCTGCGTATTTTATTGAAAAAAGTTTTGAAGCCTTCATAAGAAGCCACAACAACGACTTTCCTGAAGCTTTCGCTCATTCTGTCGTTGTCGGGCTTCTGATTCAGGGCATCATTTACGCTTTCCATAAAATTATTATGCAGTATTATTGTCCGCACAAACGGGTATATCCGTCGTATCTCAAGGAACCACTGCTCGAGGAGCGTAGAAGGACATAAAATGAGTGCCCCGCCTATTCTATTGCTGTGCAAAAGCGATGAAAGGAATGCGATCGCCTGTATTGTCTTGCCCAGTCCCATTTCATCAGCCAGTATGCCTCCATGTTTACCTAGAAATAGCGAACAGAACCACTTCAAAGCCGTTTGCTGGAAAGGCAGAAGGAAGTTGTAAATGTATGCAGGACAGTAAATAGCGTCGCCGGGTTCATTTTTATCTTTTGGGCTGGCAATGAACACGTGCTCGTGTAGGATATGCGATTCGACGTCTTCAACGTTGAAGTGGCCTTTGTACAGCTCCTCAACATTTTTTACCCGATCAACAAATCGCGTGTATACTTCGTCAGGCACGTTTCTGCTTACCTCTCCCAACAGATATACAAAGCTTTCCGGGCCGTCTTTTGCATGCAAATCATAATTTTGATTATTTTTCTCCTCTATTTCCATTTCATTGACCAGTCTGAGCGAGCGTTCTAAATCCAAACGAGTTTTCTCCATCTCACCCGTTATTTCGCTCTTTTTCGTGTCTGTTGCATTTTTTAGTTGTTTTTCTAATTCGTTCAGCTTGTCCATAGCTTTTTTTGTCAAGTATTTCTTTAAGAAGCTCTTTTCATATTCTTCTGCATCTTCGTATCTCTGCATAGAAGGTCCAAGGCTGTGTATCGAACTGTACCAGGGCTGAAACAGTTATTTTATATTGCTGGGTTTTCTGCCCCTTATGTATTTTTTTTACGGTTTTTGTTTGGCTCTCTTTTTGGATCTCTCCATTAAATCAAATGATGACAGAGCGTTTTAGAAGATGTAGTGGCACGGTATTACTACTTCTCATATTGTAGCGTGAAGAGGCATGTGAGGATCGAGTGTCCGTTCCGATATAATTTTAAGAATTGTACCAAAAACATTTATTTTTAAACGGTATACAGGGCAAATAGCGGTACTTGGCATGTACAGGAAGGATCAGCTATTTGTTGTTGATATGAGTTTTGTTCAGAAGGATAATTTGTTATGCTTCGTTTTGTAGTAATTCTATCGTACAGCTGCGCTCTCTCTACCACATTCCGCCGGTACAAAGGGTAAAAGCTATGAGTGTGGCTTAAAAGCTTTACACAAGAACGGTAGTTGAAGGAGCGGTACTAAACGCTATAACTAATAATACGCAACAGATAATATCTGATCTCACAAATAACAGCAATGGCACAACCACTTGGTCATATAAAATGGCGAGTTACATCGACCAAAGAGGATAGAAATAATACTTATGTAATGCATTGCTGTAAGGTCACCCATAACGATAGAGCCAGCTTAGTTTACAAGATTGGTTATTGCATCCTTCTCGGAAATATTCGCTACCTAGAATTATTGCTGTTCTAATACCTACTGTCCAAAAAAAGATAGCATGTATAAAAGAACATTATTTCTTTCTCAAATGCAGAGATTGCATCTTATAAAACGGTGTATTGGTGGCATAAATTTATTGCTCACACGGTGCATCTAGGCAGCATGGATTCGTCCTACAACATCAAAAACTCCACGAATGCCAATCCGTGATACGTAAAAAAATTGAATTAATGTGGAACACTCGTACACACTCCTACATTGTTGTAATGGCAAATGTAATTGTTGAATTTCTCATGTTGGCAAACTGGGGTGATAAAAAATAAGTTGTGGTGCTGATGTAGAGCATAACATCCTATAGGTGAAGTATAATGTGTTTATTAAGACCAGACGAACTACGATAAACACCCCTAACTAGATTTGTGAACTGCTTGCGGTATGAACACAACATTACTTGCGCTGTTTTGTACGCTTTCCGTATAAAACAACAAATTACCTACCAAGATCAATAGAACATCTTCAGATAAACGCTAAATTCGTAAAAGTCACCAGCCTCCATCTCCAGATCATAATATTCTACCATTTCGTTTGTAACACCACTTAGGGAGGGCAAATAATCCAAAGAGCACAGTAGCATCAACCGTTTGATAAATTTCCTAACCACCACAACAGACTGTTTGTTCATTAGGAAGAAGTGTTTGAGCGCCTTTGCTGCCAATTTCTGTTCATAATTCTTCAATTTCAGTATTCCTGGTTCCAATAGATCGTAAAGGTAATCGCGTAGCTTATTTAGATCAACTATCTTATTCTCGTACAGAGCAAGCACGGCCAATATTCCGAGGAACTTAGCACCTGCCGACGATCTCTCAAGACAATTCATAATAAGTAGCTTAGTTCCCTCCACGAGATTGTCTTTGACGATTACTTTGAATTTTCTTAACCCGATAAATACCTCATCGTAAAGCTCCGTCTTTTTTCTTTCCAAAACAAGCAGGTATATCCTTAGAATACAGTTGCAAACCTTGAGCTCCAATTTTTTTTCTTTGTCTTTATCAACAACACCCTCCTCCTCCAACCGCCTGCTTTCAACCTGCTTTCTAATTTTTTCTTCTTTTCGCTCCTCCTTAGACATCTTCTTCCTGTCCTTTGTGGGCAGAACACTCTCCGCTTGTTTTTTTTCTTTTTTTTCTCATTTTCGTAGATAAACCCAGTGAAAAAGCCGTCCTTCACAGCCTGAAATTCAAAAATATCGATGTCCAAGAAACAGGAAATAATGTTTGGTCCGAAGTTTAAGTCACACATGGGCACCAGCACCTTGTACTTTAGCTCCAAATCATCAGACTTAAATATCCGAGAGATGCACTCGTGACATATCGCGTTCTTGGCAGTTGTTCCCCTCAATACAAAACTTACGAGCTTCTCCACATAGTTAAAATGGCTTAGCTCCTTTAAGAGTTCGACTGCACATCTATAATTAACATCACTCGTATTACTCGTAACAAGAAACACAAACTTGGAGTAAAGCATCAGCAAGTCCTGTTCCCATTTGCTCAACTTTGATATTTGTGTTTTGTCTTTTACCTCGTTCGACAATGTCTTAATCTTGTAGAGAGGTACGATGTCTAGGAACACTCTCAGCAAGGACAGCAAAGATACTTCCGGAAATTCTGCATACTGATCAAAAATGTACAAGATGTTCAGTAGATTGTCCTTTGGATCTATTATGACCTGTTTGCTGCATAACGCAATCTTTTTGATCGTTTGATCTTCGTCCTCGTCTTCAAGGGCGTAGTTACGTACTTGGACAAGCTGCTCCGCCATTTGAACGGGGTTCTGAATTTGTGTAGCTAAAAATTTTGAAGAGGATGCCAGCAAACGGTATGCGAATTTGTGTAGCTAAAAATTTTGAAGAGGATGCCAGCAAACGGTATGCGAATGTCCGTGCTGTAACACTCGGAGCGGGTATAGCAGTACGGTGTAAATTTTCTGATCACCCGGGCAGGACGAACAATTTATGAACGAACATACCTGATCGTGTACAATTTCGTGTAAAGTTTTTTACTGCCACCAAGGACTACAATATGGCACATAATAACTTTGCGTAGGCCAGGGATGCTCTGATTCCTAGATAAAGTGTATGAAAGGCAAACGTGTTCTAAGAAGCAAACGTGATGTTAAGGATAACACTAAGTCGCTTTTTTTTGGAATACCCGTTCATGTATAGAAATAGATTATCCAGTCAAGCACGTACAAGATTCTTGGGAACGATGTTTAGCATTGGTTCAATTATTGATGCTTCATTTACTGCTGTATGTAACACGTGATGTGTTAAAAATAATCCTTTGCACGTGTGTATCAAGTTATAAATATGCGGCAGGCTGGGGCGCCGTGGAAATGCACGAGCGAAGAGCGGTCAGAAAAAAAGGAACAAAGAAATGTTCTCATCATTCGGTGCACCGGGAGGTAAAGCACATGGATGAGGAAAGTGCTGAATCGGTATCACGAAGCAAAGATGAAAACGTGTATGAGGGACAACTGGTTGAAAGAGTTGAGAATGTGAGCCTAAACGAAACTGCTGGCGATGATGATCTAAATGTGCAGGAGCTCATTCTATGCCAACAAAACATAGCTGTGATCCCCCCTGCAGTTGCACGATACAAGAATCTAAGATTGTTGCGAGGCTGCTGTAACATTTTAAGGCAGATTCCCAGTTTTATTTGTGACTTTGCGCAGCTTAAGTATCTCACGCTCTCGAATAACATGTTGGAGTGTCTTCCTGAGAACATCGGTAAACTCAAACAGCTAGTGTCCCTCGATGTAAGCAGCAACCGTTTGAAAGAGCTGCCTGGCAGTTTTAGTGCCCTGCAGAATTTGGCAGAGTTGAACCTGACGAACAACGAATTCGGTGAGATACCCCGTGTAATCGGCTGTCTAAGAACACTGCGCATACTTGCAATGGAGGAAAATGCCATTAATGATGTTCCCGTTGAAATAATACGCTTGCCATATCTCTCAGTACTCAAAACACGCTTATTACCACCAAACTCATCTGTAACCATCGAGAGCAGCGGGTCTGCAATGGATGTCGCTGAAATTGCAGCAAGACGAGTCATGGTAAAGCACCTGTACAAAAAATGCACGTTAAACATTCACGTTAAGAGGCTTTTGATGCAGGTTAAGGAATGTTCGTTCTGCAACGGGCCGTACTTTCGGGTGGAGCACACGGTGGTAATCAACCAATGGCACAATTTTAAGTACATACCGGTAAGGCACAACATGTGCAGCCTGCACTTCACGTCCGAGCCAGCTATGTTCTATACGCTGTACATCAGACCAAACTGCCAGGGATTACGTCCGCGCGATTCGGGGGAGAGGTTGCCGTTCTCTATGATATTCAACTACCATGCATACGGAAATAAACTGAAGAAGCACATCGACCATCAAAATGAGAGTGAAGGAACAATCCTGTCCCTGATATATCACTATAAGAGGCAATTAAGAAAGGACCAGTAATTGTAAGGTGTTCAGCTCAGCGCCGGGTACAGCACGGTACATAGAATGGCAGTATCAGTTCACAGAGCAGGACAACCACGAACCTTAGAAATAAACACATCTTCTGATAACCAAGCAGCTTATGAATGCTCTCATACACTGTACGGCACGTGCACACCCACCGTATATTTATGTTTTTAGCGGTGTTTCTACACTCAGTTACAGCAAAATAGTAAAAGAGCGTAGAGGATGATTGAAAGTTCCTCTTTTTTCACTAAAAGTACGGTTGACCGGTTTACCGAAAAATAAATTAAACCTTCCAAACACTAAAAGATCGATATTTAGTATTTTTCGTAATAAAAGGTAAAAAATGCTAAACTATGTTTACTTGTGTTGCTGTTAGAGATTGGATATTATCATTTCACCACTTCGAGTTCGTGTAAGATATTTCAAATTGGTGATTGTAACGCCTATCATAACATGTTATTCTCTTCATGTGCCCTGAGGCCTTTGATTCAAGATGGGATGTGTCTGTCTTAGACGATATAATGCAATGGTGAACAGATATTTTGTGGAAGTCGTGTTGTGCATCATCTTGTAATGGCGAGTACCTCACGTTTGTTACGAATACCTCCTCTCTACCCGCCACCAATGGCCCAACACTTCTCATCCTTTGAACACATTTTCGTGATCAATTCGCCAGGAAAGGAACAAACCCTGCCGTTGTGAATGAGGAGGTCGTTTCTTCTCTTTTCTTGCGCCTCTCCGTTCTGTTGTGGCTGTCAAACATGATAAAGACCAAGAACATAAAATTAACAAGAATTGCAACGAATACCCCTATGGATGATGATTGGAACATCACCGGAAATGACGGCAATGAATGGAACGATACTTACGCGCAGCAGGTGCACGTTGAAAGAATAGAGTACGATCCCGGTTATGTTTTGAAGAAGCTTGGGATAGAAATTCGGAGCGCATACGACGGTGATATGGTACTGTGCGAGGGTAAACAGCGGATCGTTAGAAACAGGCAAAAAGATGACAGCGTGAGAGACAGGTACAATGATGCATTTCAGAATATTTAGTGAGAAAATGAATGTTGATCAAGCTGTGCTAAGTGTATGATATGCTTCTTTCTTTGGTGTTGTGAACGACTTAGTTAAATACTACGCTTTCCAAATTAATAACATTTGATAAGTACCGCGCTTTCCAAATTAATAACATTTGATATTTCGCATCCAAGAACCGCCCAACTTTTTTTATCGAGCGTGCCCTTTGTTCGGTTGCTAAGGGCTGATTAGCGGTGTTTTGTATTTCTAACACATTTCGTGCTCAAGTCCATGATCGACAATTTGTCAAGTTTTGAACGCAGCGCAAGTACGAACATGTTCAAACGATGTTTGCAGCAACTAAGTGTACAAATGGCATTGCATGTCCGATATCCATAGCACTAAACTAGCAGGTATTTCTTTGTGCTCCGCAGCACAATGAACACTACAACACGGTTCATGATGGTGTAAGTCTCTGTCCAGCAATACCATGAATCGTATGTTTTACGTTGTGTCAGGCACAACATGTGATTCAATAAAGAATATCGCTGTCATATAATGTTCAAGCAATGCTTTTTACGCCTCATGTCGATCTCTAATACGTGACTTAATAGTATTTTGTTATGGTTGGCATGTTATTCATCCTGAAGTGTCTAAACGTAGATCTCTTGTCTTTTCATGGCAGAGCCATTTTCGATGGATTTCACGCTCCATGTTCAATTGCAATTCTTTACCCTTGCAAATGTGCACCTCAGTAGCGCTGAGTGGTACATTCCAAAGCTTGATCAAAGAGATAAAGGCGTTGCAGAACGAGCAAGAAAAAATGATGCATGAATTGAGCACAAATTTTTTCATTACGGAGCAAATATTAGCGGCTTTGTTGGATCCTGCCCACGAATATTCATTACCAAATGGTGATAGCTTAGATCTCCATATTCTTAAAAGGTCCAATCCTGACATCACAGTGTGTAAAAATTTATTGCAAGTGTTACTGCGCCTTAAAGAGTGTTATGGTGTACTTTTGAAGTTAACTGAAAATACGTTCCTGAATTCAGCAAGAATTGCGAACATGGCCTTCCTGATCCGCATATTTTTGGCACACGGGGATGAGCTCACACCAGGAAAGATTAAATTTTCCCTGGGATTGGAGGTGAATGGACCTGGTGGATATGATACACGTAATGTAGAGGGCCGTAACATCGGTAGGTATATCGGAAATGCATCGATACATGTGCACACAAATTCTACGAAGGTAATTGCTAACAAGCTGTTCATAACCTTGAAAATGGATTTGAACCGAAAATATGATGACCTTGATTTAATACGTCTAAACGGCACAGGTAAAGGTGGTAAAATGGAAGAGAGACTGGATTATATGTTCAAAAGCAGGAAAAGAAGACGGTTTGGTAAGAAGAAACGTGTGAGAAAGCGGGAGGGCATGTTAAAGAAGATTGAGAAGGAGTTGGGCGAGAAAAAAACTAACTAGTACTACAATACACTCAGCACGACTCGCAGCCGTGTACATACGCAACACTGTTACTTCAGTGAATGCTCCGGTGCTATTGCAACGGGCAGAACGCCCACAACAAACCAATATAATGAAGGTGCTATTGCACTGAACCGATTGGAGAGCATTTTAAGCGCTGTTTACGCACATGCCATTTGAATTGTACAAAATCAAGTGCAATGACACTCGAAATATCGCTGAACTAAAACTATGACCTTGTTTGCCTGTGACCTCAATTTCAATAAAGCATTTTAATCCTCTACAATTTCTAGCACACTGTTGTAAACAGTGCTGGTAGGAATGAAAATTTTGCACTTCTTGTTTTTCAGCACCACAAACTGCATATCGATGTTCTCCACAACGCCTTCTTTGTTGTTCACCCGTATCTTGTCACCGATCCTGAACGGCGAAAACGAGAGCACATAGACCGTCTTGAAGAACGAAAATAGAATGTCTTTCTGGAAATGCGGCATTACAAACATGGCAGGAATGAAAATTGCAGAAGACGTAGCTGTAAATGGTATTAACTTCGTGTTAGCCCGTGAAAAGAAGTTAAGAAATTTTTGAATGAGCTGCATCTGAGGGGCGTTTCTCTTTTGTTAAGGGGAAATTAAATCCAAAAATGAATGAACTTTGATCCTCGCACACAAAGAAGCAAACAGCCATTAACATTGATGGGTTCATTCCTGTGGTCGTTTATGGAACACCTCTGTTAGTTGGGTACGAACCGCTCATGCAGGATGGTACCAGTAGAGGATACCTAGGCACTCCATTTAAAATAAGAATCAAAGAGCAAAATTATTAATCGACCAGCTGCGCTATTTCCGTTTATTATTTTCTACAAAGGGTTACAAACCTTCACGTCGTGAAAGTTCTTTGGATGAAAATAATTGGTAGGCGTGAAATGTTGCAGAAATGAAATGCCGTTAAGACAATGAGCACTCACAATTCATAGCAGCACTATTTTCAGTGGTGGTGTACGCACAAAAGGTACAGGGTACGGGCGAAGTGCAAGGTGCAGTTTTTTGCTTGACATGTGCGTAGATGGCGTGAAACAATCTATAAGTTAGATCTTATCGCAGTTAAATGATCAAATTTGGTACAAATTGCTGAGTATAATCTGCAAGGAAACGAAAATATTTTTACCACTTCAGCGTTGAATAATCGATCGTTGTTCGATGAATGAACGTAATCTTCGAAACAAACGATCATCGGAGAAAAAAGCAGTGTGTATGGTGCTCGTTCTATGCACCTTGTGATTCGTGAATTATACCACATGATGACTGGGCGTACAACTGCTTTGTGCAGCCAAATAATGTTTATACAACAGATAAACAGCCAAACTACTTTTAGTTCGAGCTATCTCCGAATTTCTACTACTAGAAATGTTATTTTTACATTGCAAGCACTGTAAATACGTGAGTATAAAATCTGCAATGTATTATGAGCGTTGTTATCCTATCCCACATCACCGTCTTGGCGCACAACGTGCTTTATTTCAACACGTGCATTCTGCACTAGATAGTACACCACATCACCGTCTTGGCGCACGACATGCTTTATTTCAACACGTGCATTCTGCACTAGATAGTACACCACATCACCGTCTTGGCGCAGCATAGCTAAACTTTTTATTACATCATCGTACCATTTGCAATTTCAATCGCTATACACACCTTTACTCAGGATTTATAATGTTTTTGTGGCGTAACCCCTATGAGTCACCTTACACCAAACATTCAAAAACTTAAAAATTTGGATCTGAAGGATTTGCACAGTGAGAACGATTTTGCGGGGGACGAAAAGATCGATAACATGTTTAACTGTAAGAATTACTTTAAATACGTACGAAAAAGTAAATTTGCAGCAGTAAATGACGATATAAGCTTGGGGGACTATGGTATGCAATTTATGTCTGCGAATGGTAGTAAATGATTTTTTTGCGAGTTGTGCCGATCTCTCACGTTTGCGAAGAGATTTAGATTACCATAAATATTTATTTAGAACACTACACGAGCACAATCTCCAATCCACCTCTTTCACGTAGGTCGTGCTCTTTTATTCTCGTTTTGCTAACATCCAAATACTCCAATTTATCAAGATATTCTAAATTTACAACTTCCTCCAACTCCTGATTCCCATCAAGCAGGAGATATCTCAGGCTCTTAGGTAGTCTCCTGCAATCTACCGTTTGTATCTGGTTGCACTGCAACGATAAAGTGTGCAGTTGTGACAGGTGGCCGATATTTTCTACGGTTCTTATTCGGTTATTTCCAAGATATAGCTCCTCAAGATTTACGCATGCCAAGTTTTCGATCTTTGCAATGCTGTTGCATGCCATATCCAGATTTTTTAAAGATAAAATACGCAAACTGTCAATTTTTTCAATGTCATTGCACATCAAAAACAGGTCTGTCAACGGCAAAAGCTCAAGATTTTCGATTTGTGTCAGAAGATTGTAACCTAGATCCAAAACACGCAGATTAGGCAAGTTTTCCAAGTTTTGAATCGTAGTTATCTGGTTGTCTGAGAGGTCTAGGGAGTGTACATTGGGTAAGTATGTCATATTTATCGATGTAATTTTATTGTGGTAGAGAATAACACATTGTATATCTTCTTTTACAGCGGGTATCTGTGTCAAATTCGAATATGGTAAGGATAAAACGGTCCGTTCGTCTTCCATCCAGGGTACGTTTTATTCAAATATCAAAAAGAGATCACTTTCAGTAACACAATCCGGTAAGGATAAAAAGGCACAGAATGGAGTGCTCAGGCATCAAAGCATCAAGGCTTTTGATGCTGTGCCATGATGCTCATTTTGTTGAGGGATTATTCGGCAACCACAGTTATGTGAAAGGATTGATAATAGTTACCGATTTCGTTCAAACAAGAAAGAAGTTGGACTGACTTGCATATAAATGCCCAGACACGTGTAGGAAGAAATAATGTAACATACTACGCCACATAAATTCAATAAAAAATAGGAGCTCAAATCGAGTATTATTCTATAAATAACGTATTTGTTGCTAATATGACATGTTCTGTAGCATAAATAATCAAAGATGTTTACCAGAGTGTGTTTAAACCTTTTATTGTTCCGCACACCTCCGATTTATTGTCTGTTATTCATTCAAAAGGAATGGAATAAGGATGCTAAACCAGATACAGGATAACATTGTTCTAACGATAAAAAACTGATTAAAAAGGCATCGTTCATAGATCACATGGTTACAAAAAAACTCATATTTATTTTGACCGGCAAAAGTTAATTCCTGAACGCATCTGGAATAGATGGCCAACATTTTTTATCGATGTAAAAACTTGGTTGTAAACGTATTTAACACTCATATTGTTTTTAAGTTGCGTTAAAAGAGTTCCAAGGGTATATTTCGTTATACTGCCGGATATATCAGCTGCCACTCAATGAACGCAACGGTGAGTGATGTAATGAGATGGTTTGCGGCTATAGTGTTCTTTATTGTTTCTAAAAATGCTCGTTTGCTTTCTCATCGACTTAATGATTTGCTTGGTTTGCATAGCTTGGTCTTGCTACTCAATTTTGCCACTTTATCCTCAACAATAGGCTTAAATACGGCTCGATTACAGGTAATTGTACAGTCGTGAAATTTGTAGTTCTTTTTATATTTTAAGAATGATAATATATTTAAATCTTCTTCACAAAAAGGTCTGCGTGATCTTAAATCAAGCTTGGGTATTAAAAGGCTGTTCAGCAGTGGAAAAATCACATTTTTATTGTAAATGAAATTTTTCATTTCTCTCATTTCTCTTTTCAACTTAGCGCGTTTATTTTGGAACCATATCTGAACGGAACGCGATGTTATTCCTGCCTGTTGTGCCAAGGCCTCTTTTTGGTCCGGTGTTGGTTTTGGCGTTCTCTCAAAAAAACTTATCAGAATTTCTGTAATGTGCTGACTTAAACGTGGACGCGTTTGTTTCTTGGCCTCATTCACCATGCCAAACAATGCCGATTTTTGTTTTATAGTTGACACATTGTCAATATACCATAAAAGCAAAATTTACTTTATGGGCCTAACCAATGCCAGTCTTAATAGGCAATTTGGAAGCGTGGGAAAGAAGCGTAGACAACCTTTGATCTTCGCATTTGTTGTGCTTTTGTATGCGATCGCTTTTGCTACGAACGTTCTGCACGGAGCATATTCGTAGTATTGCGCGGTATGCACCGGTAGATAAAAACTAAACCGAAACCAAAAAACAGTACTAAGCTTGGTAAGTAACCACCTATTGATACACAAGCAATGTAAAACAGCACATATGTGCATACATGTTTAATTGGTGCAGATGTAACTGCGTTGTAATTATAGCTATAAGTTGAAAAGTATAATTTACCACTCGTTATTTTCGCGTTAAGATCACTTGCCCAGTTTTAAATGGTCTTAACGCTGTTTTTCAAAACTTTCTTGTTAAAGATTCCGATCAGTACGAGAGACGCAACCCAAAATCTCACACGTCAAAAAATGCATGCGATAGGCAAAAAATACAGCGCAGCATAATACCGTTATTACAAAAAACGTTAACTCAAATCTGTTGCCTTTAGTGACATATTGCTCATCTCCACATATACTGTTATAAGTATTAATTAGAATGATGAGTTTCTTCAGCGCTTGCGAGCAATTTACACTTTTTGGAATTCAGTGCGCCCAACACTACACGTCGTTTGGAGAGTGTTATGCCACCATAAAATATCGTTTTTGATGATAGTAGCATGTGCAAGATGTTAGTAAAATTTCACGAATTTAATGATATTAAAGGATTAAATTCTCATTTTCTCTATTCGGTATGGTGATTGTTGCATCGTATTGTGCTATAGAGCACTTCATATGTGTAAATTAGTCTTGAATTATCAATGTTTGTGAATGGTAGAACACGCAATTAGTAATTTGTGCAAAGAGCAGTGGAATAGTTACAGTTGGTTAAGCTGGCATATAAAATGACAATATATAAAACATTATGGCAATAATAACTAATTAACTCATCATTTGCATTGCAAACCATAGAGAAAAGCGCATACGGGCCTGGAATGAACATCAAAATCTATTAGATGAGAATGCATTGGGTGAATGGTAAGAATTTAGTGAGTAGGACAATCTTAAGCCTTTTGAATCGCTAAATAATCGAAAATGCGTTTTTAATGGTAACATTAGCACCTAAAGGAATGTAACTCATACTATATATTCCATATGTCTTTGTCACTATCGCCACAGCATGTATAACCGATGAACTGAATCGATTTATACAGGCAGCAAATGTAGTAATGTGCTAAAGTAATGAGAGAATGCACTCAAAGTTATACGAAAATATTATGGCGTTGTTGTAACAGAGCAAATGGGAATATCAAGCGAATTTTTGTAAGTTTTTAATTATCGGGTAAAAACTGTTGTACGGCAAGCTGTGTCTCCGGCGTATTAAAGACAACTTGGAGACTTATTGACCGGTTCTCGGGAATAAATTATCCGACCCTTTGAAAATAATCAAGAATTTTTGATCATGTTTTTGCATTAAATACGGAATTACTGATTGCCATGGAATCCTTTTTTTACAAAAATTTTCGGTTATTCCTTGCAAACAATATTACAAAATATGATTACCGAATAGAAATTAGTTTACTCGCACTAAAAGATTCAAGACCAGTAAAAAACATAACATGACATGTTAAAGGAAAGGAATACTGTTTAACAGGCAATCAAACCTCATTCTGTTATACACGGAAATGGAGCAGCTTGTGTTATTTGATTCCCATTTTTTCGCGATAACAGCTGACAATTTACTTGAATTTGGTAAGAATATGTTTGTACAGGACAGACTCGTGCATACCACGGCTATTGGTTGTCAGTTGTATATTTGAAAAAATTAATGGGTTTAGTCAATTGAACCAAAGAGTGGAAAGATCAAAATATCAATCGTTTAAAAATTGACGTATAGGAACTTTTTATTCATCATGTATTGTAATTTCCTTGATATTTTCGTTATCAGGTGTTTTGACCACGGTTAGTTTGTCGCATTTACCGTTGGAATTCTTCCATTCCTCAAACGCTTCCAACAACTTCTCGCCCCTGTATTTCATGATCATCAATTTCTTTTCTTCAATCCTCAGCTGCTCTATTCTAAACTCCTCGTAAAACTTCGTTTCAAAGCTTCTCTTGATCTCCTCAAGATGGGTTCCTATCAACATCTTTCTGAGGTAAAGAAAATCGTTACAGGTCGTATCGTTCACATCAACGAAGCCCCACTTGTACAGCCTTCCACGTTTTGTTTGTCCGTTGATTTTGAATAGGCTTTCACTGGCCGTCACAGCCATTGGCAGTGTGGCTGTGTTATTCTCTCCATCCAGTTCCTCTGGCATGAACATTTTCACATCATTTTCGTTCAGCTGTTCCATGATCCTAGCCTTCCGTTCAACCAGTTCATCTTGCATGTACGCGTCAGCCTTGCCAATCACAGGTATTAGATTGGTGTATTGGCCGATGTTACCCATCAACCTCAGCTCGTCGGGCAGTAGCGTATCGGTAGGGAGCACGAACAGGCATACATGCACCCTTAAGTCGCCTGTGTCCTCCATTAATCCTTCTTGTGCCTCAAAGTAGTTGAAGTTTGTACTCTTGATAAATTTTATCATGTTATCCTCATCCAGTTCATGGCATGTTGATATTCTCACATTTAGGCACACGCCATTTTCTGTGACCTGTGCACACGTTGTCGTCAGCGCATTTGGTCTATCATTGCTCAATATCGGAGACAGAAACAGGTTGTTTATCAGTGTGCGTGTACCACTGCCTCTGCGTCCCAGCACCAGAATGTTCAGGCTAAATCCCTTTTCCACCGACATTTTGCGTGCCTGTTCAGGGATACGAGAAAAACCTACTGTCTCTGATGTAAGCACTTCACCTACGTTTTCTTTTATGAGCGGTGTTGAGTTCAACATATTATTTGTTTTTTATCACAGGTGTATTTATCTGCTTTCTGAAACGATGCGCAACAAAATAAACAAAAGAAATTACGCGTCGTGCCACGTTGTAAAATAGGGTAGAAGAATGCATTTATTGAGATATCCTTTTTTCTCATACTTTGGTTGTTCACAGGGACCTATTTTTGTATCATACGAATTTGATGTTGATATAAGGTGTATACCATAGTTAATACGTGCTGAATTACCACTGACAAAGGACATTTAGCACCACAATAGTTAGTTAGCACTAAACATAGCTGCAAAGAACGACCTCAGTCCACCATGTCTCCATCGGTATAGTGATGCCCGTTTCAACAGAACGGCACACGTAAGATAACGGCACCGTATTTCATTTAGTCAAAAAGAAGAGCCTTTACGCTGTATTACCACATCCGTGTGAAAATACGATGACCAAAAGGTACTTTAATGATTGGTGAATCAAGCAGGTTGATCATGATGAATAACTCGCTTAATAAGAACTAATGCTTATTTATTTAGTACGTTGGCCATGAACAGTTAAACTATTGCGTTAAGGCTTGGAGACCGTTCGTTGCATCTGTTTCTGCAGTTCTAAATATTGATCAACTCGCTAAAACCCAATTACATAATAAACATTCTGTGAACTATAAAAACGTATGTAAAGAGCTTGAGATTTATTATTCTGCTGATTTACGATCGAATTTCTGTGAATCCGAGCAGCTTCCAATAAAATACTTTTCGTAGTACGAGTGAAGGTATGATTGCACTAACAAAACCGCGCATGTGTTTGCTAGATTTATTATCTCATCATGTCAGCATTAAATAAAATACCTCTTTCTAACAGTACCAAAAGAGGCGTTCTATGAATGTCACGTCTATTCCATTTTTTTGCTCTTCTTCACGATTTCTACATCTTCTTTTCTGACCGGCATGTCCATAAATAATTTCCCCTCTCGCACATTAAATTGTCTCTTAACCTTTTTAGAACCTCCAATTTTCTTCTTGACCACGGGCACAAAATTCTTCCAATTCATATCCTTTTTGTCTGCACACTGCTCAACCTCCTTCTTCGCCATCATCTGTTTTAAGAGATGTACCGGATGATAATTCTCCATTACCTTCAGCACAAATTGCTCAACTTGCAGAACGCTTGCAAAAGGACCTATCACACACACACTCTTGGACTTCACAAGAATGTATGTCTTGGTGAGCATTTTTAGAGCTGTTAGTGTATCGCCGTTGGGACCTATCAATCGATTCCTCCTGTTGATAAATACTTCCTTATCGCTGGCAAGTGCCTGTATGTTTATCCAAGCATAGCTCATGTTGTCATCAAACACCTTCTGTGCCTCCTCCAATGGCACACCCTTGCAGATTAGTGTAACGAAGTCTTTACTCTTCAGAATTACGTACGGGTCCCGAGTCTTGGACGTAGTACTCACTTGTATCAATCTCTCATCCCGATCCATTTTGATTCGTATGTTCTTTTCCCTGAGCAACGTTCTCATACTCTTGTAGCTCTCTTTCAAACTATCCTCTAGATGTTTTGCGTACACAATCTCAAATCTGCTTTTCGCCAAAAACTGATCCTTGAACTCATCTATCTCAAATTCCATGGGACTACAGAATTAATTTTTTAAAACAGAACTAGAAGAAATCACGAATACTTTCAAAGGGTGTGAAATGTATTTTTGGTAGCATATCGTGCCTGTGTAGTGAATGACATACTCATTATTTCTAGTATTTTTTTTATTTCTGTACCTGTTCAGATGATTTGAGAGGCGTAAAAATGCAAAGTTGCAAAGGAAATGTGTAAAACGAAGTTTGATAGCAGAGATGGTACGCTTTCGCAAGATGTAGAAACATTTCAGATAAATTTAACTTGAAATCAAAAAATCGGGCTGAATGTTGCAAAGAGAGCACATGATACCCACAACTTGGCATAGCTGTGGTCGTAAATAGAGTAAGTTATTTTGAACTACACTTATATTGGTGCTCCTGCTTCATCCTTATGAGTAACTTCAACCATCGTATATTTTACTCATTCTACAGCAGCGTAATACGTAAATTTTCGCTGCCGATACATTTATTCACGCAATGATGTGCTCTCACCGTTTTATAGTGATACATCATTGCCTCGTGAGATATTGCCATATTTAAATGTCGCAATCAATCACCATACGTGTCCCAGAACGATAAATTATTAGTAGTGAGCGTATATATCTCTACAAAAGAATAACGCAATACTATTCGTGCACAAATCGTTACCAAATTACTTAGATGCTTTTAATAAATCCTCCATCTGAATCTTTCTTAGTAATTTATCGGACATACATTCAACATTGCAGTTTATTAATCTTGATTTATGACAATATAATCGCGCACGTCACGAACAAATACGTATGCCAGGATAAAATGCGATAAAACGCTTGCAGACATCTCAAAAAGCTCGCAAAAAATTTTCTTTTCTTCTTCGTTGAGAATTGGTAGCTTCACTGGGGACAACACCATGGCTGAGTGCACATCTTTAACCTCCGTGTTCGACTCTGCCTCCTCATCAAATTCCCTAGCAGCCTCAGTACTCGAAACATCGCATCCGGCATCTTTGATGCTTACCAAAGAACCGTTATCCTCCAAGATCTCCAAATAATCCATAATATCCAGGTTTTTTAACTCAGCGTAGGCTTTTTCAAAGCACTTCAATACATCCTTTAACTCATCCTGGTCTTTTCCGAAGATGTCACCCACAAACCGGACAATTTCCTCACTCATCCTGAAATAAAGCCTAAGGATTACACTGATGCGGCTGAAGAAACACTCGTCACCGTTATAGGTGTTGTAAACGACTTTCAACTTGTAAATTAGTTTTATATGAGCGATGTATTTGAAGTAAAGGCGAGATACCACCTCTTTATCGATAGATGAGACGTAATTTATCACACTTTGACGGATAACTCCGCTCTTTAGCGACTTGATGAGGAAACTGAGCTCTGTGAGCAAGAAATTCAGATTTTTAACTGGCAAAAGATACTCTTCTTTTAGAGAAGGTGCTGCTTCAATTTTCTTGTTAGAACTCAGATCTTTCGTATTTTCTCTCTTGTCATAGTCAGTCACCATGGCCCTATCTACTTCTTTCTCGAATATTTTTTCCTCAATGTCTTCTGGATCACCGGTTTTTCCATCTCCTACTACCACGTCAGAACGCGGCTCATCTCTTAGAACACACTTTTTTACAGTTTCATTATCCATCATTACCTCGTACACTTTCATCTCTAGAACACTCATTTTATCATTTTCTTCCTTGATTATTACACTCGCAATTTTATTGCCATCCGTGTTGCAACTTTCTTCTTCATTGTAATTCTCTGAGCGTTCAGTCTCTTTGCAAACTTCCATTTCATCTGTCATTGTGATGGAGCCTTCCCTTTCATCCGTGTGATCCTTACTCCAGTCTTCATCCAAACATCCGTCTAAGCCACGGTTCGCTGTTTTTACATTTCTCCCAACAGATGCGCATCCGATAGAACCATCCGTAACCACCCTGTCATTCTTTCTATCTTCAACCGGCCAATTTTGTACCTCGTTTCCATCTTTATTATCTGAAATAGCAGGTGTTAAAAGAAAATCACGCTCGCTCCCTTCATTTTTCTCCATCATCAAACCGTCCTCCTTCTCATACACGATTTCGTTTTGGCTCATTGCAATTTTTTCCACAAGGATAAAATTTCAATTTTTAATAAAAACAAAAAATTCGCGAGGTACTCAAATTCACGATCCTGCCATACTCATAATAAAATTATCTTCATGGATAGAATTTCTTTTTTTAGTAAAATTATCTTTTTTTTGACGAATGAGCCGAATAAAACCAATGGTACAATGCAATAATTAAATCTACGTCATTTTATCACTTTTGGTAAATATTGATCAGTAAAGTAATTACAACAATATATTTGAGAATTAGTCTAAAAGATCAGATCACGTGATATTCATTTACGTGTCAGATTGCAGCAAGTACACCGTCTAATTGTCATTTCCTTTCAACCGATATGCTATCAACAAAAGGGGGCAAGGCTGTGAAAATAGATTGAGAGATGAGTTTCGCACAAATAATGGAAGTTAAAGGAGGTGTTTAGACTAAATTCACTAATAGTATGAATATAGCACTCCCAGCCATGCGAATAACAGCAATAAAACAAACATTGCACGATCACAAAATAAGGCGGAATATACCAATCAAGGGGTATACAACACGCACCTACACCGAAAGCCTCACACAGTCCTCCTGTAGGGACGTAGTCAACTCATTAATAAATTCATTTATTGCTAGGTGTGCACACTGTTCAGGCCACTCGTTTCAATCGCAAGTTTATATTCAACAAGAAACGTGAGCCAAGTTATCTTTTACTCGCGTGATAATTAATAGATTTGGTACAGTTTTGGTTGCGCTTGCTCTACAGGGTGACTTACCTTGCACATTTTCATCCAACTGCGTTTTTAATATACATAAAACGGGATTCTAGAGTTAAAGCTAAAACATCGGCCTATATATCACACGATTAACGCGCCACAGCATGTTCTCAATGAGAATCCATATAGCAAACAAAATTCTGATTCAATGAATAGGACAAGACAATTGCTCAAGCAATCAAAAGATGGTAAGGGATCTGATTACCTTGTGGTTTAGTGTTTCTTGTACCTAAAATTGCCGGCCAACTCTATTTAATAAGTGGAACCAATTGTGATATCCATTAAAATTATTATTTATTGTAAATCATCAAATGCTTGCATCAAGACATTTTTTTGCCCAGCATTTTTGGTAAAACTAACTGGACAGCTTTCAGATGGTAGTGAATTGCTTGGTGTTACTGGTAAAAAATGGTTGAGCATGTCTCAGAAATCGATATATTTATTTTTAAGCTGTCATAGTTTCCGCTTTTAGCCACTTTCTTTTTTGCATATTTCTAAAAATGTAGGAAAATTTATTTTTGACAGAAATGATGTTTCCGTAATAATTCCTTACGATATCACTGATTGATAAAGACAGAGGTAAAAATTGCATTCATATGCACTTCTTAATATCATGCAAATGCATGAATGTTAGTACGGTACGCGTACTGCGATTAGTTTAAGAAATATTCTTTACTTTATTTTTTTACCTGCTGTTCATGCAATCACTGCTCGTGCCCTTTACATGTTTCTCCTAGTGATGCTACAATTTTTACTTCGTGTTTTAGGAACTAACTGTGATGATAACGTAGCGGATGAGATACGTTATGATAATGGTTTAGTTCATGGTAATGAAACGACAGACAATATGAACAGTGATGAAGAAATTGATGTTGGTGATCAGTTTAGTGATGTATTTTATGGCGCAGGAGAAGAAATACGTGCTGTTGATTACTCGTGCAATGGTATGCCAGGCACTGATCATAAGAGTGAATTGGAACTAAACGAACCGAAAAGCAGTGGTGATACGCAAACAAAGAAAAGACGTGCACATACGCCGTTGTTCATTCAACATGGACGCTTTTATGACAGCACGCAGAATAAGGAAATGGAATCGCACAGCTCTGGTTTAGTACGTGACGTGGCACCGTGCAATCTCGAACCAACAAATAGCAGCAGTGGTGATGCAGTGCCATCAAATGTACCGGATATCGTTGAATTAAGTGCTCACAATCCACCAACTTTACCTGTTCGTGGCGATGATACTTCCATTGTTTCTCGAAATGCCCCTGAACGTGATTTCAACCACAAACGGTCAACATTAGAGAGCTCACCGATAAATACCAAACAAATGAAATACGGTGCACAGAATTGCTTGGATAGCAGGGCTTTAACGCACTTTTGGCCTGAACAATCAGCTATATGTGCCAAAGATGCAGAAAATTGTACAACGAGGAGTAGAGAACAGATAGCGAATAATGATGCTTACCACATAGCTAATGATGATGTAAGACAGTATACACCGTGTATAGAGTATTTACATGTGTATTTTGGGAATAAAAGATTGTTTACGGTTGGCAGCGAATATTTTGGATGCTGCGGCCGAAATGCTATATCGTATGGAGCAATATTGCGTAACAGAAGGATATTTATTATGAATTGCGCGCGATTTGTTCAACATTGCAAGGATTACATCCATGAACTGCCATATAAACTTCATACTATCCGCTACGTATGCACTGGTATGAAGTACGTGTTGTTAGATCGTAATTTTATTGAATTGTATGTTAATTGCAAGGTCATCGCACAGCAAATTGAATGTGTTTTTAGCGAATTAAACCTTGCAACGCAACTGATGAACCAAGTGATTGGTAAATTGTATGTACGTTGTCCACAAGACATGAAACAGGCTGCTGAGAACATATCATGTGATTTCAGCGAAGTTATGGCAGTGCAAAGGCAAGTAATTAAGGCACTGGCGGATAGCATATCGGAAGTTGGAAGACTTGTTCCGATGATGGATTTATCAAAAAATGTACGATACGGAGAAAATAACATGATGGCAGGTGGGAGTGAATCGTGTAATGCAAATGTTGGAGAAGAGCAGGAAGTGGTAGGAGGATCATATGATCCGGTGAAAGCAGATGCGCGTCAAAACGTTTCTCATACAGAACGGTACAGCAAGATGAAAAGATTCGAAAGCACAATCAAATCGAATACGCATCATAGCGCGAAACATGGTGCGTCAGTTGACGAAAAAGCATCTACAAGTGCCGAAAATCTCGGATGGACCGAATAACCACAATCATTACGTAGAAAATACGGCGATAATTACCATTTAATGGTACCTCCGTATCAAAATAAAAATGAGAACGATATCGTATATAAGACGGACGCGTTGCAAAAATTGCTGCAAAAACTGTTAAACGAATGCATGGGAGTAGCTGACGGTTTACAGAACAGTTCGTTATTTTTCAAAGATATTTTGTGGATAATACGGATGTCAGGAAACGATGATAAGGGTTCTAAAAAACGTAGGTTCTAGTGCTTGAAACGATTGAAATGAATGCTAGTTTTATTAGTAACAGGTGCTATGATGCATTCTGATCACACACCTATTCGATTAAACGTATTCATTATCGGTTCTGGGTGTGTATTTGTTATTCACTGCCAGATCGTTGGTTGTTGTCATTCTCAGCAGTTTTTTGGTCGCTGCCCTTTTAATAGCATCTTTTTACCGATTACCATATTATTGTTGAATACAACTTTAATTCAAAACTTGTTAACTTGATAGGCACTCTCACACGATACAAGCCTCGCAAATCGGGTTCATCCTCGTTTATTAACGCATCCACACGTATGATGTACGTTTTATCAACAAAGCATTTCAGTCTGTCCTTCGATCATCAGGGCTCTGAGAGAACCACGTACCGTTTCTAATAGTAACAATCTAATACTGAGTCTACATGATACTACTCGTAGCTAATAATGAAATAATCATCAGATACGTATGACAACACTATTTCACGTCAAAGTTAGTCTTCCGAACCCTGCTGAACATCATAAACAAGGAAAAACAGCCGAGAAATAAATTAATTGTTGTGAATGAGAGCCACTACACATACTATTAATTGATAAGCCTCGATATTGCTCCAAACAGTGATGAATTCCAAACACACAGTTAAAAGCGTTGATGACAATTCCAACAACAATAATTTTGCACATAACATTATCAGCTGTACCATGTTATCAAAGATTTTGATTTGGAAGAAGCTTACGTGTGCTCCACAGGACATAAAGGCAGGAGCGATCATGACAAAAAATATGTTTATTCTGCACAATGCCAAAGCTACATTTTATTGCTACACAATCGGAAGCTTTGGACCGTTAACAGGAAAGTATTGACGTAAGAGCCAACGAGTCAGTCATTAAAAACGATCATAGCAAAAGCGCTTACCAACAAATACTTTAAGGTATAGACTAGTCCAGCCGAGATTAATGCAATACAAAACAAATCTTGCTAACAATTCATTCGCCATTTTTTATTTAGATGGATTGGTCATCTCATTTGTTGCCTGTGCATTTCTTAGTAGCAATCATTTCGTTTTATCTAACGGACTTTTAACCGAATAAGCAATCTTTGTGCCACAGTCTTACTTGAACAAATCAGGATATTCTTTTACACACATATCCTGCACCCGTAACAAAACAAGCGCTTGTATGGCTGCCTCGACATCACCCTTAACACCGCTCAGGTCTCTTGCCATCTCAAAATACTTCACACACTCATTGTCATTTCTTTTCATCAGATAGTTTCCCAGTATTATACACGGTTTCATAAATGTCTTGTCAATCTCGAGACACTTCAATATGTCTTCCTTTACACCCTCTTCGTTCTTTTCTGCCCTCAGCATTGCTCGGAAGAGGTATGCTCTGGGATCTTCTTTATCTATACCTTGCATCCTGATGATAAGATCTGGAACCGCATCGTACTTTTTTATGAGGAAGTAAAACTCGCATGCAAGCGACATCAGCGCAATTGTCTCCATTTTCAAATCTTTCAGTATTTTCTCAACCCTGTTATATTCTTTATTTTGTATCAAATCGCAAATTCTCAATATGTAAAACTGATCAGGATAGCTTTTTAGTCCTTTGTCAAGGCATTTTAGATAGTTCATGTCGTTCAGCTGCAGATAAATCAAAGTGCTGTAGAACAACACGCTTAAATCGCTTTCTCTTTTTTTCATCAGCGTGAGAAATTCTCTACTAATTTTCCGTCCACCCAATAAAACTGTAAGATATTCTCTCAGTATGGCTGAGTAATAAAACACGTCATTTTTTATGATTGACAGCGCACGTTCATTATTTCCCTTGAGATGTTCGATGCTTGCTTTTATGAACAAAACGAGGCTGTTCTTCTCCTTGGATGCGTATATCTGCTTGTAATTCTCATATCGTAATTTTTTGTGATTTATTTCACCGGTTTGTTCATCAATTACTTCAGTGGTACCTAAATTCGACGTAGCATACATTTTATTTCTGCTTTCAGCTTCCATAATTCCATGTTCGTCTCCGGTCTGATCTCCGGCTTCTTCCCCGCCGCTACTGACCTCTTCTGAAAGCTTTTGTGCGATTTCCCCTTCTTGCTCGGCATTCTCAACAGTACCTTCCACCCCATGCTTCACAAACAGCTTGCTCACATCAGGAAATGTTTCAAAATATTCCTCAACGTTGATTTTTGACGGGAATACATTTTTCCTATCCATTACGTTCTCCACCTCCTTCTCAACGATACTTTCCAGCGCACTTTTGCCCAGGCTGCCATACTGACTACCATCCAGGAACCCGGCGATAAACGCATCACTCACACTCTCCAATAGCATTTCCAGCGACTTGTGTATTTCGTAGCGCCTTTTCAAAACTCTCGCATTTTTTCTATCAAGAGCCAAAAATCTGTTGGTATAGATCAGTGCTTCCTCGTAGTTTCTTAGAAGAATGTATGTCAATGAAATATTGTTTAGGATATTCAGATGTTCACCATCGCAGGTTCTTGTATACGAAAGAGCAATAAGATATTTCTCGAGTGCGCTCGCGTATTCCTTGTTCTTGTAGTGCAAATTGCCCTCCTCTTTGATCGAAACACCGAGTGCCAGCCTTTTTCTTTCCCGGTATTTTTTGTAGCCATAATAGAACAGAGCCGCTGTTACCGTGGTGAGTGCAGTAAAAACGAACGCGCCAAGCTTTTTGTTACCATTCGTCATTTTAAGGGTGTCTAAATTTTACGTATTGTGTGTTCGAGGATGGATCAACAGGGAGATCGCATTTTACAGCGGTGAGAGAATGGTTAATACATCAAAAAAGGCTTTTACACGTAAACAAGAAAGAAAAAGATTGTGGTGCATCTTTCTGCGCCAGGTAATTGAACAATAACGCTCTCTGATTTTGACGTAAACCGGGATATGCGACTAGTCAGTGTATACACGCTAAAACGGGAGTATTCAGTGGGAAGAACAGTACTTTCCAAGAATTTATCGCAGTGAATGTACATTCATTGCTTTATCATGTAATATTTACCATAATTGATAGATCATATAAATAAAAAGATACCTTAGGACCTGTTGGTGAGGAGATTCCCTGTTTCATCTGACTGTAATTACGGCCAGAGGGAGTTTAAATTTAGAAACATTTCGGCTAAAGAGACGTATACACGCTCCTTTGGTGGAATAATGCTAGTATTTGACCGAAAAAAAGACTTACAGTGTATTAACGGAACACAGGGTAGCTCGGTCGCAAAAGTCCGTGTGATAACATACCATGCCTTCAGCTCCTAAAGGAGTCTTACCATAACTTAGAAGGAAGGTGTTGCGTTATCTACAGCTAACGCGTAGTGTTGATGTTTCCAATGGCTCCGAATGATAAATACGAATTTATTCACGATTTCTTTCTCGTTGTTTGCACTTTATCAGCCCATCACACTTAATAATCATTGAAGCAGCCTCAACTGCTGCTGTGAAAATCCTTCTCTTGATCCTAAGGCTCTCCACAACACTCCTTTCCTTCATGCAACCTGCGTCTCCCTTTTCTACATCCACACCATAAGTGCGCCGTCCCTTGGCGTGCAACGCCCTCAATTTCGCTTTAATTGCCTCTCCATCAAAACCGCCATTCTCCGCAATTATCTGCGGTATCTTCTGAACCGCGTTAGCAAACGCCAGGATCGCTGCGCTCTCCTTTCCCTCCGTTCTCATGGCAACATTGTTGACAGCAAGTGCCACCTCCATCTCGGTTGCTCCGCCACCATAGACCAACTTTTTCTCTGTTTTGACCCGCATCAGCACACAAAGCGCATCATGTACGCTCCTTTCTGCCTCGTCGAGTACCTCAGCAGTGGATCCTTTGAGTACGATCGTGCACGCCCCCTTCTTCAGCCCAGAGAACTTTACCATAACCTTTTCTCCTACATGCACGTTCTCTATCATCTCGCAACCGCCAATACAGTCGTTCAACGAGTCAAACGTGCTCATGATCTTGGCCCCCAACACGTTCGCTAACCGTTCCACACCCTCAAAGTCAGCGTGCTCAACCGCAACTACATTCTTTTCTCTGAACAGCTGCAAGAAGTAATCATAGATTATTTGCCTGTTCACAAACACGTCTATACCATTCTCAGCACCAACTATCTTCTCCACCTTTTCCTGCATTCGCTGTCGCTCCACATCTTCAATCTGCGATAGCTCGCTCACGCTGCGCACATTCACCTGCGCTCCGTTAATTTTTATCTTGTCGGTGTCCATTGACGTGTTTGCCACAAGAATACGTGGATTCTTCAATGTCGGAACGATGACATCCTTGTCCAGGATGAACCCGTCCACGAGATACGACTGCTGCAGCTCGCCCTCGGTCTTTATAATGTTGATCAAATTCAAATCCTCGCGGTCTTCAATCAAGTTTATAGCATTCACACATATCTCCGCAAACTTTTGCAGGTCACAACGCAGAATCTTGCTGTTCAACGTTGTCTTAGCTAATGCAACCATATCATCATCCCTCATGACAAAGCATACGCTGTCCAACACCTCCAAAGCCTTGGTCAGCGCAATTTCGTATCCCCTGATTATCTGGATGGGATGAATCTCCTCAAGCTTGCTTGCCTCCTCCACCAACAAAGATGCAAGAATTGCGATGGTTGTTGTGCCATCGCCCTCCTCCCAGTCCTGGCTGACCGATGCGTTGATCAATATCCGTGCGCTTGCGCTGTCTATCACCAGGTTTTTCAGGAGCGTCGCTCCATCGTTGGTTACCTTTATTTTGTCCTCACACGTCAGCAGCTTGGTCATTCCAAATGGACCAAGCGTACTTCTTATCAGCGTGTTAATCATCGTAGTGCCAATTACGATCGTTTTCCTTGCTTCGGAAGATCGCTGCTCCGTTGCACCGGTGTCGAGATGGTTTTGCATACTGGGGGATGAAATTTTTTGTAATTTATTCTGTCAGCACGGGGTGGCTAAAACCACGAATAAAAAGGGCAGCCATTCTGCTGCTCTTCGTTGAGAGTGACACAAAAGCGCTTGTTGCCTTTATTTCTACCACCAATTTCTCGAATGGTGAACTCCTTGGCCTGTACGACCAGAAGATCTGCCAGATACCCTGTCACAATATTTAGTTCATACTCATCGCTGCGCACATTTACGCCAGGTCACAGAGAAATAGAATGATTTCCTAGCAATAGACAATAACACAGCAGATGCTGCATGGTAATGTGTAAAGATCGGTAATATATTTATTAAAGCGTTATTGAAGACCTAAATGCTGTAACCTTTCGTTTTTACCATAGATTGAGATCTCTTGGACCTGATGTACCATCAAATATGTTCCGTTGTGTAATCTTCATTCGATGCAATGGTGAGAAGATTCATTACGGTTGGTTTCAGTGAGGGATAGAACACTAGCACTTGTAAGACAACCCGCTGGTCTACGAACATACGTAAATTAATATCTGGTGAACAACTACGTGTCTGCACCTGAACATCACGAAATGAATGCTCATGAAGTTTAAAGAATAGAAATGGTGGGATCAACCCACCGAAATAAAAAATGCTTTCGCAATGAAGGCATTCTCCCATCTGAAGGTACACCAAAGTTTAATGAAGAGTATCATACTCAATACAGCTGCTGGTTAAGAACGCTAAGAAAAGCTTGCAGTGCCAGGAACTGTATTTCATTGTCATTTGATCCACACAGCTCTATTAGCTGGTCTTTCACGCCGTAGTTCTCTATCAGCCTGCCAATCGATGCATCCACATTGTGAAACATAAGTAGATCGTTGAGCGCCATCACCACATTTTGTCTTTCTCCTCTCTTCAGATACAAACGTATTGCTTTTATTATCTCGTGCTTCTTGATCTGCAGCTTGGTCAGATTTACATTCCAAAAACTTTCTTCAAAATGGTAAAGTGTAGGCTCTAAATGACCGCTGTAAAGCTCCTTCAAGTAATTTTCAACCGATGAAACGTTTTTTATCTTTTTCATTATGTAGTTATAAAGCTCCTTCTTGTTGTGGCTGTATTCAAGATCCTCTGACTTCCTGTTCAGCATTATCTTGCTGGTGTTGAGCATTAGATGCAGATTCTTCAGCGAAATGAACAGATCGTGTTTTTTTATGTTCATAAAGATCAGGCACGCCATCCGGAAGATCTTATCCAACGAGTCCTTCTTAATTTTGTTCGCTAGAGCACCGATCAAGTCCACAGGATTTAACTTCTCAAAAACCTCTTTGGTAAACGAAAGTAACCAAAATAAGAAAAGCGTGTTATAACACAAATCATCCGTCTCTACAAAGGATAATAGCCTGTGTTGGACTTCAACATCAGAAATAAAAAGCACACGAAAGTCCTCAATCTTTCTACGCTGGTTGTATCGTTTAGAATACGGTAGAAACTTTGAACTGTCAAAAACGGCACTACAATCATCCATAGTTTCCTCATAGCACATGTCAACGCCTGTTTCTGTTGGCTGATAGCCTGAAATGCGTATATTTAGTAGGTTAATGTCATCGGCTGTAACATCTTTTTGCTGGTCATTCGAACCGAAGCTCATGCGTTCTTTATCTGTAAGAACAACGGATTTGCTTAAGTCCGTGCACAATTCCTCGTCTACTTCTTCATTCAGCAAATTTTCCAGGAAGAAATTGCGCAGACATTTAAGTAAAAAACCTACGATTTCATGATCCTGTTCAGTGATGAGCGTACTACGAACAAATTGCCAAAATAACGAGTTAGGACTGTCTCTTAACGTATTGGTGTGCACTTTGCATGCTATTTCGATGCTCTTCATCTTCAAATAAAAGTCCTTTTCATCACACAACCGCAAAAGATCATCGAGTGGTATGTCGTTTTGTCTTTTCATTAGGTAAATACGTCGCTTGTCAAGATCATCAAATGAAAATATGTCAGTTGCGCTCAGTTCATCCTCATTTTGTGTGTTTATACCCTCAAGAGATTCCTCAATTTCAGAAAGTCTTTCCATTTTCTGGGTATGTAAAATCGAACAATTTAATCCATTATGATAATTCTGAGATTAATTGAAGCCTTTTGACCAAGATATATTACGATCAAAAATTAAGTAATTTATGATTCTCTCACATTGACAACATTTTTAGCCTGTTTACCGCCATATAACCTGTTATTTATTCTGTATGTTCTCCCGTAACTCCACGCTTTTCTACCAACCAAACACACACAGCATCATTGATAGCATCTGTCTAAAAACACTGCGTACGTGTGGTGGAAATACATCATTAAAAGCCAAAAAAGGCTTATCAATCGTCCCAAACAGAATCACTTATGTGTGACATGTCGCGAGCGCAGGATCAAGTTAAATGAAGTTAATTGACTCCACAATGTTCTCTTTTAAATAAAATATGACACTACAGATCTGATGATCGAAAAGAGCAGACATTTAAGTCAGAGATATGTCTCAATACTAGGTAATCATCTCTTCATGTGCTTACTAATACCTTTTATTGAATCATTTGTCTTCCATTTATGACCACGAACCTTTCCAAATTTAGTCTTTTACGATAAATTTTAAGGACCAATAAAAAAAGAAGACAGATCGTGACAAGTAATAGAACCAGGATAAACCTGTCTTTTAGACCCCCATACTTGGATGGAACCTTTTCTATTTCTTTGTTAGCCATTCGAAGATTATTATTGGTCTCATCAACGAGATAGTCGATTCTGTCTATCATGTTGGAATGACTGGCAATTATTGTCTTCATCTCAAGTAATACCGAGGTTATGAAGTACAACGACGAGCGTATGCTTTCTATATCGTTCTGTTTCTTCTGGCAAATGAGTTTCTGTGGTTGGTTATGGCTGGGTTGGAACGGCCGCGTATCTTCTAGATCATCGAAAATTTGCAAATTTTTTATTTTTCTGAGATATTTCTGTTGCATTTCCCTGTATTCTACCAGCAGGGAATGCACTATCTGTGCGAAATGGTCTTTCATTCGCCTTTTCAGCACCAGCGTGCATTCAAGCGCATTAATTTCCTTCAGATAGTTTTCTAGCCGAACAATAAGAATGCGTATTTCGCTCTTTACCTTATTAATCTCTTCCCTCTTTTGTTTTCTTTTCGAGAAACTCGGCAAACATTGCCGTTCCTGGAGTAACTTCAGGTTGAAAAGCTGTTTGGTGGTGTAATCCACCGACTCCTTAATTTTTATTGGGAGTAATATTGGGACGAACACGGCGGTAGGTGCATTCCTTTTCTCGATGTATTTCAGTGTGAGGTCATTCAACATGTGCCAGAGAGAGAATTGTTGTTTAAGCAGATTTCTGAAACAAAATTGCTTCACTGCGAATCGCAAAATGTTCTAAAACAAAAAAGCAGCTTTCAGGAAACGATGTAACGATATTTCTTAACTACTTTAATTTTATTTCCGTCACACGATTCAGAAACACCGCATGGCATTCGATTGATTCTAAATTATCGGCTGCTTGTTTCCAACTCGGTGTGTAAAATACGAAGAACCGAAAATAAATAAGAAAGAGAGCAACAGCTTGGTTGTAAAGAATGCTTCAATGCCAATCTAAATTATCGGCTGCTCGCCATGAGGATCGTGCTGCTACAATAACTTACTTGAGGTTTATCCATAGACGCATCGCAAAAGGTCTGTATTTGTTGTCGATCAAAGACGCTCCTCAATGTACATTGAACCAAATCGAACATGTCCATGTTAGAAATGTTATCATTTATACCATCGGCAGTTCCTCTTGATCGATTTTCCTGGAATAAAACTCATTCGTATTATTCGATGCAGACAAGTTTTAATAACCGTGCAAAAAGCTTTGTTTACTGGAGTTGAAGCATGTTTTAGCGTGGTTAATTCTTAGGTTAGCACGTGTTATGTTCATTTGTGATACTGCATCTAACGACAAAAAACATGTTGGACATCATATATGATCAAATAACCGTGTTTACACAGACCATAATGCTTTGTTCCCGTGCCTTTTATAATTACCTAAAGTATTTTTATTCCCTAACACACATCAGCGTACTCAGGCCGACGTACTTACCCCTCACACAGCACAACCCTGAAGATTACAAGAGTAACCTGAGTATCAAATTTAGTTAAATTTATCAAATATGCTTTTGGACATTGGGCACATCACAAACACGATAAAATAGCCTTCATAAACTATATTTCCTCAAGTTACGGATGCTATTTATCACGTTGTATCCTACTCTATCATGTATCTTGCAATATTTAGCACCAATTTTCTCATTTCATCCGTGTTATAGCTGTAAATAATCGTATCGGTGAGCTGATCAACCGTGGTTTTGCGTTTTAAAACAAACGCACTGATATAGTACCTCGTAAAAATGCCCATCAGCAGTTGACAATCAATCCTGTCTGTTATTCCGCCGTGCCCCGGCAAGTATGTGGCGAAATCTTTCATTTTGAACAATCGCTTGAACGCGCTCGCCAATAAACCGCCAAAGGGTGCAACAAATGAGGCAAAGAGAATAAGAACAACGGAGTGAAGATATATCGTAGGAATCTTGAATTTGGTAACTGTTTTGGCAAGAATTGTGGCATCGTATACACCATCATAGACATTGAACCGCAGTTTCAGGTAAATACTGAGCAGCCCGACAATGACCGTGAAGATAAAACCGCCTATGAGGCCTTCTCTCGTTTTGTTGGGGCTCAACTTGATCAACTGTGTTCTGCCAATGAGCTTGCCTGTGATATATGCGAAAATATCGTTTGTAGCTACCAGCACCACAGGATACAGGAACCAGAATTTTCCGATTTTTATATTTCTGAAGACACAGTGGGCAGGAAAATTGATCATCATTATTGCGAAGTGTGTGATAGAAAACTGCAAGAACTGCTTTCTCAACACACCTCTCCGTAAATTTAGGATGAAATACACAATGCCCAGAATATACAGACTAAAACATAAGAACGCGTGAGTAACTGGAAAATCAAGCGACTGCAAGAATAGGTAGAACGGCCGTGCAATCGATTTGGAGAAGAACAGGTCTGACACAGTTATAAAGTACCACAACAAGTATTTGAAGCGGTATCTTTTCCTCAGATTTTCTTCTTTTATCGCAATCACCTCGTTAAGCGCAAAACTCTTGAGAACGAATACAAACAAATACACCGCAACATTATCCTTCAGCACAACGTGCAGTACTGCAAGCATAATTGCCGTTGCATATGTTCTTTTCAGCAATGTCCTACTCACCATTATATTTTGGAAGAAATCTGCCATGTCTGCTGATTTATTTTTTATTGCCTTTACTTGTCTCAGGAGTGTGCGTTTCAGAACATTGGCTTTTACAGGATTCATGTTTGATTTGATCACGAAGGGCAAATCACAAGAAAATGAACAAATCACAAACTTTTTCGTCACTACGTGTCAAATTTTTTATGATGGAATGAGGAGCCATTCGATGTAATTATTCCCAATCAGCTCTTTTCATGAAAATGGTCAATTAATTTGGATGAGATTTAATTATTTCGGTGTGCTTGTACGAGGATATGCTGTATAATTTGATTTTCTCGCACGTTCAAGTTTTGAAACAAACGATTTGTTCTCTAACAAAGTGATTTAATTTGTTTGGCAACTGATTCCGAAGGAGAGTATCTTATTCGTTTTTTTGGTATCCAGCGCATTTCTCCGTATAAATTGCCTATTTCAACAAGTAAACAGGCTACATATCTTTCTCTTCATAGAATGCTGCGAAAGACAATTTCCTTTCACGTACCTGTCTTCGTTGCTAAAATTGAGTTCTGCTCCCTGTATTATGTCATTTTCACACATATTAAAAATTAATTTTACCATTAATCCATTTAATGACATTTACCAAGGATCTTGCGATGTAAACTCAGAGCGACACAGTAGGAGGTGTCCTACTTGTGCACTCGCAGTTATGATCACGGGATTAGCAACTACCAAGCATCTGCACTTGGCATCGATCGTATGACCGTTAATGTATGATGAACTGCACTGAAGCATTTCGACAAATTTAGCTTTATTTATGATGAGGGTGCAGCGCGGATTTATCTCAAAGTACTAAAATTTGCGTTTTCATATTTAAACCTGTCAGTTAATATCAAGGCCTCTACTAATTACGCTTTCGGGTGCCTTGCGTAAATTTCTGCATTTAGATCGCTAGAACAAACCTTTGAAGTAATTTTCAGTGCCGTTCACCCGCACATTAGTATCGCTGTTAGGTAGCGAAAGAAGAGCGTATATCTGTGTCAGGCGAAAATTGCCACTTAGATGAATCACTGATTTACTTTTATGGTGAAAAAGATCATCCATTTTAGGAAAGATAGGCCACAATCCACAAAAACATGAAATTATGTGATCGTATAAATGTACTATTGTATGATCAAAGATGGAGCGTAATCATTTGCTGTGTATTCCATGATTTAACATATTGCAGAAAATGGCATTCATTAGTAAAATCTTATTTTACTGGGTAGCTGTGTAATTCCGTACGAATGTTTGTTAAAACGCAATAAATGTGGGTAAATTGGGTATTTTATGAGTCATGTACCGCTGCACGATAGTATATCAATGATGTATACGTAACTTGACTTGTTAGTGGCACACCGGGAAGATGCCATATGTGTAAAGAAGTAAGTAACGTAACATTCTGCATTGAACCAAGGCAATCATACCGTGTTGTAATGAAGAAGTTATCGTTCCACAAAAGTTTTCTTATTCAATAAAAGTACGTTTATTCATCTCCTCATGCCACAGCTCCTAAACAACACACGCTTCTGGCACGCTGGAACCAACTGCGACCACTAGCCTTTGGTTCATGAACAAAATTTACTTCAGCTTGCAGATTAATCACATGCAAACAGATTAAACGAGTATTTACAGCGGTTTCGTGTTTAAGATGAATTTTTTATTTCTTAGATATTCGTGCACCGCCTCAATAAATGAACAAAGAACTTGCATCCTGTGAAAAATGGCGTATTAGTACTAATAATGGAGGTATGAATGGTAGTTAGGTGTGATGCGTAAAAAGTAAAAGTATTTGAGGTAAATTTGTGATGTGCTGCGGTGAGCTACTCTTTGTCATCGATGAATAGAAGCACCAAAATACTATTTTGTAATGAAATTACACGATGAGAAAATGATTGTTATTGTGGAAAGCGAATGATACGGGCATCGAAGTATTGAACCGTCTTATTGAGCACTAACACTTGTCAGAAAAAGTAGGTAACGCCTTTTTTATCTTTTTAGTGTAGCTTACTGCTTTAGGATGCAGAAGGAAGTATACTTAACCATATACTTGTCATTTGTTTAGTTCGTACGGCATTTTGTATGTGTAATCGCAGATCGATGACTCATTCAACAACCCATACAGAGCGGTAAAATTTACCGCCAAAAGATGAACACCTGTAAATTGTAGCCTGTCAGCACAACTAGAATGATTCAATGGATACTCCACAATTCCATTTACTTGATATGCATAGAATAAAGAACTTCCTTCGCTGCCTTCAGGTATGCAAGTAAGACGAAAAATATGCCCACCTTGAAGTTAATAATGAAAAAGAAGGCAACATTTATAGAAAGGCTTACGCCTTCGTCGCTGAGGAAAAAAACCGAGAAAAGCGGAGAAATAAAGTACAGCAATGTCCATGGCTGCCTTCTTTGGTAAGGTCTGTAGAAAATGTCAACAAAATAGTAAAACGAGGTGAAAAATGCGAAGGGGCCAAAGTTTTCCATTCCCCAATAAAGATCACCGAGCGTGAAATAATAGTAGGTACCGAATAAATGAGAATCCATGTTGAACAGTGATCTCAGATAGGTTAAAAACCGTTTTGTCGAGCCCATGTCCTTTTCCATCGTTATATACACCCGGTTGACATTTCGATAGTTAAACTCGTTGAACAAAACGTCAGAAAAATTGAAATGTAGCCTTGGCACAAAAAAATGCGATGTGATGAAAAAGAAGTCGGAGTTTGGTGACAGGTGCCTCATAAAGTTGTTTTGAACCATTGCTTTGTCACCAAAATCTAAGTGTATTTCGCAGAAATATGACGGTGTAGCCATTTCGTAGTGGCTATCGCTCAGAATTATTTTCACGTTTTTTCGCCTACAAAACATTTTTTTGATTGAAGAGGCAAGCCTTACGAAGAAAAACATGTCTTTCTTCCGACCATACACGATTATCGTTTCACATAGCGATTTGCTCGGTCGTGACTCGAAAATAAGAAGACTCTCAACTTTCACAAACTCGTCGTACACATTCTTATCAAAATATACGTTGTCAAGATCTGTTATGTGTGCATACCCTGAGTCCTTGTTGTATACGGTGTTTTTGAACGGGATTAGGAAGAACAATGCGAGCGTGGCGATTACAAATAGAATCCTTTTAATTCGACTCATATTTTTCACGATTTTTTCCTTGTGGTTTAGTATTCTATCAACGATTTTCATATTTTAATTTTGGGGACCGCTACATTTTGAATTTAATTGGTGGCTTTTAATTTGCGATAACTGGGGAGGGCAGAGAGTATGATCGCGAGATCGGGTCCCGTGCCGTAGCAAAGCACTTAACTAGAGATTAGGTTATAAATAAAGTTTGTATAGCGGAAGAAGTACGCACGGAGCAGAATTAACATGGAAATGCCCGTTAATTAACGATTAAAATGATAAGAATTTACGTTTAGCTCATTAATTTCGGTAGAAAGATGTAGCCGGCAAAAGGAATGTATCGCAAACACTCAACATAAGCAATATTTTGAGTATTTACGGGTAAAAATTCGTGCTTCATATTGCAAGCAATTGTTAAGTATTAAAGTGTACACTTGCACAAAAATTAGCAAACAATTTATTTGTTTATTAAACCTGCTCATTGGTTGCGTAGCAGGTTCTTGTACACTTGACCAAATATTCGAGAAGGCTAGCACAAACCAAGAAACAGCTCAATAATTCAGCACAAAAGGTTGATAAACTGATCCGAATAAATAACAAAAAATGAAATATAAGCTGGTAATAACCACAGTTGCTATATTTTTGCAGCCATTAGATAATGAAGTATGCCGCTCGTAGTTCGAGTACTTTCATGTCCACAAAGATGTGTGATTTCTTTTGAGCACATTTATTTATCCTTACATACATCAGAAATGCGTATTTTCTTGACTAAATTTCGATCTATCCTTTGCGTTTTTTCAAGTTCTTCAGCATGCAACATTAAGTCATTAACTCGACAGCAAGTATTACAATATCCGTTTTTCCTCAAATTCATTCAATGTTTGTGGAAAACATTGATTTCTGTTGAGTGAGCAACGCGGTATGAAATCGTTAAATTCTTGTTTTTTTTGATGGAGTTGCCCTGCCCCATGACTGAGCGTGAAAACAAACAGACAGAGCATGCAAAAACACGGATAGATGATGAGATAGATAGCCATCCCAACAAACAGACAGAGGAACCGAAACTAACCACAGAACAAAAAATAGAAAAGATAATAACGTACTTTGATACCAAAAAAATAAGAAGGAAGCGCTTTAGAAAAAGTATTTGCTATCTGAAGCGGTTGCCAAGTGCTGTTGATGAAAACTTGGATATGGTGTTTGTCAATATTTTCAAGCTGAAGTTATCGGATGATGAGAAATGCTACTTATACACCAATATGGTCGATTTGATATTCTTGATGGATGAGCCTAAGATACTTGCCGACCAGATATACGCAGACGCTTCATCAAACCAAAGATGCTCCTTTCTAGCCTGCAAATGCCTGTTCATACTCTTAACAGAGTATAATTTTTATTGTTCAGATTTTCTGAACATATTCTTGGGTTATTTTGACCAACAAATCACAAATAACACCGATGAAATGTGCGATTTTGTTATTCAAATTGTAAATCGGATGTGTCTCTCGTTTGCTGATGCTAGCAGGCTGGTAAATGCAATGAAACAGCACTTATTATCATTTTCGTCTGGTAAGACGTACGTTATTTTGAATGCGATGTGTTTTTTGATGAAAAAACACGTTCTACTGCACGAGAAATTGGTGAAAAACAACAAATTTTGGGAACTCGATGTTCTGGAGCACTCCATCGAACCGATAAAATGTTTAGCACAGGCCGTAAAGTACAACAAGGCGCACAATTTCCAGTTAAATTATGATGAAGAGGTGGAGCGTGTCTTCAATAAATAGATGCTTTTTCTGATAAATTGATACCAAGGAGCTTGACTAGAACTTTTTACCGAGAGCTCTGGAGTGCTGTAAATAAGTTTTAATGCCTACAGAACGGCAAGTAATACATTGCACCTTCCGATCACCCGTGGTTAAAGAGAACAGGCCTGTCACATTATGTTCAGGATGCCGTCTTCCCAACGCATGCCTGTGTACGTGTTTGGTAGGTATTACCGTGTAAGAACGGATCAAATTTTGCCGTTGAACGTATTAAAATGAGGTGTAAAAATATAAAAGAGAGCTGCGCAAGGACACGACCAACAGATCGGTCGGTACCACAGACAATACTTCAAAAACTTTTTACTTCAACTCATGGGAATGAGATGGCACCAGACGACGTGAACGGCACCCAAGTACCAATTGGTACAACGATCGGGTTCGTATTGTTTCGTGCAGCGAATTTTTTGCCGAAAATTATCTGTCCATCCGATTTGAACCGGTATTCGTTGTGCGTTACTGATGCGCTACTCGTTATAATAGTGTTGCTATGTCCTGCTGACGATGGCATCAATGTTATCGTTCCACGGCTCCCGAAATCGTATTCATCAGAGGGACCGGTGCTTTCCAACAGCCACAAAGTTATATTGCCCTTGGATTTGAACGAGAAACGAGGAAACAACTTATTGAAAAGCGTTTCTTCGCCATTCAGAGAAAACTTTTCGCAGATCATGTCAACTTTTCCTGCGTTCAACACAATGGTGCCATGCATTTCAAATTTCAACCAAGAACTGGCCAGAAGATCGAGCTCTGATATTGAGTTATTCTCATCAAACATTATGAGACCGGTTTGTTTGAACAAGTACTTCGAAGGCACTCCTCCTTTGGTGTATAGGTTCTTAAGCATTGCTTGCAAAGTAGTTGCCAGGTTTTTCTGAAGATTATTCAGTTGCAGTGCATTAAACTCCAGTGCATTTGTGAATGTTCGCTGGACGAAGTTGCTCATGTTCTTCTGAGTCGTTGCTGTCGCGGACAGGATGGCAGTCTCAGCCGTAATAGTAAGCTGTTTGATCTGTGAAATCAAATTACTGACGAGTGAGGACTTAGGTACAGCGGTTAGTGTCTGATTAACGAGTTTGTTGAGCGTGGTGCGCGATTTCTGCTCTGCAGCTGCGTGACTGTTGATCAGCGCCTGCACACATTCAGCGGGTGTTTGCGTTACCTTTTCACCATCATAGTTCTCCTTCACAAGCTTCAAACACTTCTTTAAGGCATTGATAGCAGTTACAAAGTCTTGGTCAGATGTTTGCGAGTATATGGTGAGAAACCCGTTCAACTTATGGCTAAGGTCATTTACAATTGCGGTGATGCCCGTCAGTTCAACCCCTGGTATGGCATTTAGTTGGGTTGTTATTGCTTTTTCCAGTGCTTTGTTTAAATTGTTGATTCCTGTGCTTATACTTGCCTGAATTGCAGAGGCCGACTTTTTCAAATTATTCTGTTCCACCGTTGACGTAGCCGAAACTAATTGCTGGACTGCAGCAATTGTGTCCTTAGGGTCAAAAGGCTTGTATTTCTGCCCGAATTCAACCTCACTTGACATTTTCGACTCATTCTCAGCAATATCCACAGATTCATAGTCTTGCCAAAGAAAGTTAGTGTCCTCGTCCATCATTACTTGGTTCAATCTTGCAAGAGCGAGCATTGAAAATATCGTGAGTAAAGCGCAGAGGCAATTCATAAAATTTACGAAACCATCTGCTTAAATACTTTTGAATGCGCAAATTTATCATTTTTAAGCCACTGATTATTTCTTACACGTACACAGAATGCTGATGATACAGACTTAGGTTTAATCAGGTCATCAGTAACTGATCACAATATAATATGCGGTAATGGGTGATAGCAGACCGATAACTTACACGCTCTATTCAGTTGCTTGTTGCATTCCGTGTAAAGTACACTTATTTGTTCATTTTTACACAGTTCCTGTCATAACGTATCCTCGTAGTGCTACTAAACTGGCACAGGTGTGAATAATTTGTGGGGACCAGGTAAATTAATCAAGCGATCTTATCAATCATGCCGTGGTACTGCACGGCGAAGTGCAAATTAAAAAGTATGCCGCGGATCAGTGATTAAAGTTTATTTGCGTATGATGCAAATATAAGCAGTCGTTTGTACTTTCTAAGATATATTGAAGTGATGCAATCATTTTTATTCCGAACTGGCTAGATTATACACGTGGATCACCGCCTCAGCCGTAATTAATACAAAACGGCAACATGAATGGTGATAAGGAAGTACTTTCAGCTGTTGTGCACCGCATATTTTAGCTTTGTTGGCTCACTTAATAAACCGATAAATGATATTAACGACTTAACGTCCATTTTTACTTCTTTTCTCATCTGTTCACTTTGAACCAATTTTTATTGAAACGATTCGTATTGCTCATCATCCTTTATATTAAGCTTAGCCATGTCTGCAAATCATATCAAAGGCAAGCTTGGTTTGATTAGATGTAGTTGCGTATTGAATAATTGAATGGAGCAACGTAACTTGATCTATGGTTAATTTATCGGTAAAATCAACTTTAAGGCACAGAAATTGTGTAACATTCGTTTTATAGCACATAGGTGTTCATGAACGATTGATGGTGCGCGGTTTAACAGATTAGTTAACCTGAAAATAGGTCGGATATTAGTGATCAAACTAAAACAACTGCCTAGTACAGCATTCTCATGCGTGCACGTTTGCAACAACAACCTAATTTATATTTTAATTAGTTACGATCACATGTTCCCGTGTTAAAACGCGAAGAGAACATTTCTGATCCGGCACCACCACTGAAATAGGATCAATTATTAATCAATTTTTAGGGAGCGCTAGACACTCATCCTCTCTTATTAATGACATAACAAGTTTTTTAAGTAATTATAAACGGAACGAATGCTGAGAACCTCAAATAGCATAGCCATTTGACCCTCTTTACCAGACAAAACATTTTCAGGTCTTATTGGTACAATGGTCATATTTGAGCGACTATTTGCGGTTTTAACCAAGAGGTTAAAAGTTCATCTCAAATTTTTGGAACGGCCCGTTGCCACTAAAATGTATTTATCATGTGTTATCACTTCTAGCTAACAAACACAAGCCTGATCTCTAACTGCAGGTTGTACATAACACCAATAAGTCAGTACAGATTTGTGTTCTTCCATGCAAAATAATCATAGGTGCATTACTCTGTTCTACCTCGAGACGGTTAATTGAATCGTAAAAGTAAACCATGGTGATAATTTGGAAGTAAATATTAATTTCGTTCTATGGCAATAACTCTTACAAGCGCTTTATCTTCAGCACATGTTACTGTTTTAAGTGGGTAAAGCTCGCCGGTCTCTGTAACCAAAATGTTCCATTGTTCCTGTCCCATCTCATCATGCGCTGCTCCATGCGTTTCGCTTTTATGCCGATCAGTACGCCCAATACGTACTATCCTCTCTAATATTGTTTTACAGGCTGTGTACTTCAATTAACACACTGTTTGCCAATACCGTGTAAAAAACTTGTAAATTTGTGCAATTGAAAAATGTGTACAAGGCATTTTTAACACAAGATATTTTGTATGAAGGTAAATAAACATGTTTTGTGAACGAATTAAGTACAAGCAACTTTAGAAATGCTGCCTGATGTACTACCGAACAAAATTACCAAAATTATTACACCCTCAAGTCACCGTAGAATAAACCATTTTTCTACGATAACCAAAGTAATAAATTTACCTATTATTTTAGCTCACCCCACCACATCAGCCATTGCATTTAGCTCACCCCACCGCACCAGCCATTGCATTTAGCTCACCCCACCGCATCAGCCATTACACAAGCGAGCATTTGACTGGTTACAGGTAAAATCGTATTTTTTAGGAATGCCAATTTTGTTACAGAATATGGTATTTATTAGGTTTACATATCCATCTAATTGGTGGGCCGTCCTCACGGGTAGCACAGATTTTGATGTTGTTACTAAAAATTTTGTGCATACTTTATCTACCAAAATGATCCATTCTCTATTCGCGCTCAACATAACATTCAATCGCTATTACCATTTATCGCCCCATAACATTACAAATATGTTTGGCCCCTCACTTTTTATAAATTTTCATGAACTCCACTTTGAGCGGCACCAAAGACTACGAAATATTTTTAGACAACCACGTAGTTATCTATTTGCACGATGGTCGCTATATGTACGGTGTGTTGCGGTCATTTGACCAATTCAACAATATCACGCTGGAACAAACCGTTTGCAGAATATTTGTTGGCGATGAGTATGCGGAGCGGAGACTTGGCCTTTACATTATCAGGGGAGAAAACATCATTCTGATAGGAGTGAGTCGAATTAAACTGCGCGATCTGGTGAAGAGAGACTATGAATACGTAGAAAACAAATTGACAGAGGTATGCCAGAACAGAAAAATATAAAATATAGAGAAACACTAAATAAACCTCATATTTTTATTGCTTGGTGGTTTGTTTCTTGTTTATAATTTTGCTGATGCGTTCAATCTCGCCTTTCAGCTCATCTATCTCCGCCTTGGTGAGCTTTCTGCTCTCCTCGTTTTCTCCATAATCGATTGATCGCTCGATTACTGACGTATCATCGTGATCTTCTGTGCTTTCAATCTCAAAAATCGTTTCCATGAAAACCATGATAGGGGTCGGTTTGTTGAGCGGATATAAAAACTGGACATTGTGTACAAAACAAAACGTAGGTGAGAGGTTACACGGTGCGTACATGTTTTAGTAAATTTTTAAATTTATAAAAAGATAACAGAACAGTGTTTTGATGGGCCTTTCGTTCCAAGGACTGCAAGGTGTATGAACCTAAACAATTTTGAATTAAAGCCTTGAACACGCTAAAAAAGTTGCATTGCCAAGAAAAAACACGCTGAAAGATTGAAGCGATGGAATAAGGGTGTGATCCTTGGTCAGAACAAATGCATAAGCGGCGACCTTTAGATACCGTACGCTTGCTTCTCGCATTACGTGCATACTTTGAGATAAGATAAATTATTCAGAGCTATTAATTTGAAAGGCGCATTGATGGCAGAGTCTACGTAATGTATGTACCATGAACACGACCAGTGTGATGCGTAGCACGATGCTGCAACGAATAGTGCAGATACGGGCAACAAATGACCAGGTACGGTTCCGATAGATGAACTGTGAACAGCGTACATAAGCGCATATGATAGTAGCGTAGAACAATTACTCGATAGAATTTACGAGGTAACAACAGCTACCTGGCATACCTCAAAATGTGTTCGTACCCGATAGGAGCCGTATGCTTCATCCATAGAATCGATAAGTAGCCAGCTCTCACATGTTTATCGCCTATTATAATACCGCACGAGCAAAAAAACCATTCCCCGAACCGAATAAGCATTTATTCATTCAAACCCATGTTTACGCACAAACTGCATTATGTGGCACATCCCGATCGAAATTGATCCTTAAGGCACATTCTTGTGCAAGAAATCGTAAAAAATACGAACTTTCGGTAATAAAATGAACAAATACACCGCAACAGTCTCTTATATGGCAACCATTCTTTCACAACCGATGCGCAACAGCAAAGATATGGGAGCAGGTTGCAAGGCCGAGCTGCAAAAGATACCTATCAATGTGCAACATACCGCAACCTATCGTACGGCTAACAACAACGACGTAACCATTGCACGCCACATGAAAGGACAGGTTATGGCAAGCAATGCGGATTTAGTCCTTCCCAACATAAAACACCGCAGAACGGTCTCCTTGTACGGAAGCAGCCAACTCAATTAATAGAATCGTTTATTGCATTTCTCTTGTCAGGCATGCTCATCGTTTAAACATGGCAATGTTTTTACCAATAAACTGTACTCAGACCTTTGCTCCAACATGCCTGACAAACAACGGTTGAGTGAGGTATCAGTCGTTCAATGGCGTACAAAGTACGAAACTCGATGAGTGAATGGATCGTTTCGTTTGCACTGGTCAGCGTTAATTTACCGGCAGACGAACTTGTGAAGATTTCTAGGATATAAGATCGTTGCGGAGACCGTATTGGCGGGAGATGCTAGCTCAGAAGCAGCAGGTGAAGAGCGGTAACACCCATAGAAGATGAAGGGTCCTCCCTCTGCAAGATAATACATGACACGACTTTCCAGAGATATTCGGTTACCGGTGCAGTCTCAAGATTTAAGACGAAAATATGCCTTCATAAATGAACTGTCATCATTTGATCAGCACAAATATCATGGAGTTAAGCACTTTATCGAGAAAAGACGGTGGTGTATCGAATGTACGTGGTTGTGTGGTCCTTATTAAATCACGTTCTGTAACTCATTGCTTTATTCCGGCCCGTTCACCAATAATTCGGTATAGAAGGCTGTTTTGAACCTAAAAGACAATGAACATGCACCGGCAACATCTTTAATTATCCTCAATTATATCGAATGTTACACAACGAGGCGGTGTTTTATCTGAATTAGCATGTGATAATCCCGGTATCTTGTTCGTTTTCAATATTCCTCGTGGCATTGGTTGCGGTTCTCTCGCTTCTACATTGATACGCGTTAAAAACACAGCAGGATGCCCAGTTACTATTTTTCTTCTTTCCATAGTCGCACGATATGAGTGGAAGACACATAAAAACAAGGCGAACATCCCTATAAAACATGCTATGCTGAGATTGAGCAACACGGCATAATCCGTTGTACTTACATACTGTGGTTCGGTGCTAGTGCAATTTTCAGCCCAATCGGTGCTTAATGCTGTAGATTCGTTTGAAAGGGTTTTAATGTCACTGATCATCGCGGTTGAGCGTGCCGAGTGGTATTGAATAGAAGTTCTTGGTATGGTAAATTGCACCAATATAATATTTTAGGATACAAAATAGAAACAAGTGCTAAATTGAACATGATGTTATGTTCTTGGTATTAATAAATAGTTGTGTAGAACGAATCATCTATTATTGCTGCTGTAAAGAGATGCGTTACGTAGCGTAACGTGTACAGGTAGTAATTTTAGTAATTTTCACTTTTTATTTTACTCCTAGACCGCTACAATGATGAATAGCTTTTCTGTTGGTTCTGCTTTCAACTTATAATACTTAAGTTTGGTTCAAGTACCACGCTTGCGCTCCATTCTCCAAGAAAGATGTATTGGCATGGCACTATACCAAGCAGATATCAACAACCTGTTCATCTATAAAGAATTACACGATGTTCTCTTCTTTATTCCATGAACGGCATCCTGTTTCGCAGACCCTTTTTACAAGCATACGCGAGTAGAGCAAAATATGGTAAATAGTTGTTGAAATGGGCCATTGATTACGTAACGATCCATGCTCCTCGTGTGGAAGAAACCAACAATGCGCGATCAGCGCTAATGATTGGTTAACTTAATTAAACTTTAGTAATTAAACACACTTTTAATAAAACAGTAATTCCAGTCTGATAATGTGTTCGATATATTGCAATATAAATTGAAGTATAGCTATGATAATACACATATTTGCAATTATTGATATTTCTACTCATATAAGCTACTTCACTACTCACTGCTGTGCAACATTCCTTGCTCTATAACTCGGACCTGTAAGTTTAACTTATCATTGCATATCGTACCGTACTGAGTATCAAACAGGTGCCAATGTTGCGATTCTGTCATTTTGCGCTAAATGGTGTGTACAATTCAGGTACACTTCTCGATGCTGCGTTGACCACCATGAAAAATTAACAGGTGATTGCACGTTCAAAGTACCCGTACAACAATTTGCTCGTGGTAGTTCAAGATGATGTTTTACTTTGTGGGAAAAGATCGTTGATATTCGTTCTCGCCGCGTCTTTTACTTCCTTGTTATACCAAAATACAAATTTGGATTGATAAAACGATTTATCAACTGAGAATACGCTTCTCCAGAATTTGTGTAGAATGATAAATAAACAGGTTGTCAAGAAAATGGTACAACTTCTACCGCTCAAAACGTAAGAGTTCATATCAACACATGGAACAAAGAAGAGTTCACATCAATTTGGCTTACTCTCTGAACCACTCCTATTTTGTGTTCCATTTTATAGGCTCGTACCGTGCCTGTTTTTCATGAGAAACGCTATTCGTTCCATTGCAATAAAATCTCTTTGCGCGCATCGAAATGCTTCGGTACTTTTTGCCTGCTCATCATTGCAAAGATCCCAATTTGAATAATTCGTATTTTCTGGTGGTTCATATTACACCAGAACGGTAAAAACAACTGCCTGTGCATTCTGGTGATAGACTCTCGCTTGCAGCACCAAATAAATGCAAATAGTTTACATTCGCAGATATTTCATCATAATGTACGGTTAGACAGCTGAAATTAAAAAGTCTGCAGCTTGACGCATCCATCATTTATTTTTGTATTATAAAAATAATTGCCGTGGTTTGTTTATGAGCGATCACTTCAAGGACCTTCTCTACGCCGGCACTCTTATAAACACGACAGATGGCTTCGTTCCCATCAATGTTACAGGGCATCCCTCCAAGTTCCCGGTAGATAAGGTACTCCAGGCACAGGAACTGCAGAAAATCATGAATGTCCTGTTGTATAGGGCCATGATGGACCAGAATACCTATGAAATGGACACAAAAGATGAGATGTACAACATGCTTGTGAAAATGAAGCGAACGAGCCGCAAGACCAAACCTACACTCATATATACGCGCACCGACTACCTCCTCGACAAGGCTCATATCCTAAAACAGGTGGAGATTAACACCATAGCGGTGTCATTTGTGGAATTGAATACGAGACTCAATCAGATACACGCTACGCTGCACGAGAATGTGTGGTTGCCCGAGAACGTGCCAAAATTTGTTGAGATGGTGGCACTAACAAGAAACACCTTCATCAGGGTGAATGACTACAGCGATGTGATAGCACTGTTGCTCGACGATAACACCGGCATTCAGTCCAAGAACTTCTTTGAGAAGAAGAATTTGATGTTTGAACTGAAGAAAAAAGGCGTAACAATGCTGCACGTGACAATGCAAGACATCGAGAAAAACGGAAAATTTGAAAACGATAGGTTTATCTATGCCGGACAGAGCGTGTTTTTCGTGTACCTCAGGCATTTTTACAACTACGATCACTACGACAACTGCACCATGCACCTGCGGACACAAATCGAAAACTCTGATGCCATAACGCTTCCTTCGATCGAGCTGCAAATTGTTGGCCTAAAAATGTTTCAGGTAGTATTCAAAAACAAGGATGTCCTTAAAAAGTACCTGAGCGATACGCAGATCAGCACCATCTATGAGCACTTCGGCGACTTTAAAAGTGCCAAAGACTACGAAACCGGGGATGAGAAGATTTATTTTCTCAAATGTATGCGAGAGGGCGGCAACACGATCATAACGGAAAATTTCAAGGATTACATCGCTGAACCAGATAGGTACTTTCTAATGAAGAAGATTGACTCGATAACCGTCCGAAATAGGTTCTACACAGAAAATGAGGATTCTGATATGATCCTAGAGCTTGGTGTTCTGGGTGCATTTGTGGAATACGATGGTGATATTCTTCTTGATGAGCATTCCGGTTTTATCTGCAGGATCAAAAAGAAAGAATCGATCGAATGCGGAGTGACGTGTAATTATGGTGGATTAGACACCATCTACAAAAATTAAAGGACTTGTTATCTGCCACATGTCTATCGAAGGTTCCATCTTTTATTTGTACTTGACGTAGCCACAACTATTGTGAGTGCTTGAAACTTTCACCGTTCCAATGTTTATTCCCAACCACTTCCCTTCGTTCTTGCGCCAAGACTTGGTCTTCAAAACACGGCACGTTCACACTTTTCTGAACCA